ATTGTGGGGGCTACAACATTGACTTCTATGCCCTCCTAATCAGTAATTATCATAGTGCTAGACAAATATAGGCATCGGATCCTTATCATTTTGCTCTTTTAATTTTCTCTACCTATTATGATTTTGATTTGCAGTAGAATAAAAAGATGTGCAGTTCGTACGAAGCAAACAAATGAATAAAACAAACGACATCGTAATTCGAATTATAGTATATAGTAACTAGTAACATTTTCAGTAACATTTTTATTCGTGGCCTGATGCACCACTGGTTGCTCGAACCGTATAGGGTTAAGGAGGGGTCGTTGGAAAAGGAATTAAGTGTATTATGTTTTTTTCAGAATCATCATATTGTTGTCTAGATAAACAATTCCTAATACAAGATGCTGGGGAGAATAATCTAAAACTAAAAACACAAGATGTTTTCTTCATATCTCGAGTTGTAATTATTGCATGATCGTAAGAAAAATTTGAAATTTTGTTCATCTCCACAACTATTAGGTGAAAGCAGACCCAGTTGAGTTTTCTTTTTCTATTTTCAGCATAATTTGGATAAAAGAAAACTCTTACCTTTTTCATTTGACCAGTGACCTGCTAGACCCTAAATAAAAAAGCTTATCATAAAACAAAATACTTTAAATAGGATACCAGCCATTGTTGCATGATCTCGATAGCTAACGCAGTGTTTTGGGATAAAAGAAAACAAATGCATATATAATTGTCGAGATCTCCTGTCAATTGGCATGCCATGATATTGTGTATATGCTCAAAAGGACAGTACCTAATTTCTTATTGGATAAATCAAACAAACAACTATACATTGAGAAAATGGGTAGCCATAATTTTTTTTTTTTTTAATTATGCGTGTATATAAAACTCATCAATGTCATAAAAGAACAAATAATCATTTAGTCTGATAAATAATGAAAAATACGTCCCCATGCTAGTTTGACCTAGCTACTGAAACCTTTTGTTTTTAGTTCACGGGTTATGATAAAAACGAAACTTACTACAAAACTTTCATAGTAGTTTTCTCTCGTAATTGATCATTAAAGATTCAAACAGTATGGCCAGAAAAGAAAAAAAAAAGAACCAATGGCTCGATCAGTCCCGTCCCGAGAAGCCCATATAGTTTGGCGCCTGTAAAATACCGGTACAAGGTAATTGAGATGTCATGCAATGTGACTTCTATAAATTTCATTAAAGACCAAAAAGTAAAAATAAAAATGGAAGAAAACTTCAATCTTTCAAGCACACGCACGCATATGTAGTGCAGGGTGGGGCCGAATAGTTTTTATTTTTTCCATATTTGGATGGTGGAGATGTACTCGACTCTGGATTTTCAAACTTTTATGTTTGTCAGATTCCAAATAAAAAACCAGTCATTTCATTGATTTTTCTCAACACGGTGGTCCGTCTTTTTATAAGTAATCAGATGCTTTTGGGACGAGTGAAGTAGAAATTGCCGGAAAATTAAAAAAATTCAGATCGAAAAGCAGATCATAAATGAATTGCATTTGGGAATCACTAACTCATTTTTTTATTTTCTTTTTTGACTAATCATTCACTCTCTTAAATCCTAAGATTACGTTCCAACTTGGGATTTGATTTTATAACTAAATTGTTCGATTGTGTATTCAACTATATAATGTTATCAAGCATACGTTTTGATATATTAATGAGTAGCAACGACCAGCTAATAGCTATCATCGCTTGTTAAAACTTAATATAGATAACTTTATTATTATATGTTAGACTTCTCATACTAGACTCTCAATTAGTGTTACCTTTCTCAAAGAACCTTCTTCATTTGTTGTTGCTAACAAATACTTTCAATTTGATAGAAATGTAATGACGGTTCTTAAATTATTTATCACCAATATTGACATTTTCAACCAATACGTATTGTTTATAAGCTATTAGCTAAAAAAAAATAAACTAACACAGCTTTGTGAAAGCAAGTAATAAACTAATTATAAACAAATGCTCCAAACACAAGGCTTTGGACATATGCAATATGTACATAAGCTAAGATTTGCTTTTGTTCCTTTTCTTGGGTTGATCATTGATGTACTTTCTATATCTCATCACAAAAATCCACTGTAAAGTAATATTTATTTACCAGCATATAAGATTGTTTGACCAAAAAAACAAAAACCATATAAGATTCATCATAGGAAAAACAAGAACAACAAACGATTAATTAAATTTAACCGAAATAGTTTCTGATCTATCTTCTTCCATGTTTGATATTTCCGATAAGTAGAGAAAATAAATTTCCCTAATCATATAGTAGAGTATATATAAATAAATAATAATTAAAGAAAGTTATAAGATTTAAGGATAGGCCCACACTTGACCTAAATAGAATAGTAAAAAGTGTCAAGTGGCCTGCGAGTAGGGCCATGACCACGTGATTAAGTTTCTTACATTTTCATTTTTCCGCTCTTCTTTCTTCATTCTCTACTTCTTTCACAATTCACACCATTCAACCCAAAACCTACTGTTTTTCCTCTCTTTTTATTGTCTTGAAAATTAAATAAATAAAACCCCAAAACCTAACCAAACTTTCACACTCTTTCTCTCATTTTCTATCTCTTTTAAAATACTAAACACTAAATCCTCAATCCATTCTATTCTCAAAACCAACATCGTTAAATCAAACTCTCTCAAAGAAAAGAATACAAAAAACCCTAATTTTGATGGAATCGACGGATTCCGGGTCAGAAAGACCCGACCCTGCTAACGGAGGTGATCCGGGTCCGTCCTTCGTAACGCCGTCTTCACCGCCGGCGACTCCTAGCAGGTACGAGTCACAGAAACGACGTGACTGGAACACGTTCTTGCAGTACCTCAAGAACCACAAGCCGCCTCTCTCGTTGTCGCGGTGTAGCGGAGCGCACGTGATCGAGTTCCTCAAGTACCTAGACCAATTCGGTAAGACCAAAGTCCACGTGGCGGTTTGTCCTTACTTCGGCCATCAGCAACCTCCGTCTCCTTGCGCTTGCCCTCTCAAACAAGCCTGGGGATCTCTGGATGCTTTGATCGGACGGTTGAGAGCTGCCTACGAGGAGAACGGTGGACGCCCAGATTCAAACCCGTTCGCCGCACGTGCGGTCAGGATTTACTTGAGGGAGGTCCGAGAAAGTCAAGCCAAGGCCCGTGGGATTCCTTACGAGAAAAAGAAACGGAAACGGCTGCCAACTGTTACCACCGTTAGAGTTGACGTTGCTCCGTCGAGACAAAGTGAAGCAGATGGTTGTACCGTCGGTGATCCGTCTGTCGCCGAGACTGTACCGCCTTAAATTTAATTATTATTATCATAAATTTCTTGATATGTTTAATACATATAATATGTATGGAACTCACTTCACCTTCTTTGTTCCGTAGTAACTAGTTATTCATTTCTGCGAGTTGATCGTGAAAATATATTAAGACGGCCGACGAAGATGGTCTTTTTAGTTCAGTGGATCTCTGATGCATTAAGTTCTTGAATTATGAATTCTTATAAAATTCGCACACTTTCAAGGACGACTGAGGTTTTCTTTTCATATAATGTATTTTCTTTTCTATATGAATTATCCAAATGTTTCTTTTGTTAACCGAATTATCCAAATCTTGCTTTTGTGATCAAACGGTATGATCTAAACAATCATGAAATTTAAAAATATAATTAACGTGTGTTGAAGAGTTCAGAGATCAGCTGTAAGAAGAAGATGCGGGATTACAGAGTCGGATGGAGGTTGCTTTCAGCTTGCGTATGCATATATATGTGTTATCTCGTGTGTGTACGAAACAGGTATGCACGTATATATACAATCATGCACTGATGACTATTTGAATCATGTCATATACATCGGTATATATATGCATGTAAACGGTAAACCACTTAGTATTTCTAAAATTAAAAATATCTAGTACACTTTTCCTTTCGTACATAAATTGCCAAAATATCTCAATATCTCTGCTAAATAAATTTTAATGACAAATTGGTGAACATTTTTTTATTTTGTATCTAGTCTTATATATGCGTAGCAGATGTACGTATGAGTTTTAATATACGTACACACGCACGTGTACGTAAATAGCCTTAGAAAGAGAGTAAAAGTCACACGAACTAGAATAAGATCGTGACTCGTGAGAGAGTATTTGTTTGTCACGATTTCCGACCGACATGATCAGGCCTCGTGTTTACTGTGTTCTAATACGTGTCTTTACACACGTGTGTTCCTCTACCATAGTTAAAATACAGTAGTGAAGTAATCGAAGTAGGTTGTTGTTCCTTTTTCCTTTCGTCAGTAATGAACGTACAATAGTTTTTGGTTACAAGATTGTATAATTCCGTGACAATTCTTACTTAGCCTGTGATCTTTTGTGAATATATAAAAGTCGCCTTAGCCTATATATAGTTTTATCGTTTGCGTTACGAGTCTACATATTTGAGGCATTTTTTCCCCCTAATTTAAAGATAGCTTATAGAACTGGTGGTCCTTGAAAATCATTATCTAAATTTGTTTTGTTCCTAATCACCACATGGGCTTTGATAAAGACGGGCTTATATATAGTATGTATTACTACATTTTTCAATAATTTTATGCAAACCTATAATAAAATCTATAGGCAGATAACTTCGATCTATTATGCCATGGTCAACGTCGAAGTGAGTAGTGGGTCACGGTCCTCACGTTACTGTTCTATCTTCAACCCTTAATAGACTCCTCTCCTACTAATGATCACTGTATGACTTTTTGGACTTAAGCCAATCCCAAATGTATGCTTATTTTAGGAGACCATGGTCCCTAGGGACCAGATGAACCCAACATATGTATCTTTTGTTTTCGCAACTACGAACAACTATTATGAGTTTTAAACAGGTCTCTCACACAACCCAACAAACATACATTCCGATAATACATATTTCATCACATCTCAGAATCTAGATAGCTTTTGCAGGGTGTCAAGTTACAAAGCACACAACACAAGGAATAGGAGGTTTCTACTTCCTATAGCAGGCCTGTGATGTCGATGTGTGACGATAAAGAGGCTTTGATACGTTCCAACAAATCCCACATCGTGTTGACTCCGTTCCGGCAAACCAGAGGGAAGCGATTCACTTTGACACTGCGAACGAAATTGCGGGACGAGTATTTGGCACACGCGCCAGGCACTTTATTACCTTTGTAAGCATTGCAGATGTAACTTATGAAGTTTTCATAGTCCTGCAGTGAACACACAGAAAAACCGAGGTACGTTCAAAGCCAATAAACATTAAGCAAGAACACATACAGAGAACTTCTGTTCCCATCGATCAATGGATATTTATGCTGCGCAAGCGCAACCATTATTCACAGATCATGAGAATCTCCTGGATACACCTTAAAATCCAAATCAATTATATGGGTGGAAGATAATCTAGCTCCCTAATAACACTAAATCCGCAGTGATTTACAAACCAAAATCCAAATTCAATCAGCTTGAATAAACCTAAATCATAAGTCAGGAAGACCGATAAGTGAATATAGCCATACCAATAATGCACAGAGATTAAGAGAGCGTGGATTGCTCATGGTAAGAGTTCAAAAAAGAATCATACTAAACGAACCTCATAAAGTGGCTGACCATCCACGACTACCCAGGGCACGTATTTATGAGGAGGCTCAAGTGCACTCGTTTCTGCAGCATACTGCAACTCAAGCTGCAGCCAATGAAAAACACTAGTAAGCCATGCACGGAAGCTTCAAAAACAATAACCACGGTACACCGGATACAGATACCTATCGTGGAATTGAGTCTATCATACAAACCATACAACACCAATGCAAAATGGCATCTTTGATTCAGAAATGCAACATTATAATGCTAAAAAGCAATCTTTGATTCAGAAATGCAACATTATAATGCTAAAAAGCAATCAGGAGGGGAGGGAGGGACAAACCTCGTTTCCATGTCCACTGCTGAGGCAATCGGCAACAGGTTTTGAGTTCAGATTGAGCTTCTCATAACAAGTCTCCCACTCGTCGTACTTGTGTTCAGTCACCAAACTCTCGACACAGTAGATGAACGGGAAATGATCGCTCTGCAATGAAAAGAGAAGATCCTACTTATCTCACAAACCATCCCTCGCCGAATGAACATTATGTTGTAGTATAATTTGTGACAGCTACAATCAGATCTCATCATCGCCACTTACCAGTTTAGGCCAAGCATCGATTGCACAAGCTTCTACGGTATCCAGGAAGCATTCATATGCCCCATGCTGCAACAATTAGCGACAAGATTTATGTAATCGCTAGAATCGTCCTTGATGATGAGTGTAGCTCCGAAAGGAGAACAGACCAATTTGTCAAAATCTCAGATGCAAACAACAACAAAATCAAGTTTAAGGAAAAGCTAATTTCCCACGATCGCTTCCATAGAATAAAAAAAAAGCTCAGTTTAATCGAATCGGAAACATTGATTTCGAAATTTGAAGAAAACAAGGGAAGACGTTAGACCTGGCAAACGACAGTGGCGTTATCGGGGCGGAGCTTGGTGTTGCCCCACGGAGAAAGATGGAGATCGACGATGGATATGAGATCGTCTTCGAAGAGCTTCGGGAGGTGGTTAACTAGGAAGGAAGAACAGTACGGACATAGAGACTCGTAGTAGAAGCCCAGAGAGACTTTCGGCGAGGCGGATGAGGAAGATGGAAGCGATATTCCAGAAAAATCGGATGATGATGCAAATCCAAGAAGAAAAACGTAGCAGACTAGGAGAAGAAGTTTCCACGCCATGAAAGCAGATGCAAGGTCAATGTACTGTGTCGTCGCCTTCTTGCTCTTCGAAGACCATTCAATAAAATAAATATCTCGATGCGCACAGAGAAAGAGACGATAAAACTTGACAGTCAGTTACTAGTTAAAACGTCATGCTTCTTAGATTGGTATTGTACCAATGATTAAAGACACGTGTAAACTAGAACGCCACGTGTCTCACTAGCCCTCCTTTAATAATAGTTAGCAACAACGATATATCAGAATCGTTGGAAAGTCCGCTTTGTTACTTACGACGACGAACACAAAGAAAACGCAGGCTTCGAAAATTTGGGGAAAATAGTAAACATACGAGATCATCTCTACTTCACATTAAAAAAAAAATGTAAGGCTCGATTAAACCAAAGCTTCAAAATAAGATTTCATAACAATAAAGAAGGTCTACTAACGATGATGTCTTGCAGACAAAAAAGAAACAGTTGATGAGTACATAAAGCTTTAGATGTTACTCGGATACATAAACACTCGAACTCGGGCTCCCTGCGAAAACAATCACCAACTATATTAGAACCCAGTAGAGCTACAAGAGAATCTAACACCATACAAAAAACATACAATGAAATGATTAGGATTTAGGATTAACCATTGATTTAGGAGGCAAGTTGGAAGTGAATTTGGCTCGAACCACGCCGCTGTTACCGTGAGGCCTTGTGACTTTGCCCCAAATGCACCGGTAGTGACTACCGTTCTTCTTGGTCTTGGCTTTGTAGATGTAAGCCATTCGTTTCCCTTTGTACCATGTCACTTCCTCTGTGGTGTTTACTCCTTCGATTTGGATCAGCGACGTGTTTGGGTACTGGTTCGACTTTGACCTTTTCGTATTTACACATAAAATGTGTTAAGGGCACAGTTCCTACTAAAATCTGAATCAGAAACACCATCACTTTTGCAACCTATATCACACACTAAGTGGTAGACTGTTTGCTTCCATTTATACCACAAAGTTTTATTCTCAATTAGTAAACATAAGACTTGATAGACTATAACTGCTCTGGTTCAGTAACAGTAAGCAATAGCATGATCATGCCACATTTTATACAGAATCCAGAAATGTTTTACCAGAAGGTGAAGGAGAGAAATGGAACTGTTTTAAGGAACTAAAGCATTACTAATCTAAGGTCATTAATATATGTGTATAAACCAGCAATATCAACCCAGATTCACTATTTATACGGGTCATATCAGAGAATGAAGCAATCGAGCAAAGTTTTAAAGAAAAACAAATGATGTATTGACGCACCTTTTGTACCCAAGAATGGTTCCTCTGACATAGAGTCTGCATTACAGAAAATAAAATTGAATGACACAAAAGTTAATAAAGCCTCAAGTATGCAAAAACAGGTAAAACGGGTTAACAGAAAACAATCTAGCTATCAAACGAGATCCACACTAAAAGGGTAAAAAAGAAAAATGATGCGGCGAATTTCGGTAGCAATCTGAAGCTGAAGTAGACTGAATTAGAGAAAAGAGAAGATATAAGGAGCGTAGATGAAGAACCTGACACGTTCTCCTTGGCGTCCTTTCACCATTTTGTCGAATAGTCCGGTTGAAGAAAATCGGCACTTGCCTTCAGAAAACGGAGGAGATAAAACAAAAAAAAAAACTAGAAAAACCCTAATATGTGAATCTCTTCTAGGTTTAAATCAAGGAGACGACACCGTTTTGAAGTATTGATGGGCCGAGCGTAAATATAAGTAAATTCACGGCCCTTTGCCAATCGTTAAATGATGAGTTCTTAAAATGCGCCATAAAATTCAAATCAAAAGGGCACACTGAAAATTTCGAAACACCCAAAAATATTTTGACCCGCTAATTTTCTCTCTGGAAAAAATGTCGATCGCTGATCAGTGTTATCTCTTTCTCAATCGGATTCAAGACAGAAGGTCCTTCGCTTCCTCCGAATCACCTGAAATCTCGATTTCTCGACTGTGTTTACTCAAACCGATTATATCTTCTCATTAATTTTGCAGGTTCGATGAAGAGTCTCTTCGGATTCTGGAGCTGTCTCTTGTTGCAATGAATGTGAAATCGTCATGCGATCTTAGATCCCGATTGATAGATTTCATGAGATCTGAATCGGCTGCCGTATTCGGTGAGCTCACCGGAGAATCCATCGTTGCAAAGCTCTCCGTACTTGAATTCTTCGCTCGCGCTTTCGCTCTTATCGGTGATATTGAGGTTCGTTTCCTGTTCTAGTCGATCTGGATAAGATTCTGAAATTACCTTTGAGATTCTGGCTGAGACCACTGAGCTTAATCCTTTACCATCTTAAGATTCTCATACTTATAAGTGAAGATTTTCCGATGGATTTGTGCCGTTTCTCAGATTTCTTAGTATGTTTTTGTTGTTATATGTTGAGTAGAGCTGTTTGGCTATGAAGTATGAGGCGTTGAATTTGCGGGAGATTAAGTCACCTAGCTGTTTGTGGTTAAGGGTTTCATATTCAGAATGGTCCAATTTTGCAGTCCAATCTATGGAAAATGGATTCCTATCTATTGCAGGAAAGGTAATTACTCCTCTTCATTATCTCGCTGCTTTTAGTAAGGGCTTGGGAAATCCACAGAAGATAAAGCGTTAGAGATTCCCGGAGACTGAACTTACTCTGCAATGTTCAATGCTCGTTTATAGACCTTTAGTAGCTTTATGTTTCTACATTTTATATTCTACACATCCGTTTGGTTCTTTTTCATTGCTTGTACCCTTTCTTCTGTGGAATATATCTGCTTCTTTTGCTTTTGACATGTCCGTTTACTATGACGGTATGAATTTGTGCTGGCGTTCACGCAGGCGTCTGAAAATGCGCTATTAAGCCTTAAAAGGGATAGTCTTATTGAACCAAAAGCGGAAGAGTGTTTGACAAATTTGGATGCAGCTGAAAAAGTAAGGAGACTAAGGGATTCAGCTGCCTTGTTAACATCTTCACATTCAGGTATTTTCATTTATACGGTTTGCTTCTTTAAAACCCATCCCTTTGAACAGAGTTATGGTGACTACATTTTCATTGCTTTCTTCCTTCGTGGATATATGTAAAACGTTATGAAGTGGAGGATCCTTTGACTTGTACATTGATACATTATGATCTTGAAAATCTTCTAGTTGGTGATTTATCTGAATGGTTAGAAACTTTAACAAGGTGTTTGTTAGAATGTATCTGAGTAGTTCTCAGTTCACAAACAGTTCAGGCACAGGGTGCAGAGTATTTGAGGAGCAAGGAACTCAGGATATTAAGCAGACAGACTCGACCCATTAAAAATTCAGACTGCACAGGTAGCAATTTGTTCAGAGAAGGAATCAATAAGCGTAACGAACGAATGTTGCAACACCTCCGTAGTACTCGAGATCTTGAATCAGATTCGCGCTGTGTTTGATGCAATTGGTTGCTACAAAGTTCAACACCTCCGTAGTACTCATTCTTCAGGACCATTCATCATTTCAAATACAGGTCAGTTTTTTATTAAACATACTACTTAGATATTACTGAAGATCACACTTTATTCAGAGAAGAACAGAGGAGGCTTAACCGGGTCTCTCTACCCTTTTGTATATATCGCCGTCTAACATCTTTTTTTTTTTTCATGGAATCATCACTATGTATGAGCAAATCTATAAAACAGGCGAGCTAATTCTTTTTAAGTCTCTATCTATAATATAGTTAAACTTTAAAAACTACAATTTCATCCGATATAATCCTCACAAATTTCTTTGCACCACATTTGAGTTGAAATTTTTTTAAAACATTTTTCTTCTTTTTAACCAATTTAAGCTCTGAATGGAGAAACCTTTTTTTGAATTTAAAGCTTATCACTTGTTCAATATATTTTTATTTTCTTGAAAACTGATACATCAGCTTCTGTTGTTTGCATATTTGATTAAAATAACAAACAGCTATTCAGTGTTGACTTAAAAATTTTTCAACTAAAATTTCAAAAACTAATTGCAATAAAAAAAAATGTTGAAATTCATTCAAGACTTTGTATTTCATTAGTATGTCATAAAACTTGTATACTGTTATTCAATTGAAGTTCCATTTCATATAAACTTGTAATACTTATGTCTTTCCGTAGAAGATATTTTGAATACTTATATACTAGTATTATTCAAATGCGTGTATTTATATTAGATAGAAAATAAAAGGGAAAATGGCATTATACTATTGCCCTGTTTTAGGATTTCGTTACTAGTATAAAGAGGAAGAAAGGGCTGAAATGAAATGGTCTCTAGTGAGCTCCAAAGGAGCAGTAAGAGAGGTCCCACGATTGGGATTCCAAGCTGGACTCTCAAAGGCCAATCAGCTTCGGGATCATCCCGTTACTTTTGGGATAAGATGCCACGTCGTGTCTATTACATCACATATATACATATATAAAAAAGAAGAAATAAAGAATAACATATCTCTGTAAATAATATCTACTATATATCTATGTTTTTAGTATGATGTTGCATACAAAGAAAAAATATTAGAGTGGAGGCAGAAAAAAAAAAAAAAGAGGAAAAGATAAGACATATATGGATACACAAAGGTTACCGAAGAAAGAAGAACAAGAAGAAGAAGAGGCTGATCACCAACCTTCTTCAACCAATGCTTTCTCTCAAGACCAATACAACCATTCTATGGATGATTTCGACCGCATTTTCGACATCACCATTGACAGTTCAAACTGCTCTCATGGACTCACCTGGGATTTCTGGGAAGAAGAATACATCGAAGAAGATGTGGAGGAAGAAGAAAAAAGATTGAGTACTGATAACGAAGGCTCAAGTTCTGGGTTTTGGGACAATAGGTCGACGGATTATGAAGATAAAGAGTTGGGTCTGAAGCTGAATCTGAACCATCAAGAAGTTATTGATGCTTGGTCCGATCGCCGCCAGCAACCTCTGTGGACAGATACTCATACTTCAATGCTAATGGCTCCGGTCAATGCCTTTTATGTTAGTTAACTGTGAATCTCTTGCTTCCTGTGCAAGTTATGATTAGGTTATTTAATCTTGATTTTTTAGTATTAATGATTTAGCGTGTGTACAGAAGGGAGAAGTGCCGGTGATGGATGAAGAGAGAAACACGAGAAGAGAAGCGAGTGTGTTAAGGTACAAAGAGAAGAGGCAGAGTAGGCTCTTCTCTAAGAAGATAAGGTATCAAGTCAGAAAACTCAACGCTGATAAACGACCTCGTTTTAAGGTCTCTCTCTTATTCCTTCTTCTCTCTACAGTACATATACAACTAGTAAACTCAATTTTAACTATATGTATATTTTCATATATTATTTGTGTTAGAGAATCCTAAATTTTATATTTTCTTGTGAATCTTCTTGCGATGGATTTCTTTTGAATTATTTGTAGGGTCGGTTCGTGAAAAGGGAGACTTAAAAAGGGGAAAAATATCTCCAGCCTTCGTTGTGTCTTTTTCTATTACTATTATTATTTCATATATTATTTGTACCTTTCGAAATATCAATATCGACTTTTACAACTTTGTAAAGTTTTAAACGAATATATCTTATCGACGAGAAAAAAGAGATGCAAAATATCATTGAAGCAGAGGAATTGAAGATTACATGAAGAGGACGTATATGGCAAGTCTTTGTCGTCGAATTGGTGGGGCCTAAGTCTAAAAAGGGTTCACCACATGTTTGAATCGAAAACTAACCAATCCTTTGTCGGGGCCAAGTGCCAACTACGTATCAACAACATCATTACAGAAATTTCATATATTGTAGTCAGTGAATGGCAATGCTCCTTTATTAACAGTGTTATTATTTTTAGATTGCGTAGAAATAACCCGGCTAATTCCAATGTTTTTTAAACTACAACGTTTGCAATATTGATATTTAGTATAATTAACTAAACTATTATAAATTTTCCCAAACTCCATCATCAATATAAATTGCTACTTAAATAACCATTATATTTCCGGACTGCATATTTTTCACCGAAATAAAAACTGAAAGATCCATTGTTGACAAAAACATAAATCATTCGTATTTCGCAGTATGAAACATGTACATTACACCCAAAACCCTTTGGGCTTTCTCAGTACAGAAAACCCCAAACTATATAAGCCCATCATATCTATATATCCCCGTTAAAGTAATCCCAAAATACTGTATATATAAAGGCCCACCTTATTGAAAAATCAAAAGCCCAGCGGATGCTTTTTTTTTTTTTTCGATGAAAGTTATGGCTTATGGGTGGCAGCCGTGGGCCCATTCTACCAATAAACTAAAAATGAAATTTGAAAATATATAAATGTTCAAGAAAACCCAAAAAAGATTAAAAAAAAGTTCCCAAAGATGATCTCGCCACATCAGATGATATACAGTTGTACCTACGTTCGACACGACACGGCTCTGTGGAGAGAAGAAGACGAAGCACGGAACCTCTCTCTCTCTCTCTCTCTCTCTCTTTCACAGACACAGTACGATGGGAGCTTTCTCAGTTATAAACGCTCTCCGACGGAAAAAACAAGGAATCTCCACTATGATGTCTCTGTACTCCTCTGCCACCAAAGCCTCTCTCGACCGCTCTTTTCATTCTTCCTTCCTTCCCCTCCGATTACCATCATCGTCACCCTCTGTTGGATTCCCTTTCCGGCTTTCTTCAGCCGAAAAGCGCGATCGCTCCGTACTCGCTGCTTCTGGAAGAGTCTCGATGTCATCAAACAGTGATTCTCGCGGATTATCCTCGCAGGTCCCTTCTATTTTTTGTTTTGTAATCGTAATCAAGACGATGACAAATTTGCGCATAGTTTTCGATCTATTAGCTACGCAATACCTGATTGTGTCGTTTCCCGTTTTACTATTGACCAGGTCGATGAATCTTTCTTCAGGAGCGTTTTAGGGCAGATGGAAACGGTTTACCTAAACCGAAACCCGACGCCTAAATCCGTCTTGGAACTTGTCAAATCCGTTGACGACGAACAGCTTTGCTATGATCATCTCGCTTTCAGGACCTTCGGGGTATAATTTTTTTCTTATTTGCTGCTTCATATGTAAGTGGGACCTTACACTTGCACCAAGTATAGTTTCAAAGTTTCAACATTTTAACGAGAAGTTAAGTTATTTATACGATAATTGGACTCTTCTAATGGAAATGTGTTAGATTGGTGGCTATGGGATTGACTCGCTTGCAAGCTTTTTCCTTGACTATGGGTATACCCAAATGGATGAGCTGCGGTTTCCGGCTAAAAAGCTGAGAGCTTTGTGGTTCGCACCTCCTCATGTTTCTGCTATAAATGGTGGAAGTGGCGTAAATGGTCCTTTACCAAGAGTTTTCATCTCAGAGCTCCTTGTGGAGCAGATGAGTTCACAGACTCAGGTATACAAACGTACTGTCCTTTGGTTTGATCCCGGGTGGTTGATTTGATTGTGTTATGAGCATTGAAGGAAGTTTCTTTTGTTTTCCAGGATGTGATTAGAAAATACACCGAAACATGTCCCGGTGGTAAAAAGTATGCAGCTCTTTCAAGTGCTTTGGGTACTTTACCTTGGGGAAAGCCTCTTTCTTCTGAGTTTGAGAAATTGGCGAGGTACATAGTCTAATTCCTCCTGGTATGCTGCTATTGGATTTTGCTAGATGAAGACAGTGCATTGACTCATAACTGAAGGTGTGTTGTGTTAAATCTTTCTACAGGGAAAGTGAATACGCAGCATGGACCCTTGTCAATGGCTATGCACTTAACCACGTCACCATTTCTGTCCATCGGCTTAAATCTCATCTAAACAAAATCAAGAAGCTCAATCTGTTTCTCGACGAAAAAGGTTTCAAATTGAACTCAGAAGGAGGAGTCCTTAAAGGTTTAAGTATCATCAAATTCGCAGACTTATCTTAATTCCTGGATTAAAAGAAATTAGAGACGGTTATTAAGCTTTACAACGAGTGACTCATATATCTTCACACTTTCTTTCAGTTAGCCCTGATGGTGGTTTGCTGCAAAGCTCAACTGTAGCAGATTCGATTTCTTTCAAGTTCTCTGATGGCGTCACCAAATCCATCCCTTGTTCATACATTGAGTTTGCTGAACGCCTTGTGCTTCCTCAGTACCAAAATGTACCCGAAAGCGATGTAAGTGACGTTTCTGATTGAATCTTGAATCGCTTACTGTGAATCGATACGATATTTTGCTTCCCGTTGCCTAGACAACTCTCTGATTCAGGCTTTTTGTACCAACATTGTGAATCTGACACTTGTGAGACATACCTACAAAACGCAGATACGAGAGTCTCATCGAAGAGATGGATTTGAGGTTGGAAATGCCGACAAGATCTTCGAAAGCACAAACCAGGATCAGCTTGCCCGACGAACTGGGTGATTGCAAATAGTCATATTGCTTGGGGATATGTAAATCATGTCTGGTACATATGTACAGAGAATAAGAGCTGAAAAGTGTTTGTAATGTTGTTAATCAGTATGGATACTAATCTAAGAACTCTTGATCAGATATTTGTGTACAAAGGATGTATAAAAAAAAACTTACTAGCAACCAAGTTAATTTCTAAGGATGTACATTGTTTGCATACCCTACATCAAATAATGTGAAATGAATATAATTTACCAACTAGTATATAAAAAGTGTGAATCTTTCACTCACTATTATCTTGAATGGATGTACTTCTCCACTCTAAAGCAAATTAATTCTAAGTTTTTTTTTGTGTTTGACCAAAAAATTAGTTCTAAGTTGGATGCAGACCAGCTTCTTGCACTAGTTGAAAAGATTAACCCTTTCTTAACCGCAAATAGTAACCGACTGAAAGTTTACAACTTTAAAAGAGTTTTGGTTAGAATTCTCCACCTGGAAAAAAAAAGGAATTGGGTGTAACATTCAAAACCTTTGACATCGTAGGAGATGATGTAGTCCACGACACCAATTCCCCAATTACGCCTGTGTAACCGCCGTCTCTTGGTCGGTTATTCACATTCCGATTCGGAATCATTATCGCTCCAGCCATTACGGAAACCCTACTTTCACCCCAGGATTTTAGTTGCCGCCGCCTAGTGCCAAGGGCCTCCCGATCTACGGCCTTATCCGCTAAATGGCTACGGAGGCTACAACCGCGCCCAAATTCCAGGAACCAGACCTCCGGTCAATGCCTCAGACACCGGATTTTCGACCGGAAATCGCCCACGACGGCCTCCGGTTCTGGCAGTTCATGATTGCGGGTTCGATTGCTGGTTCCGTCGAGCACATGGCGATGTTTCCCGTCGACACCATCAAGACCCACATGCAAGCGCTCCGTCCCTGTCCGTTAAAACCTGTCGGAATCCGTCAGGCTTTCCGTTCGATTATCCAAAAGGAAGGACCTTCGGCTCTGTACCGAGGGATTTGGGCTATGGGTCTCGGCGCCGGACCAGCTCACGCCGTTTATTTCTCCTTCTACGAGGTATCGAAGAAGTACTTATCCGCCGGAAACCCGAATAATTCCGCCGCCCACGCGATCTCCGGCGTGTTCGCCACTGTATCAAGCGACGCAGTTTTTACTCCCATGGATATGGTGAAGCAGAGGCTGCAGATGGGTGAAGGGACCTACAAAGGCGTCTGGGATTGCGTCAAGAGGGTTTTGCGTGAGGAAGGGATTGGTGCCTTCTACGCTTCCTACAGGACGACGGTTCTCATGAACGCTCCTTTTACTGCCGTTCACTTCGCTACGTACGAGGCAGCTAAGAAGGCGTTGATGGAGATTTCTCCGGAAAGAGTCAGCGACGAGGAGGAAGGTTGGTTGGTTCATGCCACCGCAGGAGCAGCCGCTGGTGGATTGGCAGCTGCTGTGACTACGCCACTCGACGTTGTCAAGACGCAGTTGCAATGTCAGGTAGGATTGGCTTCGCTTTGTCTCTGTTTTCTATAACTTTGGATAGAGTAGTGGAGGCAATGTGATTGGATACACAGTGGTGTACTGGTGTTAGTGGTAAATGATAGATATTAATGCCTCTTTAGATTATGCTATGAAAATACGCAAGGCTTCTTAGATGGACTTGTTTCATTCTGAGTAGCTAGAGCTCCAACATCGTTTTACTGTTGCGGTTTAAGCTTCTTTAGTTTTGGAAATCGCATAGAACTTAGCATTGACAAGAGCAGATCTTTGGTTTCAATGGCTACGTGTTTCAACCAGTAGGTTTCTGGTTTGTGGTGTGTAATTATTATAGGGTAGAGTGTGCTAATGTTTTCAGCCAATGACATTTACCAGTTGAGCTCTCACTGAGTCGCTATTAAAACGGCAGGCCTTGTATTGTTGTTGCATAACGTTTAAGGAATGTAGGAGAGGTGTTTTTCGCTTTGTTACATTTCGAATGTGATGAAATGAGTTTGAAAGATGAAGACGGATGAAACAATGTTCAGATGTAGTAAATTCTTTAGCATTTTGAGTGATGGTAAAGCGTATTTCCTTTGCATATATGTATATGTTTTTGATTCGTTATTGTTTTGCCTAAGGAACAGTAGTGTTTCTGGCTCGAGCTTAGATGTCTTTTGCATGACTTTTACTGCTAGTCCTAGCATAGAGTTTTAGAAAAGAGCAAATGTCACGATCAGCTATGTTAGATGATTCTTTGCTCTAAAATGTATGAAATGGCCTGAATCATCTGTGGTGATGTGCAGGGTGTGTGTGGATGCGACCGATTCACTAGCAGTTCGATCAGTGATGTACTGAGAACGATTGTGAGAAAAGACGGGTACAGGGGACTTCTAAGGGGATGGCTGCCGAGAATGCTTTTCCATGCTCCTGCTGCAGCCATCTGTTGGTCCACTTATGAAGGTGTCAAATCTTTCTTTCAGGACTTCAATGACGATTCAACCACTGCCTGAACAAATGACCAAAAGGGTTAGGCGATTCACGCTCTTGAGGGTCCTGTTTGTTTTTTTGTTTGTAAAAATGGTTTTTCAGGGTTTTTTTTTTCTATTGTCATGTTAGATTATATATTTTCTAGGTTTTGTGTTGTTGATGCTGTCGTCAAGAAATTTTGAAAAAAGTTGTTTTTAAACTTTAAATAATAAGTTAACAAGACGTACACATTTTCTCTCTTTTTGCTACCTATATTCGACACTAATCTCGTTGCAATCTCTTTCCTAAGCACACGTGAAACCCTTGGATATGTACTTGAAAATGAAATATGCGACACTATACTTTATTTCGGGAATCAGTCTCGACAATGTCATCGAACTGCTTTGAGTTACGATGGATGATACCATGAAAATCGAAGACGCTGAGATTGTGAGAGATGCTTGTGTGAACCGTCGTCAGTGCGAGTGTTGTTTTGTTTAAACAAGGTAAATAAATGTAGATGTAAAAACACGAAGCACCAGTGGTCTAGTGGTAGAATAGTACCCTGCCACGGTACAGACCCGGGTTCGATTCCCGGCTGGTGCAGTCCCTTTGAGCTGTGAAGAAATTGGCTTAAGCGTTGGTTGGGTCCTACGCAACTCGTCTGAATTCCAGATGCTATCGCCGTAGTCTGAGCTCTTTCTTTTTTTTTTTTTAACAATTTACTGTATATAAATACAGATAGGCCTGGTGAAGAATACGAACGACTCAATTATCTACTCTTCGATCCGAGTCAACTCAGTGCAATACGTTTCCGTCTCCAAAGCAGCTTCTTTCTCGATCCAGGTGATCTCACATGGAAGGTTTTTCCTCTTCTCTTTCATCTGTATAGTTCTTGTAAGGATTCAAAAAACAGATTTCTCTCTCTGGATTTTTGGAATTGGGATCTGCTTAACTGGTAGCTGGATGAACTGTTTGCAGAGAACAACGCCGGGAGCGACACGGACTCTAATTCCGTCGAAGAGTCGCAGGACTATTACGAGCCGATCTCAGCCGTTGATTTAGACGGTGGAGATGGCGACGGAGAGGAAGGCAATTATCGTCCGATCAGTGGAGATGGTTTCAGCAACGGCCTCTCAAATGGCCATTGTATGATCCCGGAAGCAGAGGACGGAATCTCTTCTATCAGTATACACGGAGACGCAGAGCCGAAGAGTGAGGGCGAAGAAGACACAGAGACGGAGACGCCAGATTCGGAGATCCGTACAGCATTTGAGGAGGACGAACGGCGTAGAAGATCGCCGTTAATGGTGGAGAATGCGGCTAGGGTTATGGAGGCAATGCGCGCAATCTCGTTCCCTGGGACGGCTCCTGATTGGGCCTCCGATGTTACTGAAGATCGTTGGGTTGATCAGCTTCGAAGACTGAGATCCACTTCTCAGAACTAAACAGTATTTCTCAAACTCATAAATATTTCGTTTCCTTCATGTGTTTCTTCTCTCCCTTAGGATTAAGAAGAACAAAAAATGATTCAAATCTTTCCCGATATTGTTCATGTTCAACGTGACATCCAAAATTTCAATTCATAAATGTTCACCAATATCGTCTCAAGGGAAACTGCACTTTCCTTGGAGTGTTATATTATTGAGTATTGGCACAGAAGATTCGGTGAAAATGTTGGCTCATTTAGTTACTTTTCATCACCAAATCCACATTTAGATGGTGACGCTAACCAGTGTATTACTATACAAACCCTGTACTTGATGAATTCCGTATGTTTCTGATGATTCACATACATATATATACATGCTTACATACATAAGAGTTCAAAGTTTGGTGTCACTCAACTGGGCCTGGTCTGAAACTCCTGCTGCTTTTCTTTTTGTTCATGCTGGTAAAAATGGTGAAAAGTTTGAATCTTGAACATCAGAGTCTGGTTCCTGTCTTTAAAAGGCTATTTAAATGTAGTCTGCAACTTGAAGTTCATGAAGTCTGTCCCGGTTGCTCCTTATAACTCTAGCTTTGTCCCCTCTTATCTCCAGAACCTGAAGAAACAACACCAGAGTCACTCATCATCATCTCTGAGAGAATATAATGTAACAAAGACATAAAGAACTAGGATTGTAAATACCTCTGGTCTAGAATCGAGAACACCACTAGACATTCCCACATCAACCCTCCATATGCCGCAACCATATTCACTATCAATCAAAACCCATATTTCATTTTAGACTTGTATAGATCTCATGATTAAGATATTTTGGGAATGAGTTTCGATAAATGTACCAGTTTACGCCGGATAACTGGGGAGTATGCCCGACCACCATAGCCTTGGCACCGACAGCTTCAAGAGTGTCCCGGAGAATTTTACCTACCTGATTACAAAAGAACTCAGGGAACTTGTTAAATCCAAGCTGATGATGATATATAACAGTTTCGAGGATTTTGGTGATTCAGTTTCCACTTGCCTGTTCAATTTGATAGTCATCCAGATCAGAGGTCTCTCTTGAGTAAAGTCGGCTCCAGACCACACTGTCATATCCCCGAGTTGCAATGAATGGCATCTGGGGACTCTCTTCGTAGTCGTCAGCAGAGCTTCTCATCCAAGTAGAGACTTCTCTGTTTATCCTCTCTACGCCGTATGCAACTGTGAAAAGTACATACAGTAGATAAGTAAGGAGGTCAAATCCAAAAGAACACATCTCTCGACGCAGAGAGGAGATGTGTGGAGATAGCCTGATTGTCTTTACCGTGGTGAGGAAGGAGACCACCGTGGCAGAAAACCCAGTTGTTAACACGCAAGATAACTCCGTGACGCGCCAATTCACACGCCAGTCGACCACCTGGTCTGAAAAGAACCGACCTTGCAATCACTCCCTTTTGCCTCTGTCCTAATAGTTTTCCAACGTCTTTTGGTTAACCGACAAATAAACAAGTCAGAAAGGGGCACACAGCAAAATGAAGTACCTTTACTACATTCCATTGATCCCAATACGTTTGAGAATTTCTCCTATCTTCTTTCCATTGTCTCGACTCAAAAATCCAATTCTTAAAGGCCCTGTCCCAGTCTTGTGCGTAGTCCTCCAAGTAGTCAAGAAAATCTGTACACTCATCGAATGCTCTCGCATCTACGTATCTGAAGTCCCCTTCAACGTTCATCGTCTCATGGTTCCCATTAACCTGAAATAAATTGGACGAAAATTTTGCTCTGTGGTAGCCTAATCTTCTCTCTGTAACATATATACTTGTCAAAATTCAGACGTGGTAGCATTCAAACCTGGAAAACAGCTCCACCGCTAGCTTTCGCCTGTTCATCAAGTAAACTCAATAAGGAGAGTATTGCAATTTCATCATCGCCACGATCCAGTATATCTCCAACCTGAACTAGTACCTGTATTTTTCGTTTGTTGATTTCACACAAGTTCGGAAGAGCACACAAAGGACTTAAAAGCCAAGAAATATGAAGCAGTACGAGCCATAAACTGCTAAAAGGGCAAATCAAAATCCATCTTCGAGTAAACCATTTCAAACCCAAGGACGATCCATTAAACGTAAATTTTTTTGCTACTTAATGATGATAAAAGACATACAGTGTCTTCACCGATCCACTGGTCTCGTCCATCGGAGCTCAAGACTCCGGCAATCTGAAGGGCATCTCTGGCTTTACTCAGATCGCCATGAAGGTCTCCAACTATGCATACCATAAGAAAATCCAGTAAGAGGATATACTTACAAAAATATGCATTTTTCTCTCAATTTTGCTTTCGTGCTACCAAAAGATTGGATTTTTTAATATAGAAATTTGGTGACGAACCTGCGATGATGCGGCGAGAAGGGGCAGAGACGAAAGTGGGTGGGTCTCCATTGATGACGATCGGCTTCAGAGCAACTTCGTTACAATTGGAACTGCTCAACAAAGAGGAGGAAGAAGAAGAAGGCTCGAGAAGTTTCTGGGGATGAGAAGGAGGAAGCGGAAGTAAGGAATTGAGGCAAAGGGAAGCCATTTGGTGGTGGAGGAGCAACGATCCACCAGAGTTTTGATGAGATGACTTAACATTTGTGTCCCTCCTCTACTCTGAAATTTGTGACTTGTCTGCAAATGCATGCTTGAGTAATCCTTTTTATCTATCTACTGGCTGAGATTTCTCCGCTGAAATATTGGTTTTTTATATCTTTTAATGAAATAAAAAAAGGAGCACAGAGCGAAAAAGTGAAATGAACATCTGTGTTTGCTCTTTGTGAGATAAAAAAGTCCCTAAAACATATTTAACCACAAAAAAAAGTACTCGAAAAATATTTTACAAAGTAATTTTACTGAGCATCTTGTTATATAGAGCAACAAGTAATATTTTCATATTCATTGGACAAGTGTTCATTTTTCGACATATGTAAACAAAAATCATTATTATCTCAATTTCTTTTTCTTATAGAAATTTTAATATTTCGAGTTTAAAGCGTGGGCCTTTCAGCATAGTACAAAACTTGATAGTCCTGTGACTCCAGTCAGATTCAAAATTAATAGATATGTCTGTTGGGCCAATTCGAAAATGCAAGAAAACAAAGTCATATGGCAATTCAAAAGTGGACCCGACGCCGAAAATTCAACGGGATGAAGTCATTTGGCCCATAACTAATTCCCACGACGCCTATCAAATACCATTTCTTGATTTGGTAGGGCCGTGTGGGTATTGGACAAGCGCAGAACGCGGTTAGTAAAATGCGTTCACGTTGTGGAAACATCAAACCAGACAAAACCAAAACAAAATCGAAACGAAGACAAAGTCGTTGGTCGTGGCAATATGAAATTACAGATTCCATTAAAATACAAGCAGAAACACACAAGTCAGACTTGCTTCCCGCGTCTAATCTTATTCTTCTGCCGAAGACTTCTCCATATTGTAGTTTCGTCTTTATTCACCCAATCCCCTAATTTTCCCGAATATTACTATTCCAAATCAAATCATATGGCTGAAGCCGGCGACGAGAATCTTTACGCAGCCGCCAGAGACATCGCCAGAGCCCTAGGCAAGGACCCAAGCGCCGCCGGAGATATTTTACAGATCCTCTCCGGCTATGGCGCCTCCGGAAACCGCGGCGGTGACTCTCGACCCACCGCATCCCGCGGCGGCGCAAACATCAACCTTGACCGATCCCTCAACTCCTTAGAGCGACAGATCTCCGGCTACATCGTGGAGGATCGACCGATCTGGTCCGATCCCGTTGACTCGCGGACTTTCCTTGACGCTGTTGATGAGCTACTTGCGATGGCCGGAGACTTGAGATCCATGGCCGGAGATAAATCCGTCGCCGTCTGTATTTCCCGTGCCGATGAACTTATTCAAGAGGTGATGTTTAGGCTTCAGGAGGAGTTTGGGTATGTAATGGACCGAGCCCCTGAGTCGTTTGACTCTGACGACGAGTTCTCCGGGGAAGAAGACAACGACAGAAGCTACGGGGACCAAAGCCACCAGGTAATATTTAATTGTTAAATCAATGTAAGTTTCATAATTACTAAAAATAATCCACATTAACTTTTATCAGATCTAGATGTTGACAATCCGGTTAAGAGTTTAATTCCATTTGATTATTTGTTTTACTCAAAAAACAAATATGTAAAATCTATATAGTTCCAATCCGATTGGTTTGATCTTCTACTTTTTCTTCTTGAAAAGTGAATTTGGTTCGGTACCAGAGAAAAATAAAATAAAAGTGGGACTTTAAATATTTCCTGAACGTTTTAAAATATTATAATTTAACAAATTTTGTATCTATTCGGCTATATTAAAATGGATTTCAATTTGTAAAAAAAGCGATTTGGTTATGAGTTGAGTTTGATTTCGGTTTAAATTTTTTCGGTTCGAATTTGGTTCTAAGCATTAATCCACATTTGAATAGGTGATGATCACTGCCCGTCCGATCACTGATTACAAAATCGTTATCGAGCCGTTACAATCGAGCGTTATCGGCGATCTAAACGCGATAGCTGTGCGGATGGTCGCTGGTGGTTTCGGAAAAGAGTGTTCACGAGTATACAGCAGTCGACGTAGAGAGTTTCTAGAGGAGAGTTTGTCGAGGTTGCATCTGAGGGGACTAAGTATGGAGGAGGTGCAAGAGACTCCATGGCAAGACCTTGAAGACGAAATCGATCGTTGGATCAAAGCCGTAACCATGGTGTTCCGCGTTTTCTTCCCAAGCGAGCGTCTTCTCTGCGACCGCGTTTTCTCTGATCTTCCTGTTTCCTCTGTAACCGATCTCTCTTTTATGGAAGTTTGTCGTGGAACGACCACACAGCTTTTGAATTTCGCAGACGCAATCGCTTTAGGGAGCCGTTTGCCTGAACGCTTGTTTAAGGTTATGGATTTATACGAAGCGATGCAAGACCTGATTCCCAAAATGGAAACGTTATTCTCCAATAAGTACTGTTCGCCGCTAAGGCACGAGGCGGTTGCGATTCATAAACGGCTGGGAGAAGCGATTAGAGGGATATTTATGGAGCTTGAGAATTTGATTCGCCGTGACCCTCCCAAAACCGCGTTTCCAGGCGGTGGGATTCACCCGATCACGCGGTACGTAATGAATTATCTGCGTGCGGCGTGTAAATCAAGGCAGTCGTTGGAGCAGATCCTTGATCAGGCGGGGAACGAAACCGGATCAGACACAAGACCTTTGTCTGTGCAAATTAGATGGGTTTTGGAGTTGTTGGAGAGTAACTTGGAAGGCAAGAAACGAACTTACCGTGATCCGTCTTTGTGCTTCCTGTTCATGCTGAACAATGGAAAGTATATTCTTGATAAGTCGACAGATAACGATCTCGGTTCGATCCTAGGAGAAGATTGGATTGTGAAGCACGCGGCTAAACTGAGGCAATACCATTCTAGTTACCGAAGGAGCTCGTGGAACCAAGTGGTGGGATTGCTAAGGACCGAGAGTCCGTATCCTAAGCTAATAGAGAGCCTTAGATTGTTCAATGCCAAGTTCGATGAAGTGTGTCTGACGCAATCCCAATGGGTTGTTAGTGATGAGCAATTGAGAGAGGAATTAAGAAGCTCCGTCGCCGGAATTGTGTGTCCGGCGTACATGAAATTCATCGAAAGACTGAAGGTGTCGCCGGAGATTAATGGGAGGCGTGGAGAGCCGTTTATTGCATATACTGTTGAAGATTTGGAATTGAGGATTAAAGGGTTGTTCAAGGAGAGAGCTTAAGTTGATTATAATTTATATGAAAAGAACAAAGATATTATTAATTGATAAATCTGTACAATTGTGAATCCTTGTTAAATAAATTTTATTTTCTTGTGAATCCCGTTCATGGATCACTCGCTGAAAATAAAAGAGTGACAATATACATCAAAGCTTAGAACCAATCTTGTGGATATCAGCTGTGATGAACTTAATTGGGGACTAATACCTAAACAATACATATTTAATTGTTGAGAGCTTTTTAGGCCTCAAGAAGCTTGGCTATTGTAGAGTAGGTTGAATCAGCGAGGTAACTGTAGGTGGCGAGTGAAGGGTGAATAGAGTCAAAGAACATATACTCCGAGTGATTGGAACATAACTTAGAACGTGAATTGCACAAGTCACTCGTCTCAAGTAAACCCGTTCCGCAACACCCTCTCTTCGTCTCTTTAAAACCTACACGTGAATGAAGAATGTCCAAGCAGTCAAGCACAAGAGAGATATATGGCTTGAGGAAGAAGCAAAGTAAACATACCGTATTTAGTAGGGTTCTTGATCATGTCCATCATGGGATCGTAGACATTTGAGTATACGATCTTACTTCTTGGGAGAGACGCTTCAATAGCAGGCAATAGCTTTTGAAGCTTTTGAATGTACAAGAGTGCGTCTTTGTTCTCTCTTTCTATGCATGTTCTGAATACTCCATTGCGGAGTTTTGAGGTCATTTGGATCGGCAAGCATCCCATCGGAGACTGCCCACCCACCAACATTTTTTGGCTCCCTAAATTGTAAAGCTCCTACAGTACATATCGAAAATAACAAGTGAACATTTATACTATAAACAAGACATACTAGACCATTCTATTTTTGAGCAAACAACATTTCTCTTGTTACCTTAATGAAGTTCTCTTGAGCACGTAATTCTGGTAATCAGAGATCCTAGGATACTCAAGACGCCTTGTTGGGACATCGTAATAGTTCAAGATGAAATCGTTAGAACCCGCACTGACAATCACGACCGCACCATTTATGATCTCCATCGCTTTTTTCTCCCCTACGACACCATTGAGACGAGTAATGTAATTCTTGAACATGATAGGTTGATATGAGAGGGGGATGGCATGGGTAGTGAGTATAGTTCGGTCGTCATAGCCTGAACCAGCGGATGCAAAGCAAACCCCGGCGATAATTTCTGCGTCAGAGAGGTTCGGTTGTAGAAAAGGAGGAACTAACTCTTTGATGTGAAGCTTGGATGCGATAATGTCGCTATAGAGCTTTCCATTTGAGAATCTCCCACTCGCGGCTTTCCCTGAGATATCGACTCCGTAAGGGATATGATCAGCCTTGAAGTTGGCCTTGGGGTGGTAATTGTTGTTTCCTGTGTCGACCGTTGAGTCTCCGAAGATTAGTATCGCCGGAGCGAGCGGTTGCGTTGCGGCGTTTGCGGACGCGTTGCAAGACGTAACTAGAGTTAATAGGAATAGAACGATCTGTATGGTTTTGGATGTAGTCATTGTGAGTAATTGAAAGTTTGTAGTCGTAATTGAACCTTTTAAATTTTTGCCGACTTTCTGATGTAGTTATTACTGATTTATCAACTATTTTTTACAATGAGGTGGATTTTATGTGCGTTTGAAAGTAAATATCTAATGGGCTAAATTGTTCTTCTACCGGCTTTCTTTGTTATGACTTATGATGAGTTTGTAACTTGTTAATTACTTGAAAGTGGACAAAAAACAAAAGGGAGGGGGAAACATAAAGGTTTTTTCAGATAAAAATAGATGGTTTATATACTGAAATCGATCTAATTAAAGAAATTCAAAGCTTGACCAAAACCAAATAGATATACTCCAAGAAATAATAAAACCTATAAAGATTTAACCTAAGAATGGAAATTTTTGTAGCTGGAGTCAAAAGATAAGAACCCAATTTGTTCTAACAAAGATTTGAAAACTTTGAAATCTTCGTCAAGATGTACTTAGAATTCACATATATTGAGCCAATGATCCATCCACCCATGAAGCCCTCGGCTATGCAGACCCATTACCTCATGTACTCTTAAAAAAATGTAACTCACATCACATACGCAAATTAATTAGTGGGTTTGGAATAAGTCTATACATCGTATATCAAGATACAGTTTTCTTAAATTTCAACAAACGGAGCATCACTCACAAGCATTTTGTTATACATATATAGCTTAGACAAATTACAAGCGACTCCCGAATACATATTATATTAAGGACAAAATTAAAATCAATGGAGTACGTGGATGATTTGATCAACAAGACTGAGACTGACGACGAGGTAAGCAAGTTGGGTAGGATGAATGTCGTCCCAGAAAAGGAAGTGGTTAGGGTCGGTACAAGTCGGAGTTAATGGGTTGCACATGTACGATAGCTCCATCTCTCCCGTTCCGCAGCATCCTCTCGTCGTCTCCTTTATTCCTGTCACCTTGGAAGAAACCGATTCAGTATTTAGCTTGTGTAAGAAGAAACAAAAACTGCATGATATATTAATCTTGAATTGTCTAATTGTTTTTTTTAAATTAAATGTTTCCGTCGTATCCACAGCATTATCTATAAAACATGTGTATATTTCCATGAATTTCATTTAGAAAAAGGTGCAATTGATCAAAACGCAAGGAGAACTAGATTTATTGCGGAACGTAATGTGCATGGGAAAAAAGAAGACGTTACGTTACCGTATCTTTGGGGATTAGTAGCCATGTCCAAAATTGCTCCGTAGATATCGGCGTAGAAGATGACACTACCAGTGAGATTGGATTGAATATCCGTCAGGGACTTCTTTAGCTTCTGGTTGTACTTTTGTGAATCTGAGTTTTCTTTGTCGACGCATCGTCTCTCGTTCTGCTTTTGCCTAGCCATCGTCATCTGAATCGGTAAACATCCGATCGGCGGTATTCCCAGTACCATTATTCTCCGGCACCCAATGTCATATAGTTCCTATATATATACATCCACATAACATATTGTAACAAAGAAAAAAACAGGAAAAAAAACATAATTTTACTATCGGAAACCATATGCGGACCGTTTAATATGACAACCAGCTGGTGCATTTTCACAACACCTCTGATTTCAATATTAATTTTAATTTATAAAAAAACTGAGTATGTGTATAAATCTTGTTTTCGAAAAATATTCACAACATAAAACATCTAAAAATGGTTAGGAAATGTTGTTTACTTGAACGAAATTGTGAACACTGGAGAGAATGAAATTTTGATAGCCATCGACACCGAGCTTGAGACGAGGAGAAGGAGTATCGTAGAGATTTATATCGAAATCGTTAGTTCCAGAGCTTACAATCACCAGAGCCTCGCTTACTATCTTGGCCGCTTTCTCTTCCCCGACGATCAGGTTCAGCCTCGCCAAGTAACTTCTGAGCATATCTGCCTGTTTAGCGACGGATAGACTTAAAGTAGCTAGATCTGTGAAGTTGTCGTAACCTGAACCCGCCGAGGCAAAGCACACTCCGGTGAGAATATCGGAATCCGACAAATGTGGATTGAGGAAAGGAGGAACGGTGTCTTTGATTCCCATAAGGGTTGCTATGAAGTCCGGGATGAGTTTACCGTTGGAGAATCTTCCGGTAGCGTTTCCGCCGGGGAAATTGCGGCCGTAAGGAGGGAAATTAGCCCGGATGATGGTATTGATGTAGTTGTTGTTCCCGGTGTCGATTGTGGAATCTCCGAACACAAGAATCGCCGGGAACATTGATACGCTGTTAATGGTCTCGTTGGTGGTATTTGCATGGCATGTCGTCAATATTATTATTACTGTGGTTACGATCATGAACATCATTTCATGGATGAACATTTTACTCTCTTTTCTCTTCTTTTTCTCTTTTGTGATTTTCTTGTTTCTTTATAGGACTACTCGGCTGAGAGTCTAAAATATGTATTTGTGTATCATAAATATATACTGTAGAAATGTTGACTTTTCGGTCAAATCTCTTTTGGGTACGTTTTTACATGGGCCAAGGAGATTGAAAATGGGCTTAATATATTGAGTCTAAAAGTCAACTTGCTGAGGCCTAATTTCTCAATCTGAGAAAGAATGATTCCGATTCGGGCAGTTTCTGAGAATGAGTGATTCCGATAAATGGATTTTATAATGTTAAGCTAGCAATATCATATCATACAGTATATAGTCAAACCCTTGTAAAATCCTAACAAACCTGCAAGAAGCCTAGGGATACGGGCAGGGCTCCCAAACGCAGGCCCAAATCCGGCCCTACCCAAGCAAAATTTGACCCAGGACTCCTTTTTTTTCCCGCTCCGTTCCTGCCATCAAGGTTAAACTCGTCTTTAAAAAAAGGAGAGATTAAACTCGTATAGTATTATTCTCCACGCTAAATAGATGTGTGTAAGCTAGATTTTGTGAAAGTAATTACTCTCCAGGTTTTTTTTTTTTTTTTTTTTTTAAAATATATCTTCACAACCTAAACTCTCATGTCTCATGATCAAACCATAATATTTCTTTGGTCCAAACTCATCTACAAAAATTAAAGGTATTTACATTCAATCAGATAAAAATGCTTATAAAGTTAGAGTGTTTTGGTCACTATAAAATTTATATGGTAGATAAATGTATGGAGAACTGAAAACATCTAAAAATGGTTTAAGTAATGTATGGAGTATGGAGAATCGTTAATAAATACGTAAAAGGAAACCCACGAGAATGAGATCATGCAGAAACGAGTTTATGTTGATATCTTGGTAGAATCTTTTAAAAATGGATTCTCACAAGTCCTAACACGAAAACGAGTTTGGAATAGCTAGAATTACGTGCAGCTGGAGATCATTTAAGATTACGGAAATCATTTACGGTCCAAAACAAAAACAAAAAGATATTGCACACGAGAGTGAATCTAACCAAACGTGTGTTAGGCTGGAGATATCTCCAATATCTATGCTAAAACTTTTAAATTATTCCATTGATTTGTCTTTATTCGATCAGGTACGTCCCCTCTATCGTCCCACATTTCTATATAATAATGCTTTCCGTTGGTTACAACAACAAAGAAAAGAGTGGCTAAAATCAAATCTTCCTCGGCTTTAGGAGAAAAAGAATTGATATTCTCTGTTAATCATGTATCATTAGTCTTCAGTATACTACTAACAAATACGAAAACATGTTTGTGAAGATGTTACAGTCCCATATATACCATATATATTCATGCAATGTTTCATACTTTCTAACTAACTAATGATATACATCAGTGATGAGTGGTTGAAGAATTCATCATAAAAATAGAAAAAGAGGATTTGGTTCATTTACCGTAGTGAATATATGCATAAAATGATTGGAAGATACTTCGTTTTTCTATAAAACCTCAAAATTACTTTGGATCTTTCTATGTGAACTCTGGTTATTAAAAAAATATTTATTATTATTAACCACGTGGATATAGTAGAACAACAGGGAATATGAAGTTTGTGAATGGAACTAGAAAGTAGACTTTGTTTGATTTGACCATTTTGACCAAAAAAACGCCAGATGTATTCTCTAAAGTCTAAATGATTACATTTGCATATCTTTGGATTCCTTTCCGTTCAATTTTTATTGGCCTCATAAAAATAATAGAGCTGCGCCTATAGAGGTAAGCAACTACACTATATTAATAATCTTGTTTGTGATCATCTTAACTTTCCTGCACCGATAGTTAATTAACCCTCCAACGTTTTCTACGTTCTAGTTTCTACTTAAGAAAAAAAAAACTAATACATTTCATTCTTAAATATTGAAAAAAAAAAGAGTAGTACATTCTGTAATTAGGTCAGCTTTATTTCTGATTCTGTTTCGGCTATTTGACCTTTTATATTAATTTTGGTTTCGGTTTCGCTGTTCTTTGTTTGTTAAAAAAAATATACAACTTATTTCTAAATAAATGTTAGTTTTGTTTCCGTTTTAACATTTCAATCTGGTTCTATTTTTCTAATTACTTTTTTTCGCCAAACTTCTACCTATGCGTAATAATGTAGTCGGATAATTGAGAAAGAGGACAAAATTTGACAAAGTCTCTTATAACGAGTATTTAACATTTTTTAGATGCAAACTTGATTAAGTGGTTAGTGATCCACCGTGGAAGTTGAGAAATTGTGGAACAAGACAGGTTTGGTTCACGTTCTTCAATTATGATCCCATTAAACCCCTTTAAAGATTAATAAGAAAGATTAAGTACCTTTAACACTGTGGCGCACGCACACCCAAAATATATCATCCGTGTTCTAACAAGTTCGCCACTTTCTGATTAGACAAATTAATTAAGGAATTAATACTCGCTACTTAATTGTTTTTTTCGGCGCCACTTCGTCGGTGCCCGAAACCTCCGTACGACGAAGCTTCATCTTTCATGTCGTTAATTCGTTTCCATGATTTATTTTCTGCCACCAGATTTATTTTTTGGTTTATTTAATACGTGCTCTTATAATCTTATTGCTTTTAACCCTTGATTACTAGCCATGCATGTCTTGCTTTTTCAGATAAGAAAACCTAAACTACTTTTCTTTTGGTAAACTCAGAAAACCTAAACTTTTTTTAAAAATGTGAAAAGACACACTTAGCCAATGGCTTTAAAATTTCGAGTTTGGAAACTGCATTTTTGATCGAGATATGTGCACAATGCCCACGTCCTCTTTTTTTTTTTAAACCAGTAAATATATATTACTAGTATCAGATTTGGTATACGGGCTCTCAAGAAGTTTGTCAATTTTTAAATTTAGAAGTACTTAACTAATGATGTGGTCCTGCGGTTTACTTGTCCCCTCTCTTGCTTAATCAAGTAAGCTTAATTACTCATTAAACTCCGACACCAACGGGTCTTCAATTGTACTCTATATACTACTTAAGCCCGCAAGTTGCAGATATCTTAGTTAAAGTACATATACGTACGGTTTTGATTTTAATTAGTGTAAGAATAGTCATTTACAGATATTTTTTTAAGGCAACACAATAATTTAAGTAACCCAAACTTTATACTACCCCATATGTGAATAATTATACTTAAATGGTTCCTCAATTTGACTGAGCTATTACGATTTAAATCATTTAATTTGAAGAAAAGCGAATAATGTATACTGTATTTTATAAGAAGAAATTGCTCACATATAAAATTGTCAAAATATTCTTATATACCTATGTAAGCAATTTTTTTAACTAAACAAAACCAGGGCTATACCTGTTTTTTTCTTTCGAATTTTTAAACCTTTTCAAACAAATTTTTTTTTTTTTTGACTTGAATCATACTAAATATTGATCCGTATCATCAGCATTTATCAAAATGACGACCAAATTAATAACACGTTGTATGTAACTTATTTGTTATGATATTTTAGAGTTAATAATAATAAAAAATTGTTCGTAGATCATATGAAGACATCTTAGTCTTCCCACCCACACTATTTGAATTATCTACTTGAATAAAGAGGACAAACAATTATTTTTTCAGTCAAAATTTTAGTGGTTAACCTAAATAACCCAAAATAGAAGTGCGTAAGCTATAGTAAACTGAATCAAAATGTGCCAGGATATGGGGCCATAAAACCGTTAAAAAATACAAGTACATCAATGAGTTCTTATTCTCTGTTCTTCTATTTTCCGGTCTTTGTATCGAAATCTTCAATAGATTGTTCAGCGTTATTAATTTATATCTCCAAAAGTGAAGCAGCTTGAGCACAGACAACGAGAATATGTAGTTCTCATTTTATCAATAGTAACGAAAAAAAGTTACTGTAGTTGAAGTAAATTTAATGGATTGTGGCTTCCAACATTGATATCAAATCCCACGTACGTAAGTATCCGTAGTTTACAGTAGGCTTTTGATTTAAATAGATAATCCTTTTTCAGTTTCCAAGTCTTTGGTCATTGTTTCACATTATTAAGTACAAGCAATCTATCTAATCCCAACACGCTCCTAGTTTCAAGATTTGGTATTATTCGAGAAAGAAATACAAAAAAAAAAAAAGTTAGTACAGTAGTACTCCTTTAAAACTTTGTCACAAAGCGTCAGAATATATTTGCTCGGATTATTTCGACAGTTTTGCTAAATGCTAACCGTCGATTTATTTTTTAGATTACTATATTATTCCCCACCAGAGAGATTCAGCTCAGAGATCTAAGACTAGTAAACAAAAATCACATGTATGTATAGAATATGGTTTTTTATTCATTATTTTCTCTAAAAATATGCAATTATCTATAAATACTACTCCCTCTATTTTATAATAAGTGTCATTTAGAGAAAATGTATCTGCAATATATCTGGATGTATTAAACTCAAAACACATCCAGATACATCCAGTTACAATACAGATATATTTTTCTCAAAATGGTACTTATTATGAAACAGAAGAAATAATATATTTAAACCGTTTTGTTAAAACATATAGTTTAAAAATATGTATTTTAGATGTACGTAGGCTTGTTTTGTCAATTAACATGTCATATAGAGATTTAAATTCGAATGATGACACCACAAGAGTAGTACAAATCATTAAGCTACAATATGTATTAGTCGAATTTCAATTTACATTTTAAAATTTAACGATTTTAACATATTTAAAGACATAGAAAGACTAAGATGAGAGATTATTATTCGGATAAGATTCAAATAATAGTATTGGCTTTTAAGAAGATAGATAGTAGTAAATGATAGTAATTCAAGTTTTATGAATGTGAGTTCATTTTAAAACAAGAAATCAGAAGGGGCAATTTAGTAATTTCCAGTTCGGTATACGTATGGTCAAGCCCGCTTTGTTGTTACGTGAAGTGTTGGCTCCTATATAACCTCGGCTTCTCCAACTTGTTCTTCCCCATAAATCTGATCATCAATATCTTAAAAAGAACTCAAAAAACAAAGAGAAGAAGAAGAGAGAGAGATGGGAAACAGCCTACGATGTTGTTTGGCCTGTGTTCTTCCTTGTGGAGCACTAGATTTGATCAGGATCGTTCATCTAAACGGTTACGTTGAGGAGATCACACGGTCAATAACCGCCGGAGAGATCCTTCAGGCAAACCCAAATCATGTCCTAAGCAAGCCATGTTCTCAAGGAGTTGTCCGAAAAATCTTGATCTTGTCTCCTGAATCTGAGCTCAAGCGAGGAAGCATCTATTTTCTCATCCCCGATTCTTCCTTGCCGGAAAAGAAAAGGAGAAGAAAAGACGGACATTGCCGGAAAAAGACTAACAACAACAACCCTAGCGCCAAGGCCGGAGACGTTAAAGGTGATGATCAATGTGTGAAGTTGTGTGAGAAGTACTTAGAAGAAGTTGTGTCGTCGACCTCGGCTGGTAAAGAACACCGTCATCGCCGGCGACACAGCAGATCGGCGTCAGTATCCACGTGGCGGCCTCACCTTGACAGTATTTCTGAGGATCTTAATTAATTCCTCTTTTCTTTGCCTCTTTTTTTTGTGCTTCTTCTAGCTAATGGTGTTTTTTGTCCGGAAGCCGGATTTCTATTTCCCACTCCCATATATCATTTTCTTTTTTCTTGTTTTTGAAAAAACAAAACTTTTTGGGGAAAATCTCACGAAAAGAAATATATAATGTGGATAAGATCTGTGTTAAAATGTTGTTGTAATTTCCAGTCACTGAGAATGATTATATTTCAGTCGATGATCATTGATCAAAACTCAAAAAGAAAAACATATATAAAATCGACTATGGCCAAAATTTTGATGTAGGATTTATAGTAGCAATTTTTGTTGTTGGACATAACATTAGTTGCATGTTAGCAAAGAAGGCGACCGCTTAAGGGAAATTTATTAATGGAATCTTTAACAACTTTTAAAAATAGAATCGAGTTAAAGAACCAAACCTTTGTTTCAATGAATTAAGATTCAAAATTATTAAGGAATTCACCCTTTATGATACCAATGAAATAATTGGAGTATTTTATTAGCGTTATCTTCATTATTTAGGCTTGAACTTCGAAAAGTGTGTGATCGAATTGTAGATAGGAAAAAAGCATCAATGAAATGATGAATGATAATGATAAAATGTGTGTTTAACGGAAATACCACTTTGAATGATTAGACTTAATTATATATAAGTTGGGTAGTTATAAAATAATACTAATATATAGTGCGCAGGTTTTCACATGTGGGTGGACCAATCGAAAAGCCTTTGAAACCATCAGTTCCTCCAACTTTCAAATAATATAACCATTCAATCATACTAAATAAAAGGAAAACAAGTCGTAGTGTAAACCATGGTTCCATACATAGACAAGAAAGTGCATCATGATTATGCATTAGGAGAATAATAAAGCATATGAACAATTTTATCTTTTCATGTACCATGGATTCTATCGCGTATTTTTTTTTTTTCAACTTTAAGCTACGATATTTGAAATATCTAATAATACTTAAATCATATTTAGGATGCCAAGATTCGACTATTCTAAACATGTCAGATGCTAAAATGGGTATATATACAGTTATAAAATATTACTTATTAGTTACTTATGAGTGTGGTTCAACGATTGAAGCTGAATATGGGTTAAATATAGGCCTGCAACAACTCAATTATAGCAGCCAGATACAACAAACAGGTTTTAACATTAAAAATACCAAAAAAACATACAAGATGTATATTTATAATTTGAATTTAAAGAAGTTCACAATTTTGTTATTGGACGAAAAGTTTGGAGATGGCTACAACTACAAGTTAAGATATCTATAGAAAAATGAAATTATTACAATAAAATATCAGACTAAAGACTAAATTATTCTTCTAATTATTAAAGAGAAATAACCAAAAAAATAAGGGAAATGAAAGCTGGCGAGCCCATCTGAATCAGCTGCCTTCACATGGATTCCCTCTTCTATGCCCCATCTCTATTAGACAATTCATTATTTGTTTTTTCTTAATCACTCTTTCTTTTTTCTTCTATTTTATTCCTCTCTATGGTCTACGATTTACTATAAATGTATGATGTGTATGCAACTCTACATACATTACTAAGTTTGGTCCATACAGCCCATCTTCTCCATACGTCTCAGCCATTAATGCTTCCAATTTTACGTACATAAATTTGTATATTCAAATTTTTCTAACTGATCTTGATACGGTTTATTAATGTGAAAATAATATTTCACATTTTCAAAAACAAACACCATTGTGTAATTCTTGAAATTTGAATAGGAGCGAGGAAATGTCATTACATTTGAGATGGACCCACTCTCTCATGCACATAGAAGCATAACACGTCCGTCTGTTTCTGTCCACATACCAACTTTGAGATCTCCATTTCATCTGAGAATATAATGATCCAATATTTTCTCCAAATGGTCTTTTAGAGAAATATCTTTTCTGTCAATTTTAAATGAAAGCAACTGAGCAATCAGTAAATAATATCAAGTTGCTTACTTAACAATCTGTAGTGTATAACAAACGCTAAAAACTACACCCTTTATTTATTTTTCTTAAACAATAAAAAGTAGTAGAAAAAAAAAAAAAAAAAAACCGAAAAGACTAAATTAATTAACGGTTGTTATGAAGATCAATGGAAGTAAACCCTTCATCAACAGAGAAACGTGGGTGCACTCTTGAATCCCCACCCTTAGGGGGCGAATCTGGCAATTTATAGCTATTATCCATCGCAAGAGCCTCTCCTTCTTGCTGGTGAATCACAAGCACCGAGAAATGAAAATCCGTGGACGCAAACATGTCTCCGATCACACCTAGCTCAGGGCACTCGCTCCAGTCCGTAAGTCCGTACAGTACGGACGACTCCAGGTCATGGTCACGACCCACAACCACCATGTCATATGTATCCCCAAGTGCACTAATCACTTGCGTCGTCTGGACACCATCCCTCACGATCTCTTCAATGTAATGTACTTTGGGTTTGTTCAGTGAGAAGCTCTTGAAATCGTTTATGAGGCGAGACTCCGCGAATTCGCTTTCGTCTTCTACTACGTTGTGGTTGTGGTTGTGGCTGTGGTTGATGGAGTTCTTGTGCCGGAAATGGATCATCGTGACGTTCACTTCCGGGTGCTCCGCGATTCTCATACAGAACGCGAGCGCTTCCGCGTCGTCTCGACCTTCGATGAAGATCACTGCAATGTTACGCCACGTGTGGCTCATGAGGACCGAGCGTCGGCCTTCTGTTTCTCCTCGGTCGATGAATATTCCCACCGAGCAAGGTGCCTTCTCCAGCACGTTAAGGTTTATGCTTCGGATCGCGGGGGTCACGTGGTCGACCGTTCCGTCTATCGCATACTGTTTGTGGAACGGGATGACGATGAGCGTGGCTTTCTTGTCGAGGGCGAGAGTACAGATGTCGTCGTTGATGCTGGAGAATGGAGCTGCAGCTGTGAAATGCTGAGCCATTAGGGTTCCTTGGTGCTGCTGCTCGAACCGTTGGAAACCGTTGACGATCTGCGTGGATTGGGCCGTGTTGGGATCGAGTTTGTTCATCTGGTGATGCGGCATCAGCACTGCGTGCGCTCGGCCTTTGAGCTCGACGAGGTGCAGCGTGAAGACGGAGATCGGGCTGAACCTACTTGGGTAAGAAGCTTCTAAAAGGTTAACCATGGAAGGTACATTTTCGACGTTGTAAACACAGAGGAGGAGACGAAACTGAAGGTTTCGCTGTCTCGTATTGAGGATCGTTCTCTTGCTCTTGCTTCTGTAGCGTTTCGATGGATCGTAGAGGATAACGACGAGGAATCTCGAAATGCCGGTTACGAGCAAGATCGTGATGATAACAAGATTGAAGCATTCTGTGTTTAGAACCTGCGAACAAGGATTTGATGAAAATTTGGAACATGGACCTGAAACGCAAAACAAACAATGGAGGCCTTGTAGTATTATTATACCTTTTCGTCTTTCCACATGACGGATGTGTAGATCTCGATGACTCCTTGACAACACATCAAAAAGGCCAAAGAGAGTGCGTCTCCGATCTGTATTTTGCAATACGCGGAAGCGGCTACGGTTCCGAGGAACTTGCAGGTGTAGGTAATGAGGATCACGGCCTCAATGATCTTCACGTGGCTCTCTCCGATCACGAAGAAATTGGTCTGCAATCCACTAATGGCGATGAAACAAGGGAGCATAAGGCTCGACGCAAACATCTCGAGCTTGGTCGTGAGCCCGGTCCCCAGCGGAGGTCCATCAGGGAGCGATACTCCGAGCCAGAACGCTCCGAACGCCGCGTGGACCCCGAGCACCTCGGAGGTCAAGCTTATCACCAGCAAGACCATTATAATCGGGAAGAAGGGAATGTCGTCTTGTTTATCGATCGAAGTGCTTCTTCTCTCCGTCAACCAGATGATGGCCGGTCTGCAGATGACAAATATCACCAAGAGAAGACCGGTGACCCAAGCGAAAGACCAAGCGCTTGCGAGTGTCCCGTCCCGCAAGAACATCCTGAAAACGAGTGCCACGACCCAGCTAAAGGCCTCGCAGACGATGGAGCAGTTCGTGGCTAACCGTCCGAGATCAGAGTTAAGGATGTTGAGCTCGGCTAAGACGGTCGTGGTGACCGGGAAGGAGGTCATTGCGTTGAGGGAGATCACTGTGCTGATGCAGTGGACAACGTCCGGCGGGAGCTTGTAAGTGTTTTTCAAGAAGAGGACGGTGAGGTTACCGAGGGAGAACGGGAATACGTAGGAGGCAATACCGATGCACAGGGCTTTGGAGCCGGCTTTACGGAGAATGCTAGCGTCGATTCTTAGCCCCAGTAAGAAAAGATGGATGAAGAAACCGATGTTTGAGACCGTTTGTAGAGTGATTTTCCCGCTTATGGGAAAGAACATATCCATGTATCTGTCGCTTTGGCCCAAGAGAGACGGTCCTAAGAGTACACCAGCCTGCAAGTAAGCATTTTTGCGAAATTCAATAAAACAGAAATGTAAAGAGCTTCAGGCTCCATAGATTAGTCTGAGTTTGGGCATAGGGATATAAATATTACCAAGACTTGGGCAGAGATCATGCCTTGCTTCAAGGGCTTGAGGAGGCGGAAGAGAAGCCTTGAGGTGATGATGATGGCGGCCATTTGGATCAAGAGAAGTGGCATCGCGTATCTGAAAGGGTCACTGCCCAAGAAAACGCCCTTCGAGGTTAACATGTGGTTTTTCTCGCACACAATGCTGTCCATAAAGAAGGGCCCATGAACTTTGCCTCTCTGCATCGAGTTCGCCTCCCCCAGGTCTAGCTTTGACATTGTTACGATCTTTCTTGTGCACTACTTAATGTGGGCAGAGGAAGCTAAGCTGAGAGAATCTCTTAGTGAAATGAAGAGAACAAAACAGAGGACTCTGTTTTATTTTAGGAAATGCTGATTATCTTGCTACCATCATATGGAGATACCTTTCTAGGTTGTGTCAAAAGATCAAAGACAGAAGGGAAGTGAGAGAACCAAAGAGAGAGAGAAAGAGAGAGATGAAGCCATATATGTTCCTTCTATTTATTGACTCTGGCTATTTTTTGGTTGGTTGATGTTAATAACCCTTAATCTCCCCATTCTAAAATTCGTGGTTTCAAATTTCCTAAAAGTCCTAATAATTAAAAAAAAAAGCATTTGAAATGAGATTTTCTCCAACCTCTTTAAATTCTTAAAGTCTAAAGCTCCTAACTCCTTCAAACCACTTAACCCAATCGAACGAAATAAAACAATACCATTTGTTTTTGACTTCAATCCATAAACGTGCTTTTAAAACAGCTACAAATTACTAGTATATCATTACCATCCGCATAGCACCGCTCTCGAAGACAGACAAAGCTCTGGTTTTCACTTCTTGGCGAAAGAGACGACCATTGGATTCTGAGGAGTGATCTTGAAACCCTGAAGAGCCTGCATGGCCATAGAAGATTGAACATCATCTTCGTACTCCACAAACGCAATTCCAGGTTTCGCTTCAATCATTCTTATCTCCTTGAATCCCGGGTATTGTTCAAAGAGCAGATGAAGCATCTTGCTCGTCGTTTCAATGGGAAGATTCTGAATGAAGAGTATGTTGTTTGGTGGCATCGTGTCTTGCCGGCTCGGCTGGAACGAAGGCTACAAAATTGCAGAGACAGTCAATGGAATGATGCAGAAACTAGAATTTACAGCGACAATGATGTCCAACAGGAGATTATCTTGTATAGTTTGAACAATGCAGGAACGAGAAATTACCGCAGGCCTTTCGTTCTGAGCGGTTGCGCCGTTACTTGGTTGTTGGGTTTCTCGCTTCCTTTCAGCTAAAATCAGTGTGCAGTTTTGTTAAACATCAGATGGAAAGTAAAAAACAGAGATGAAATGAGCTGACAAATTTTTAGTTTGTGATAAAAACGAGAGTTTAAACCTTTCTCTTCTTGCTTCATCTTCTTTTCTCTAGGAACAAAAGCACCTTCGGCTTTAGAAACACAATCTGACTTTGATTTCGCATATTGTATCAGCTGCGCCCAAAGTACCAAACATCATCATGATTGGTATAATATAGGGAATCACTCGTGTTATCATATACGCTCAACACCTAATGTCTTGGCAATTCCATCAGTTTAGATAACCAGCAAGCAAACCCACATACGCTTTCAAGTTAAGAACTCGGAACAAAAGACAGGAAAAGTTACCATTGGCTTATCATAGAAGGGAAAGTTTTGCATCTGACGGACGGCATTACTAGCAGCTGTGACTTCAGTAAACACAACCCAAGCTTGTCCCCGGAGCTTTGGAGTCTTCAACGCAACCACATCAAGTATCCTTCCAAAGTGAGAAAACAAACAGTAAAGAGATCTCTTCAGCTCTGAAAAACATTAAAACCAAAAATGTTGAAAAACATTAACAACCACCTCTTTACAAGCATTAATCAGACACAAAACAAGCATCTAAAAAATAAGCTCACGAAGAGTATTGAAACTGGGCCTTCGTGGGTAAAGCAATCGCTATTTTCTACTTGACTACTTAAACAAAGCACAGGTCTTTGTCTTCGATATGGAAGAACACCACAAGGTGTTACCTAGTTCCAGTCTTTAAAGATTCATCCCTAAAATTGAGAGAGAAGACTCTGTTGCACATACTCAAACCATTATATGAACATCAAAGCGAGAAACATTAAGCCCACATCAGAGACGAAAAAAAAGTGGAGCCAGCTAAACAAGAGCAAGTAGCATGAAAGACGAATACACACAGGAAACCACCGATGCAATTACATGGAGCTCATTCATATTACAATAGACTGAGAGTTCCGTGGTTTCTGGAGGAATCAGAGAGATGGAAACAGAAGATTGGATTATATTACCTTCTTTATTGATCTTCTCATTGATATTTTTAATGTAGATTGACTGATTCGGCGGTATATCAGCCGTTAGCATTTTCAACTGAGCTCCGCGAAGACGACGACACAGAGCGAGCGCCCTAACTGAAGGAGCTAAAGAGCCGAGAGAGCAGACAAAGGGGAGAAGAAATCGTGGCGTTTCCAATTTACACGCGCCGTCTGATTTGTTTTCATTTTTAACTTGTTGTTACCGTTTAGAGAGAGTAAAACAGGACGCAGTTTTAAGATACTATTAAAAACGTTACGACGTTCGAAAAGGCGTTTTAGGATATCCCTTTCCCCTTTCTTCCACCGCGTTTCTATCCTCTTTCCTTCCTTCTTCTCTGTTGGTTAAACCCTACGACTGCTCAGGATCTCTCACAGTAGAGGGAACCATGAATCCCTCGCTCTTCACCTCCATTAATGCTCCAATCTCACCTTCCCCACGGTCTCCATTACTCTGTCATTTCCTGACTCCTTTGCCTCTCCGTTTCTCGAAGAGTCAGTGTCCGACTCGCCGTCATTATCGAGTTTCGTTCCCTCGTAGCTCAGCTACTTCCTCCGACCAACCATTGGTATCCACGCCTTCGAAGAAACCTGGTGTACATGGAGATAAGAAGGAGCTCACCGGATTGCAGCCGATTGTAGAGAAAATGACGCCGCCGGTGAGGCTGGCGACTTCTGCTGTTGTTTTAGCGGCATCGATAGCTGCTGGTTACGGCCTTGGGCTCCGGTTGGCCGGCTCCAGGAATATTGCTTTGGGTGGGGCTGCTGTAGCTGGAGCCGCCGGTGGAGCTGTCGTTTATGCGCTGAACTCTGCCGTGCCGGAGGTAGCTGCCATCAGTTTACACAACTACGTTGCCGAATTTGAAGATCCTGCCGCTGTGACCAAAGATGACATAGAGAGGATCGCTGACAGGTTAGTGGTTGCTTGAATTTGAAGATCCTGTGTCTGTGACGAAAGAGTATATAGAAAGGACCAAAATACCTGGGATTTACACGCAAAGTGTACTCAGCAATCCTTCTTATATGTTGCAGGTATGGTGTCAACAAAGGAGACGAGGCGTTCCAGGCCGAGATTTGTGATATATATTGCCGGTGAGTCAACTTAGAAACCCGAAAAACTCGGGATATTGTTTTCCTCCTTTCTCTTAGTGTGGAGAGTTCTTAAGTGAATCTTTGCATTTTTAAATTTTGATTAGGTACGTAACTTCCGTGCTTCCAACTGAAGGACAGTCTCTTAAAGGGGATGAAGTGGAGAAGATAGTCAAGTTTAAAAGTGCTCTAGGAATAGACGACCCTGATGCAGCGTCTATGCACATGGAGGTGTTTTCTAGATTCTTGTTCTTCGTCTGAATTCGCCCCTAGCCTTTTGCAGTTGATTTTCATAAGGATCTTGGATGCAGAATCATCAATTCCTTGGTTTTGTTTAGATTGGCCGGAGGATTTTTAGGCAAAGGCTTGAGACTGGGGAGCGTGAAGGTGATGCAGAACAGCGTCGGGTGAGTCGCTAGTCCCTAGTACTGTATTTTTTTATTGGGGTTGGCTCAGAAAGAGAGCACAAGTGTGATCACAAGTTGTATGCTCCCAGTGCAGGCATTTATGAGGCTTGTATATGTTTCAGCTCTTGTGTTTGGTGACGCCGCATCCTTCCTTTTGCCTTGGAAGCGAGTATTGAAGGTCACAGATGCTCAGGTAGGCATTTCCAGTTTTGTTAGACATATGATTTTGCGCAATATATATGTCTTTTTTGACGGGCTGCATATTGGCGACTTACTCTTACTTGGTAATAATCTGAAGCTCTCTGCTAATGTGTTAATCCCTCGTGTATAGGTTGAGATTGCTATTCGTGAAAATGCAAAGCAGCTGTATGCCGAAAGATTGAAATTAGTTGGAAGAGGTAATGTTGTCCATGTTTTTTGTTTTAAGATGGGAAGTAATGTTACACTCGTAGAATGGAGAAAGTTGCTTGAGTTGATTATATCTACTTTTGTGTCACTTCTTGTATATAGCAAGGATATACACAATAGATACTTGTCATTTGACATTGATAACAGATATGGCGTAGCTTTTTCTCTTAATGCATGGAAACTTACATGGTTATGTTTGTTAACATATTCTTGCAGATATTAACGTAGAAAATCTTGTGGACCTTAGAAAAGCACAACTATCATTCAAGCTTTCTGATGAGGTACTCTATTTCTTTGTGACATTGATTTCCCGCTTCCTATGGTTATAGTTCTCCTGACAGTTTCTTCTCCCTTGCAGCTTGCTGAAGACCTGTTTAGAGAACATACAAGAACAGTAGCCGTAGAGAACATATCATCAGCTCTTGGCGTACTAAAATCCCGCACACGAGCAGTGTAAGGCATTGTATTATATTATTTACAGATTCCTTCGTAGAGAAATGATATGGAAAAATTATAATATATGTAAACATGAGTTTGGTAATGAACAGTGGATACAAATCGGATCATCTCTAGTCTATATTAGTTTACAATGCATGTCACTAATTGACCTGATTTTATCCAGGAAGAGTATGACACTTGTTGTGGAAGAGCTTGAAAAAGTTCTGGAGTTTAACAACCTTCTGGTTTCCTTGAAAAGTCATTCAGAGGCAGATCAATTTGCACGAGGGCTTGGCCCTGTTTCTTTGATAGGTGAGATGCTTTTGACTATGTATTTAATGAATAAATAATTATAGGATCCTTAACCTTGGATTTATGTGGCTTAGGTGGTGAGTCTGATTTTGAGAGGAGGATGGATGATTTAAAGCTCCTTTATAGAGCATATGTTACAGATGCTTTATCGGGTGGGCGTATTGAAGAAAATAAGGTAAACTCAAACCACTATTGTATCAGTATTATATGGTAAAGTGAGTGTGTTATAGAGCATGTGTTACAGATTCTGTATTCTTTAATATCCGACCCATGCAACATCATTGATGGTCGTCTTTCTGCTTTGTTGTAGCTTGTGGCAATGAGCCAACTGAGAAACATACTCGGACTGGGAACACGGGAGGCTGAAGCTATTACTGTTGATGTTACGTCCAAGGCATACCGTAAAAGACTTTCTAGCGCTGTTTCTACTGGTGACCTTGAAGCACAAGACAGTAAAGCAAAATACCTTCAAAAGCTATGCGAAGAGCTGCACTTTGATGCACAGAAGGCAAGCGCAATCCATGAAGGTATATAAAGACCTTCTGTTCACAAACGAAACCTAATGCTATTATTTTATACATGGGCTATACTGTGTGAATTTTCACTATGTCCCAACGATAAGATGGTAGATACCATGGAATATCTAAACTCTTATCAATCTAGTTGATAGCTCTTAACAGACTTGCAACAAGTGCCCCACTTACAACAAGTCTGGCACTTTCCTGTCGTTACATGCTTACAGTTTTAGTGTCTAATAAAGTCTTTTATTCCCAATCTTCTGACAAGCACCTGCTCTTCTTCAGAAATCTATAGGCAAAAGCTTCAACAGTGTGTTACTGATGGAGAGCTGAGCGATGACAACGTTGCTGCTTTACTAAGGTTAAGAGTCATGCTTTGTATTCCTCAGCAAACTATTGAGGCAGCTCATGCAGAAATCTGTGGAAGCATATTTGAAAAGGTAATCCAGCTTTTCACCCCCCATTCTCTTTATCCCAATTTTTATTTTTCTCATGGTCTTTGGTTTTGGCACTGCAGCTTCAACTCTGTTTTTAAGAAAACTCTCATGATGATATTACATATTTGCCGGTTTTCTATCCGTTTGCTTAAACAAAATTTTGACCACATCTCAACGGGATTGCCTCGGCGCCTCTTTGCCGAAAGACTTGCGTACAGATGATATCTAATTGTTACATCTTTTCTAGGTTGTCAGAGATGCAATCTCTTCTGGAGTGGATGGTTATGATGCTGAAACTCGCAAATCAGTAAGAAAGGCTGCTCATGGTCTTCGGTTATCCAGAGAGACTGCCATGTCTATTGCGAGCAAGGCTGTAAGTATCACACTCTTTACTTTTCCCATGTTTGATATTAGGATTTGGTTTCTCTGACTGTGCATAGCATCACATGAAAAACATAAACCTTCGTTGATACAGGTCCGAAGGGTTTTCACAAACTATATCAGACGGGCAAGAGCGGCAGAGAACCGCACGGAGTCAGCAAAGGAGCTCAAGAAGATGATTGCTTTCAACACGTTGGTTGTGACTGAAATGGTGGCTGACATTAAGGGAGAATCTTCTGATAAGGAACCTGAGGAGCCTGTTGTAGAGAAAGAAGAATATGGTGAAGATGAGGAGTGGGGATCCCTCGAGTCGCTCAGAAAAACAAGACCCGACAAAGAACTCGCGGAGAGGATGGGAAAGCCTGGCCAGACTGAGATTACTCTCAAAGATGACCTTCCCGACAGGGACAGGATTGATCTGTACAAAACATACTTGGTCTACTGTGTAACGGGAGAGGTAACAAGAATCCCGTTCGGCGCCCAGATCACAACAAAGAGAGACGACTCAGAGTACTTGCTTCTGAATCAGCTTGGTGGGATTCTGGGACTGACTTCGAAAGAAATAGTCAACATCCACGTAGGCTTAGCTGAGCAGGCTTTCAGGAAACAAGCTGAAGTGATTTTAGCTGATGGGCAGTTGACAAAGGCTAGAGTAGAGCAGTTAGACGAGTTGCAGAAACAAGTTGGGTTGCCTCAGCCACAAGCCGAGAAGGTTATAAAGAATATAACAACCACAAAACTGGCAAACGCGATAGAATCTGCCGTTAACCAAGGAAAACTAAACATAAAGGAGATACGGGAGCTAAAGAAGGCAAACGTGAGTCTTGACAGCATGATCTCTGTGAGTCTGAGGGAGAAACTGTTTAAGAAGACAGTGGATGACATATTCTCATCAGGAACTGGTGAATTCGATGAAACCGAAGTCTACGAGACAATCCCATCCGATCTCAGTATTGATGTGGAAAAGGCAAAAGGCGTTGTCCATGATCTTGCTCGGAGTAGATTATCGAACTCGCTGATCCAATCCGTGGCATTACTTAGGCAGAGAAACGCCAAAGGAGTGGTATGTAACTCTTCTCTTTATCTTGACATAAATTCGAAGATACAGTATTTCAAATTGTGGGTAGATGATTTGTGCATATGCTTCTTCTACTATGTGTTATAGGTGTCGTCGCTGAATGATTTGCTTGCATGCGACAAAGCTGTGCCGGCTGAACCGCTGTCATGGGAGGTGTCGGAGGAATTATCGGATCTGTATGAGATTTATTCAAGGAGTGATCCCAAACCGGCGCCGGAAAAAGTGTCGAGGCTGCAATATCTGCTGGGAATAGATGATTCGACTGCAACTGCCCTCCGTGAGATGGAAGATGGGGCATTATCTTCTGCTGCAGAAGAGGGCAATTTCGTCTTCTAAACCTCTTGATAAAATGGCTTTAGTTTCTGGATTTTATGGTTGAGGGAGGAAAGATGATAATTGAGTTTAAATTTTTAGCAAAGCCTGTGAAAATTTTGTATCAGAACCAAACTTGATCTGAGTGGAGTAATTTGAAAATCTGCAGACAAATATAGTAGAGAGGGTGCGATAATCTGCCAATGTGTGAAGCCCCCCCCCCCCCCACCCCCATCTCATACCAGACTTTAATCACACGTGGTGTCACGTGAGTGGTGCTCTCCGTCGGGCGAGCCCAAACGATAGAATAATAAAATGATTGAATAAGATCAATGATTTGACCCTAAGTGAAAGTTGATGTTGTTTATTATTGTGTCACATGACTGCACAAAAGTATGGCAGATCTGATCTGCCTATAGCATGTAATGTTTTTGGCGGAATTGTATAAAGTAGGGTTCATCCTGATCCCTAATCTGGTTTGATTTTTATGATTTTTTTCTACAGTATTTACGATAAATCGATATCAGAGTTTGATAGAGTATGATCCAATCATCCATGAATCGAGTAAAAATAGTATCCGAGATTATTTTCGAGATTACAACAAAAGAGTGGAAAACCAACCAACAAATTTGTAGAGAAAAAAAAAAGCAGAATCATTTGACATCTCTGAGCAACACCTTGATGATGGAAGCGTAACATCCTGAAGATTTAGCATTATAATGCTTAGAATTAGATCCGTAGCTTAAATCACCAGAAGCCGATCCGAACCGCATTGATCTTCGGCTGTTCCTTCCGTACAAATCCGGTGTCCTCAGCGGAGAAGATGTTGAAGACGATGATGATGAAGAAGAACCAGCCGGAGACGACGGAGAGCTACGATTCTTGGAAAACAAGGAAGTGAAGTGAGTGTTTGTTTTTTTAGGTTTTGTAGATGAAGGAGAAGCGTAGAAGGATGAAGGAGGTGGTGTGAGTGGAGCTGAAACCGGAGAATTGGAATCGGAATCCGAACCAAAACCGGAAGAGGAAGATCTTTTAAAGAGCCGGCTTGGAGTTCCGGGGTGAGATTCCCATTTGAAGGGAACAGCAGCCGATGATCCGCCGTAATAGTCGCCTTCGACGGCCACAGGAATGAGTTTGGCCGTGGAAACCATAGAAATATCCGATTGATGAGGCATTGTTTTTAATTTGTGAGGAACTGATTTTGTTTCTGTGTGTTGCTCAACTATAAGAGGATGCAAAGACAGAGACTTCTTGACTTTTCTTACTTACTTTATTGGGTGAGGAAGGTTTAGATTCAGATTCAAAAGTTTTGAATTCTCTGTCGGATTATTTTATTATACATACGTTTTTAATGAGAAAGAGTTGTTAAATGTTAATATATAATGTTACACTCCCTTTTCTGCTATGTACAAGATTTGGAATCTCGATATAGTTTGAAGACTATGCAGGCTTCATGGAAGTTACCGAGAGGATTATCCTGTTCCAGATCATCTGATCCAATTATAAGTCCCTTTATTTTATATACAAAAGAAATTCACACACTTTTGTATTCTACAACTCTCCATGAGATTGGGAGACAACGTTAAAGTCAATGAACTTTTTGACTTTTGAATAATGTTGCTAATGAACTTTTGAACGTTGCTAATGTTGTGGCTATTTACTATTTAGTGAGGGATGACTAACGATATGTTAGTAAGAGATTAATCTTCGTACTATGTCTTGTTTAAACTTTAAACCAACTAATTTGTAGAGACCTAACTAAACTTAGTATCTGTATCACCCTATAGTCTAGTCTAGTATCGGTATCACTTTAAACTAACAAAACTATACTATGTATGCTTTGAAATAAAAGTTTGAGGAAACAAACATTGGACAAGGGATTGCAGTTGCGTGTGAAATATGCCATCCATTAATTAATCTTTTCACAATATCTTTCCTCTCCTTGATTATGTTGCTCATTGACAAAATAAATTGTATAAAGAATCAAGTTTTCGTCATTATTCGTTGCAAGATCGTTATTCCCGCACTTCCCCTTGCTCGAAAACCAAGAATTAAAAAAAAAAAAACATATCGATGATGTTTAACCGTCATTATTGTCGCTTGGAAACAAGTCTGTGCAGAGCTCTCCATAGAATCTAGTCACAAGATCAATGAAGATAGGACTGTTAAGATTTTTCCAATAGAAGAGAAGCTCTTCCATGTCCATCAAGTCATCAATTTTCCCTTCTTCAACGATCACATGGATCATATAGTTCTCGAAGCTCCTGCAAGCCTCTTTCACATCATCTTCCTTTGACATCTCTCTTTGACTCGTCCTCGGTTTCTTGTGACACATCAGCCTTGAATGCATAAGCTTCGGATCATCGATCAAACTAGCTGCATTAATGGCATTATTGTAGAATTAGAATTAAGATTAGAGGCTTACATAGTCGAAATTGTTACAAGAAATTGCTGTTACATGGGGAATTTCTGGGTCTGATCTGGCTCATCCTCTGCTCCTTATATTTACTGAGAAAACAGAGGCAAGACGACAAAGTAGAGGAAGAAGATTGTGTGTTATTGTTATTGACATTGCGAATCCGGGAATGTAAGAAGGAGATGAATCTGTTGCATGACCTGGAAAGCTTTGATTTCAGGTTAGTCAAACTTGACTTAACCCTCATTCTCAACTTTTGCAGCTCCGTTTTGATATTTTTGGTGTTGTATAATGTTAGTTTTGGTGGGAGGGTGGTTTGTGTTACGTGGGATTCACGTCTTTACATTTGAAGTCATGAACCATGGTGGTGGTGGTGTTCCATGAACTTATAAAACCTATTGCTTTAATTATTTTGTTTTTTTTTTGTTAACGAATAATAAAATAAGGTAAGACTGTAAGAGTAATTATGCCAAGTTAAAAAAAAATTGCTTGAGTGAAAAGCATGAAATAGGAGGAATTATTATTACACTTTCCACATCATATTGATATTGGTCGCCGAGTTTTATGCAAAGATGTCTCAACAGTCTTTACAGCATTATTATTATGATGTTATGACTTGTGGCTAAAGAGATTGGACCTCAACCTGAAATATTGTTTAACCTCCTTTGTTGAATCCCTTTTTCACGTTCGCCGAATCATGTTTTGGATTTAACGTACCAGATATATTCTGTTTACTGTAATATTACCCACTGCCAAATCACCCACTGATAAATTCTGTTTACTGTAACATTACAGTTCTCGTTCTCGGTTTAGTTCGGATAATTTATACTTCAATTTGGTTTGATATGACTCTCTTAATTCGGTTTGAGAGAGAAACCGAAATGGGTTTGGACCGTTTGGTACAAGCAACAGACATTCTATACAAAGTGGACCATGTTTTTGTTCTTACATTGTACTTCCCAATCTTCACTTTCTCCTCTCTTTTTATCTGTCCTATAGAAAACTCTTCAACTTGGGAAAACTCAACAGATCTTCTTTCTTTTCTATGGGAAGATCACATTCTCTCTTTTCTATGAAAACATCACAACCTTTTTGAAACAGAGATGAAGAACCATAAGTTCAGCTTTTCAGCTATGATCCCAAGTGAATGGTTCCACAAGCTCAAGAACATGACCAGAACCAGAAAAAAACATCCTCTTCCTTCATATTCCTTAAACACTGCAACCAAGAATAAAACTTCATCAGAGGCTAAGTATCTTCCTCACTCTTCAAGCTCTTACTTCTCAAATAAACCACACACTTGCTTAGAACCTAAGGTCCTTCAAATTTCACCAAGAAACTCTCTTCACGTGATACAGAGCAAAAGAAAGACTGTTTACAAGCCATCTCCTCCTTCCACTTCTTCTTCTGTATCTGCAGGTTCTAACAAAAAGAAGATCAAATTTCTTAGAGACCAAGATTCTTCCGCTGCCTCTTCCAACTTGATACTCAGTTCTTCTGCAGATGATATCAACATCGACACGAATAACAGAGATTTCCAGAAGAGAATGTTCAGAGAGATCAAGGTGTTTGATTCAACGGAGAAAGCCTGTCCTGCAAGTAAAAGAACCAAGGAATCTTTTAAAACCCATCACCTATCTGTCAAGGTTAGAAATAAAGAGAAAGAAGAAGATGCATGTAGAATCCAGAAGAAACATCAGAAAATACTAGTTTCTAGTGGAAGAAGATCATCATCAAACTCTCCAAGAATAAAACTCAGAGTGAGTTCTCCTAGAATTCAAGTCTCAGCGCGTAGAAGCAAATCGAGATCGCAGAGCATACAAGTTCTTGACAGTGTTGCGGTAATCAAGAGTTCTGCTGATCCCAATAAGGATTTCAGAGAATCAATGGTCGAGATGATTGAAGAGAACAACATCAGAGCTTCACAAGATTTGGAGGATCTTCTAGCATGTTACCTTTCATTGAATCCCAAGGAGTATCATGATCTTATCATCAAGGTGTTCGTTCAAGTCTGGCTTGAACTCATAAACTCTAAATTTGCATCGAAGTAAAAACGTGTAATTGTTGTCAGCTATAACTTCTATTAGTTTATGAACAATGAGCAAAAGCTTTAATTATCTGTTAAAAATTGTATTTCCTTTTTAAAGAGTTTGATATAACTTTGTGGAGATTATTTTTGGAACACTAAGTTTTGTTTCTTCTTTTGTTTGGGTAAGGCAATAGCGATAGAAGGATGGATCACTCGCTTTCTTATTGTCTATGGTAGTGGTGATTGGTAAACATAATAAAAAAACACAGTTATTCAGCAATTGAACATTTTACAAAACCATGAGATTAAATCCAACCGCTAACAATTTCTTGAACATTGAAAAATCTCAAAAGAATCGTAATAATTGTATTGGGATTGATCGAAGTTAGCCGTAGTTATCATGACTTATGAGCAAAGTTTTGAAAATATAAGAGTGAAAAATGCCAAGTCACAATAGAAATAAAGGAAAAAAAAAGCCAATAGTGAATAGCAACAAACACACGAAGACAAGCTGAAACCCAACGTACGGAATGGTAATGGGTTCTAGTACTAATGATTAATGATACAAGAAACACGAAAATGGAGCCTGACGAAAATAATCTCCAGAGAGAGAAAGAAACACTGACACAAGAGAGGATATGGTTAAAGAGGAAAATCAGAGAGAGACAGAGGAGAGTTTTGAGAACATATAAGGGGTTCACTGGCGTGTAGGAGAAGAAGAAGATGAGGACCACTGTTTTGCTACTGTTTCCCAATGCTCATCTCCTACCTCTCTAGAGAGAGACGAAACACTGACACAAGACATGATATGATTAAAGAAAAAAAGAATAGAGCATCGAGTTTTGAGAACCTAGAGGCTTCGTTGGTGTGATGAAGAGGAAGATGAAGAAGACCACTGTTTTGCTACTGTTTCCCGATGCTCATGTCCTACCTCTCTACCATTTATACAGTTGGTAGAGTATGTTCATTTTTTTCAGGAATTTGATAAAACCACAAACAAAGACATTAATGGAACACCAAACCCAATTCCAGACCCAAGAATTTGCATCGGCTAATCTGTCTTTTGCATTGGTCCTACTGCTTGTTCCAAGTAACAATGATGTTTGTTACGTTTAACCAAGCAAATAGAAACCGAAAAGAACTGCTCCTCGATTTAACAAAAGATTCACTAGATATTATCATCATCATCATATTAACAAACTTTACGGGTTTTAAAAGACAAAAGGCGACAAAATGTTACCCAGCTTTTTACATTCCATAGATCCCACAGTACGTCATTGTCCAACCTTTGTTAAGCGTCTACACAAAAAAACCTCTGATGTCTACTCCAGTACTTCAGTTCCTATAAGCAAAGAATAACCGGCTTATATGTAAACGTCTGATAGTATTTTATGAAATCCAGAGGAATATATTTTGTATTAATCAGCACTAAACATTTTCTCACAGGTCCACAGGTCGAGTTTCACTTCAAATCTAACTTGAGAAATAAGCGCGACTATTGGTTTCTACGAAATTGGCTCACATAAGATAATACCGTAGACTATGTATGTGTAAACCTCACCTACTCAAGGATTGCGCTCTTTTCGCCTCATCTCAACTCGAAATTTATCTTTAATATCACCCTGTGAGACAATGTGTCAGTTAGAAACGTTATAAAACCAACTGTAAGAGATATGAACAAAGACCAGCAAGATAAGTGAAGCCTATGTACATTAGTTCTGCGCCCTAGAATTGGACACTCATCTTTGATCCGCTTCCAGTTTGCACCATACCTGAATCACACAAACAATAAAATATATCAAATCAATCGAAATGCGTGAAAGAATGTTCATCAAACATCTAAGAGAAGTTTCAGGTTTCAAGTACTTTTCATAGCCTTTCAGTACGGCCAGCGTTTCTGCACTAGTCCAAGGAACTTTCGCCCTTCTACCACCTTGGTTTCTTTTCAAAGGAGACACGACAATTCGTTTACGTTTTGATTTACTACTCTTTTCACCATCTTCGCTCATTTCTCCATCTGATTCATCAATGGAGTCTTCCCACTAATCAAACAAACAAACCAATGTGAAAAAACAAGTCCCACATTATCATGAAAAGCACGTTACTTAAGCTCCCAAACCGAACATGTAAAGAGATCAACTCAATACCAGTTTCCCACCAAGTTGGTCAGACATGAACATATTTACCTCAAAAGTCTGTGCTGTGGCTCTTCGCTGCATCAAGCTAGGACTCGGTGCAGTGTCTGTTGCAGAAGGATTAGCAGCATCATCTTCTTGTTCTGTAATCGACGTATTGTTTAAGTTTGAAGGTCCTCCTCTTTGTAAAGCATTCACCAGATCCATTTTAGAAGCTCTAAGCTTTCTGAGCGCTCTGTCAACAACTGCAGAGGATATGGTCTTGATTTTACGGGGCGGAGATTCAGCTTCCGACTCACCAGATCGTCTTCCCTGTTCAGTACCTGAGAGGCTCTCTATACCAAAAAGTTTTTTTAGAAAAATAATCAAAACCTCAAAAAAAGAAAGAACAAGAAATAAAGCTGAGAGAAACAAGGCTCAGAAAGTGTAGACCTTTGTCTTCCTCCACATCTTCAGAGGCCTTAGAGTTTTGATTGACCTCTAACGCTCTTGATTCGACCATCGGCTCTGTCTCTCCACTTTCCTCGCTAGATTCAACCTCTACCGATTCATCCATGTACTCATTTCTATCACCGTTGGCATAACCATGGTTGGGATGCAGCTCTGTAACGACCTTCCTCAAAGAAAGCAAAGCTTTTTCTCTCGTGTTCTCATCCATCAGAGCCTCACAAGCCTTTTCGTCATTGTGGGCCGTCCATAATCTTCGACAGCTACTCAAGAGGTCACGAGTAACCAAACAACTAACCTTATCGCATAGAGGCATAACCCTACGGAGCCATATCGATCTGATTGCTTCAGTATAAGCCTCTCTTTCGTCTCTCTCGCTTGCGAGGCACTTCGCTGTGCATTCCACAGCAACTTTACAGTATGCTTCCTTCACTGATTCGGGCACTTTAGAACCTTCTCTGTGCAGAATCTCCACTAGATTCTCCAGCCGCTCGAGATTCTTCTCCTCCACAACTCCGTCCTCAATCTCCATGAAAATCCCTTCCAGAATAGCTTCCTTCCACTGCGACAATGCCATCGTTGCCAACTCAACCAAACAATGTTAGGGCTTTTCAGAGAGCTGCGCACTCTGTCGCTCGTCGATTCCGTGTCTCGGATTGGATTATACACGAAAGGTCGATTAGGTTTGTGACACTTCGATTTCCAATTTTGTAACTTTCATTGTTCAACTCTCTTTTCTTTCCCGGGGTTCGATCTCAGAGGCGGAAACGGAGACGGAGACGAAGACGAGGCGATGTATGAAAACAACAACGTGTGGCGTTTTGTATTATAATAAACGGCTCACATGCCATGTCTCTACGGATAAAACGGCATGATACTGCAGTTTTGATTGTGCGTTTCAGTGATTCTAATTTTCTCTTTTTATCCTTTTTAAAATAAAATAAACGGAAATTCAGAAGAGGGCAATAGCGGCGGAATCGGATTCATAGCGTGCAGAGAGGCAAGACCTAAGAAGAGGAAGCAGGAGACAGTCTTACAGCAGCACTTCTTCCCGAGTCGCTATCTTCTCAGAACAAGAACAATGTCTGCAGCGAAATCCGCTTCGACCTTGGACAATGTAGTGGTGAAGTCACCGAACGATCGGAGGCTATACAGAGTGATTGAATTGGAGAACGGATTGTGTGCTCTGCTTATTCACGATCCAGATATCTATCCCGAAGGCTCTGTTGCGGATGGCCACCCCGATGAAGATGAAGAAGACGGAGAAGAAGAAGAAGGTAGTGACGGGAGCGATGAAGAGGATGAAGATGATGAGGAAGGAGACGAAGATGATGAGGAAGAAGGGGAAGGAGATGAAGATGATGATGAGGATGAGGATGAAGTGAAAGGGAAAGGGGATCATCAGACCAAAAAGGTTTTCAGTTTAAGATATTTCACCTGCTTTGTCACTCTTATCAAATTAGATTTTAAACTCCTATGTTTTCTCCTGTGCGATTCAGGCAGCTGCAGCTATGTGTGTTGCAATGGGTAGCTTCTTGGATCCCCCGGAGGCGCAAGGCCTGGCTCACTTTCTTGGTATTTTCATTTTTTTTTTTATGAGTTTGAACTTAGTTTAATTTCACTTCTTTTTTCTTTAGTGTTGAATCACTCTATTGTTAATGTTTTGTGCAGAACACATGCTTTTTATGGGTAGCACCGAGTTCCCCGATGAGAATGAAGTAAGCAGTGCATTGTTTTCTATGTTTGCAATTGTTTTTATCTTTGAATTACAAAACTAAACCCAATCAGCATGATTAGATATAAATGAGATTTTTTTTTAGAGCTTGGACTATGAATGCTGGTTCAATCTTTTCTACGTTTAGTACAGACTTTGCTTTGTTAGCATTATGTATCTTTGAAAAATTTTCGGGTTTGACTTTGTTTTGCTTGTAGTATGATAGTTACTTGTCTAAGCATGGAGGATCCTCTAACGCATACACCGAAATGGAGCATACATGCTATCACTTTGAAGTCAAGAGAGAATTCCTTCAAGGTGCCTTGAAAAGGTACTAATTTTGGTTGAGCTGACACTTCACTTGTCTTTTTAAATGTTATTTGCTCTAAATTACCAGGGCAGGAGATACATGTGTCGGTATGCATGCCTAGAGTTTGTTATCATCGGTATATAATAGTGATGATATATTGGAGAAAGATGCATAGTTCTGTTTATCGTTCTTGCTCCTTAAACGTAAAATGTCTCTGTAATATATGCTGTAAAACATTTTCCATAAGCGATACTTGATTTTGCTATTAGGTTTAATCTTTTCGTTTCATTTTGTTCTTTGCTATACTTATTTGACCTTTAATTTTTCTCTTGTTATTAGGTTCTCTCAGTTTTTTGTTGCTCCGCTCATGAAGACTGAAGCCATGGAACGAGAAGTCCTTGCTGTTGATTCAGGTTTCTCTTGCCTGTTAATCATACCCTTGATTATTTGTTAGAAATTACTGAAAGATCCATCTTAAGTCAACATTCAGATAGATTAACCTTCTTATACAGTTTAAAATGTCTTGCTAACAAGATCCAAATTTTGTAGAATTTAACCAGGCCCTCCAAAATGATGCATGTCGCCTGCAACAATTTCAGTGCCATACGTCTGCAAAGGGTCATCCTTTTAATAGGTTCGCATGGGGTAAGGACATCTCGGTGTACCTTTCTGGCCACACTTAATATATTCATGAAAAAAAGTTGGTCTTAATCTCCTTCGTGTGCTCTGGAAGGTAACAAGAAGAGCTTGAGTGGTGCAATGGAAAATGGGGTTGATCTGCGGGAATGCATTGTGAAATTATACAAGGAATATTACCATGGTGGATTGATGAAACTCGTTGTCATTGGAGGAGGTAAAATTCTCTCGGTTTATGATGTGTTGTTTGGCTCTAATTTCTGGAAAAACGTTATTTACATTTCTAAATATTTTCTCGTGTTGCTGTTTGAGTTTGTTGTAATTTAATGGTTGCCTGTAAAATCTTGCAGAATCTCTCGATATGCTTGAAAGTTGGGTTGTAGAACTATTTGGTGATGTCAAAAGTGGATCCAAAATCAGGCCAACTCTGGAGGCAAAAGGTCCTATTTGGGAAGGTGGTAAACTATATCGCCTAGAAGCTGTTAAAGATGTTCATATTCTTGATTTGACATGGACTCTCCCTCCTCTTCGCCATGCCTATGTGAAGAAGCCGGAAGACTATTTAGCACATCTATTAGGACATGGTGAGGAATCACATCCATTTTATCTTTTATATAAAGACAAGCGTGCTTGTGCATGCACTCATGTAAACTGCATAATGAATAATGTTGTTTATACCATAATCTTCTGTAGAGGGTAGAGGAAGTCTTCATTCATTTCTCAAAGCTAAGGGCTGGGCAGCCTCGCTGTCTGCTGGTGTCGGGGATGATGGAATTAACCGCTCATCTCTAGCCTATGTTTTTGGAATGTCCATACATCTCACTGACTCTGGTTTAGATAAGGTAACTTAATATGTATTATTTATTAAATTTTTACCTAAGTTTAACGCATGGTTTAATTCATATACCTTCGTTCTTCTCCTTACATTTGCTATGATACTCATTTATATTTGAAACTTATGACTGTTAACAGATATATGACATCATTGGTTACATCTATCAATATCTCAAGTTATTGCGTGATGTGTCACCACAAGAATGGATATTCAAGGAACTCCAAGATATTGGGAACATGGACTTTAGATATGCTGAGGAACAGCCTGCAGATGATTATGCTGCGGAGCTCTCAGGTTGGTACTTATGTGGTCATTCCTCTAGTTCTTTTAAGGCGTTAATAGTGGTTAGCTTATGATGTTGGCCTGTAAAGCCTATATGTTTTAAGAATTTATCATGCATTGATTTATAGTTGTAATGTGAATCATAATGAGTTATTGAAAGTAACCATCGAAAGTGTTATTGTACAGAGAATATGCTTGCTTATCCGGTGGAGCATGTTATTTATGGTGACTATGTATACCAGACATGGGATCCAAAAATGATAGAAGATCTCATGGGTTTCTTCACACCAAAAAACATGAGGATTAATGTTGTTTCGAAATCCAACAAGTCGGAAGGTACTTGAGGGATTTATCGAGTATGTAATTTTTGGATTGCATATTTATAGTCTCACTATCTTTCTTTTGAAACTTCCTTGTTTCAGAGTTCCAAATTGAGCCTTGGTTCGGCTCTCTTTACACAGAAGAAGATGTTCCGTTGTCATTGATGGAAACATGGAGCAATCCTTCAGAAGTAGATAACTCCTTGCATCTCCCTTCAAAAAACGAATTCATTCCGTGTGATTTCTCCATCCGAGCCATTAGTTCTGATGGGGATCCCAAAAGTCAGTCTCCCCCTAAATGTATAATTGATGAACCGTTCATGAAGTTCTGGTACAAGCTTGACGAAACGTTTAAGGTTCCTCGTGCAAATACATACTTCCGCATAAATTTGAAGGGGGCATATGACAGTGTGAAGAACTGCCTTTTGACGGAATTATTTATTAACCTTTTGAAAGATGAGCTAAACGAGATCATATACCAGGCAAGTAACTTACCTTTAGGAAGATCTTTTTAGATGTTTTTTTGTTGTATTGACATAAATATCTGTTTTTTTTGCAGGCCAGTATAGCAAAACTGGAAACTTCTTTATCTATGTATGGTGATAAACTAGAGCTTAAAGTGTATGGCTTTAATGAAAAGATTCCAGCTCTTTTATCAAAATTTTTAGCCATAGCCAAATCCTTCATGCCAAGCTTGGACCGTTTTAAGGTATGTGAATTTATACTTTTTATTCTCTTTCAGTCTTGAATTTCAAATTTTGTGTCAATTTCTTTTCCCCATTCTTTCTTGATTAAACTACCTTCTCTATCTAACCTTGCAGGTTATCAAAGAAAACATGGAGAGAGGGTTTAGAAATACTAATATGAAGCCTTTGAACCATTCCACATACCTGAGACTGCAACTCTTGTGTAAACGAATCTATGACAGCGACGAGAAGTTGTCTGTACTAAATGATTTGTCTCTCACCGATCTCAACAGCTTTATTCCTGTAGTTCGCTCTCAGGTAACATTCTGCATTAACCGCTTTTAATGTGATTCCCCTTTTACTTAATACACGACTACTTGTCTTTGTGATTGTTCTCTGGTTTTGTTTAAATCGGGCGAAGGTTAGGTAAAACGTTTGTTATGTTTGCAGATATTTATTGAGGCTCTATGTCATGGTAATTTGTCGGAAGCCGAAGCGGTAAACATATCAAACATATTCAAAAACAGTTTGACAGTTGAACCGCTCCCAAGCAAATGTAGACATGGAGAGCAGATAACGTGTTTCCCTCTGAATGCCAAAATTGTGAGAGATGTAAATGTGAAGAACAAATCTGAAACAAACTCGGTAGTCGAGGTAAAAAGAAAATCATATGATTCTTGTGATGAGAGTCGGCCAAGTAGAAACTATAGTAGGTTTCTCGGATATAGTCATGGTTATGAATTGGAACATGAATCCTGTTTTGCAGCTTTACTATCAAATCGAGCCGGAAGAAGCTCAATCAACAAGAATGAAAGCTGTGCTGGATCTCTTTCATGAAATCATAGAAGAGCCATTGTTCAATCAGTTGAGGTTAGTCATCATATGTTTTCCTTGTTTGTTTTATAGATCAAACTGTGTCTGTGTATAGTCATACATGTATATGCGGTTTTGGCAATAGGACAAAGGAGCAGCTCGGTTATGTTGTCGAGTGTGGCCCTCGCTTGACTTATCGTGTCCACGGTTTTTGTTTCTGTGTTCAATCTTCTAAGTACGGTCCAGTTCATTTGCTCGGGAGAGTCGACAGTTTCATAAAAGACATCGAAGGGCTGCTGGTAAGTTTGTAATCAAAAAGAAGATATTAAGCTGTGTTAAAGTATTTTCCATCTCATTCCACAAATGTTATTGGGGTTTTAATTGCAGGAACAACTCGATGAAGAATCCTTTGAAGATTATCGAAGTGGTATGATTGCCAGATTGCTGGAAAAAGACCCCTCTCTCTTGTCTGAGACCAATGAGTTATGGAGTCAGATTGTTGACAAAAGGTAAGGAGCTCAAGGGTTTGAAGTATGAGATCTGTAGTTTTATATGAAAAAAAAAAAAAGTTCAGTGAGTTGCTTCATTCCATATCTGTCACCAACTAATAAAAATGGGGTTAACTCTCACAGGTACATGTTTGATTTCTCCCACAAAGAAGCAGAAGAACTAAGAAGCATACAGAAGAAAGATGTGATCAATTGGTACAAGACCTATTTCAGAGAATCGTCTCCCAAATGTCGTAGGCTTGCGGTTAGGGTTTGGGGATGCAATACAAATATGAAAGAAACTCAGACAGATCCCAAGTCGGTGCAGGTCATCGCCGACGCTGTTGCTTTCAAGTCAACTTCTCAGTTTTACCCAAGCCTCTGCTAGTGAGAGAGAGAATCCAACACTTAAAAACGAGTTTTGCTTCGTCTTTTTCTTTACCTCTGATACTTTCATTTACTCAATTTTCTTAATACTCAAACCTGTTATATACTTTGGGTTAAAACCACCAAAAAATGTCGCTTTTTTGTTATGATTTGAGAATATTCATTGAAATTATGTTTTGTCGGTTGGTTGAAGTTGAAATCTATTGCTCCAACACACGGTGGACAGCTAGTGACTTTTTTAATTAAATAGAATATAATACTCACTCTCAGGCATATTTGTAAAATATCCATGCCATAAAAAGCAGCATAACTATTATAAAAACACACAAACAATTTTCACTATACAAGGCATACCTTATTTTGGAACATTGCATTTTTTACATAACCAACGGTAAAGATCTTAACAGCAATGTGGATCATGAATTTTTTTACAATTACAATTTTATCCCGCTGTTAATTGCTGGTGGGGCCTATCAAGTATCATCAACGTAGAAAGCGAAAACTATCTTCTTCCTCTCTCTCACTATTTCCTCTGTACGGTGCTGAGTGCAGACCATCAAATTGCAAAAATAGGATTCTCTCTTTTTACATAATCTGAATCTCTTCTCCTCCGTCGAAGTTTGAATTCCTCTGGTTCTCCCGTGAGTTTTCTCTCTCTCTCTCTCTCTTCCCTTTCTCCCTTCCATATGCTCTCGTTGTTTCATTTCGCGGCTCTTCAATTCCCGTTCAACTAAGTTCTGATCTCTGTCTCATAACAGCAGATCTAGGGTTTATGGCTTCTGGATTTCAATAAATCTTCTTCGCTCTCCGACTTCTGTTAATGTTCATCTAACGAGTTTCTATTTCTCCATTGCTGCAGTCTAGCTGTCCCAGCTTCGATTCTCTCGCATTCACGTATACGTTATGCACGAATGAGGTTCGCTTTCTCCAGATCGCTCTTGTTTTCCGTACGTTTCACTGGTTAGTGTATGATTCGAAATCGATTTAAAAATTTTGGTGGATAGATCATCGTAGATCGTGATTGAAGCGAGAGAAAATTAGGAGAGCGAAGATGAGCGAGGGCCAGAAGTTCCAGCTGGGAACAATCGGCGCTTTGAGTTTGTCCGTTGTGTCGTCTGTGTCGATCGTGATCTGTAACAAGGCGCTTATTAGCACCCTTGGCTTCACATTCGGTAACCTATTCAATTCTTCCTCGTGGATTTTAGTATTTCAGCCTCCTTTGATAATCCATGTTACTGCGGCAAACATTTCTTCTGGATCTGTACTTGTGCTTGTATGCTAAAGTTTGCATAACGAATGAGTTGAATGATAGGTTAGAGATCCTTGTAATCCATACTACGGTGTTCGGAATTGTTAGGTTGTTATCTCCTTTTTTCCCTTTTATGGTCCATAACGAGAATTGCCTTTATGATTGTAAATGTTTAGAAAGCTTCATATCTTTGGTACGTTATATAAACGCTTTAGATGCTTCTCTGACTTTAAATGATGTTTGTGCTTTGTGTGTTCCCAAAAATTGGAATTCTCTGGTTACTTTATAAGGTGCTTTTCTACTTTAGCTTTTCTTTTCTGTGGGACTCAATACACCGGCAGTTCCTATGTAGTATTACACTGAGCAGGACGCTGATCAACCATTTTTGAAGCTTCCATCACCATATATGTCATCATACGCAACTGATCTCATAAGCTATGTGTACTTAATCTTTGTTATTTTGTACGTACAGCGACTACTTTGACTAGTTGGCATCTTTTGGTCACGTTTTGTTCCCTCCATGTGGCATTATGGATGAAGATGTTTGAACACAAGCCTTTCGATCCACGAGCTGTGATGGGATTTGGCATATTGAATGGGATATCCATAGGATTATTGAACCTCAGCCTGGGCTTTAATTCCGTTGGTTTTTACCAGGTATAGCTTTGTCATTCCAGCTGCTTCTTGATAATATCCTTTTAACCTGCGTTTCTTAAACCCATCTTCTCTTCTGTCGATATTAGATGACAAAACTAGCAATCATCCCCTGTACTGTACTCTTGGAGACCCTCTTCTTCAGGAAAAAGTTCAGGTTAGCACCCAAAGTTCTCTTACTTGTTGTACCTTTTCTATTACACGTGAATGGTTATTAATTTGGGGGAAGCTATTTTATATGACATCTATCTTTCCCATGTCCCTTTGGTTTGATAATTCGTCCTCAGAAATTTTCATGGCTCCACAAGTTTCTCAAGCTATTCTGTGGTCAAGGGCCTAGTTAATGAATAATGACACACTTCTTTTTGTTTGCAGTCGAAAAATTCAGTTTTCATTAAGCATCCTTCTCCTTGGTGTTGGAATTGCAACCGTCACAGATCTTCAACTTAACATGTTGGGTTCGGTCTTGTCGCTGCTGGCTGTTATCACAACATGTGTTGCTCAAATTGTATCCTCTGCTTAGCTGTTCTTTTCCCATTGCTTTTATCTTTCGAACTGTCTTTATATTTTCTCTTAAGCCAATTAGATGCTGTTATCTTAACCAATAATGCACAGATGACAAATACCATCCAGAAGAAGTTCAAAGTTTCATCCACGCAACTTCTTTATCAGTCATGCCCGTATCAAGCAATCACACTTTTCGTCATTGGGCCATTTTTAGATGGGCTCCTAACCAACCAGAACGTGTTTGCTTTTAAGTACACTTCTCACGTTGTGGTGAGACTCAATCTGCCAGGGATTCTACCCGAACTTACTAACAGATGTTCTTGCTTCCATGTTGATTCTGCATACTTACACGTGCTTCTTTGTTAACTGCAGTTCTTCATCGTTCTGTCTTGTCTCATATCGGTCTCTGTAAACTTCAGCACTTTTCTGGTCATTGGAAAAACGTCCCCTGTGACATATCAGGTTCTGGGACATCTGAAAACATGCCTGGTTCTAGCATTTGGCTATGTGTTGCTGCGAGACCCGTTTAACTGGCGCAACATTCTCGGTATTATGGTGGCTGTGGTTGGAATGGTTGTTTATTCCTATTTCTGCTCGATTGAGACTCAGCAGAAAGCAAGTGAAGCATCAACTCAATTGCCTCAGGTATATTTCCTCTGCTAATATCTTTCTGCTGCCTATGTATAGCGTAATAGTATTGAATGCTGGACACCAATAACTGATCCCTGATTCATATTAAAGAGGACTCGCCGACTTGTATCTATCGTATGATTCCCAAAAATAGAAACCCATTTTTCCCATAAGAATTATTTTTAATCAAAAAGAGTGAGGGGAAAGTGATAGTAGTGGTCTAGTTAGATGATTCATTGATTCCCCTTTAAATCGTAATCATTTTATTGTACCATTGGTTTTGAAATAAGACTGCTATCAGAAAAGCAACCATATCCTAGGCATTAAACAAGTCTATGCTGATTTTGTGTCATGTTATTGCTGTACAAGAAAAAATAATATAAATGATGTTACTTGGGTGGTTTCGCAGATGAGTGAGAGCGAGAAGGATCCGCTAATAGCAGCGGAAAATGGAAGCGGAGTGTTATCAGATGGTGGTGTGGGTGTGCCAAAGACAGTGGCTCCTGTATGGAACTCAAATAAAGATTTTCAAGCCTAAAGCTGATCATCGCTCAATTTTTTTTATATATATATCAAACTCTCTTTTGTATCAGATTTGTCCAAAGCAGAAAGAAAAAAACGTTTTTTAATTCCTCTCTTTTGTTTGCTTCTCTTTCTAAATCGCATAGCAGAGAGGTAGAGGAGACTGAAAAATCAATAATCAACAGCTTTCCACACCGTATGGAAAAAGGAAGAAAGTAGTGAGGGGAAAAAAGGGAATAGCATTGATGATCCCAATTTTATTATACAGAGCGGTTTTTTTTCGTTTTTGGATTTAGTACTACATCTGTATTCTAAAGTTGTGGCTATATATTCATCAACGCTGGAAACATGTATTTGATTTTTCAAGACTCCTTAATATGAAGTGTGTACTCCATTCTCTTAACCAACGTATTTTTCTCATTCCATGTTTTTGACCAGAGAGGTTGAGCGTGTAATAAGTTTCTGATATTCGTGGAGATATAATTTTGGTACAGTGAGCAATATACATCGAAGCACCAGTGGTCTAGTGGTAGAATAGTACCCTGCCACGGTACAGACCCGGGTTCGATTCCCGGCTGGTGCAGTTCGTTGGAGCTGTGAAGAAATTGGTTAAAGCGTTGGTTGGGTCCTTCGCACTCATCTGATTTCCAGATGTTACCGCCGCACTCTGAGCTCTCTCTTTTTAATTTTATATTAAAATTAATTTCCTGTTTATGGAAACTTCCCAATTGGTTAGAAATAGAATGATCGTTAGCCTACTCTTTTTTTTATTTTATTTTTGTTTCGTGCATGTAACAATTGCTTATTATCCTTGTGTCTTCTTTGTAAAGGTGGAAAAGCTTCTCGACTCTTGTCTTTGCATTGCAATCAAAATGTCAAAAGGATGTGCATCTGAGCACCTGGAGCAATCGTGTGTTAATATGCAACTATTACGGATGAATCAGAAGAAGCAGGGTACTCACTTTACGCTTATGTTTGACAACGACTGCCATTACAAATGATTGCATTATAGGTTTCAACAAAAATCACTGCAAAAATGCTGGGAATTTTCATTTTCCTTGGTTTTTCTTTTAGGATCTAATGCATTCCATGTCTTCCATAGAAGTACACAGAACGAAAGAATTTCTCTGTTAGCTTCGGAGCCAAAATGGATGGCACACCTCATCTATTCAATTTCCTGCTTAATCTTAAGAACCCTCCACACACCTGTACCGGTCATGAAACATCAACAGCAGCTCCCTTTTCGATAACTTTGTCATGGTGTATTGTGTCTGAAACTTTGCTCGGTGGCCAATACCGAAACACGGATCTTCCAATTATATTCTTTACTGGAAGTGGACCCCTGCGTTTTACATTCACCACAATCATCATCCATGAATCAACAGAGTTTCCACAATTTAACACACAAGAACCATGAAACATCAGATATCTTCCAAAGTGGTTTACCAGTTATGAGAGTCAAAGCTTTTGTTCCGGTTGTCTCCTAGGACAAAGACATAACCTTCTGGGACGAACTGCAAATAACAGGGAAAGCCAGCTTAGCAGCATTACTCTTTTACAACTTTAAGGTCGAGAATCATTAAACTAGCAAGTGCATGTTTGTTTACCATTGGTTCCATTTCATAGTTAATTGGCTCTATGACAAAATCCTCTACTTGAACGGTGTCATTCACTAAGAGCTTTCCATCGCAAACCTATATGATAATACAACATCCATAGGTTAGACAGGAAAATGATGCAGAAACAGAAAACAAAGAGTAAGCGTCTGTTTGGAGGAGGCTGGTCATTCAAGAAGCCACTACCAAAGTAATACCAATAAAGGTGAGCAAAGACTTCAAAGGATGAATAAGATCAATCACCAAGTGGATTAAATATGAGGGCTTACTTCAACCCAGTCACCTTCGCTTGCAACTATCCTTTTTATGAAAACATCCGTACAGTTGTAACCATGTTCCTGCATTTTTGCAACCAAAAAAATATATATATATATATCAAACACCTCTGAAACAGGTTTTAAAACATATAAAAAACAAGAAGGGTGGTTTGTCACCTACCACCAAAATGGGAGGAGCCTTGAAGATGACTATATCCGAAACCTCTGGCTTTCTGAAAAAGTACGAGACCTGACCAGCACCAAAAAGCACATACGCATATCAATCACTCAGACATGAAGCCACACCAACAATTAAAACCTTGATGTTCAGCTATTACATATATAAACATCAACACACATTTAAGACGATTACCATCAAAGTTATAATGCAGAACTGCTTAAAGCTACCATTTTTAACAGATCAAAAATCAATCGTAGACAGAACAACAGGGATACATTCAAAGGAGTAGTAAGAAGACATGTTGGATCTCTAGTGAGAGAGGAAGCGCTCAAAATGCACAATTATATAGCCAGAAACCAGTAATCTCACCTTCTCGGCCATAACACGATCACCCACGTCGAGAGTAGGGTACATAGATGTTGAAGGTATAGACTTTGGCTCGGCCAATGCCGAACGGAATAGGAGAGAGACAGTCACCGCCGTGAAAGCAGCTTTAGCATCCTCCGAGCAGATATTCAACAGCTTATTAACCCATCCGTTTCCAACATTGGGGGTTTTACTACTTAGCGCCAGCTTCACTTTGGCATCAGACGCCGTTCCTCCCCTATCAATCTCCGTTGATAATGTCGCCGGAATGCTACAAGGCATCCACTTAGACCCTCTAAGGAACGGGATTACCGAAGAAGTCTTCAATGGCGAGATCCCGAGGACGTTCATCCCCAAGAACTCTGGAGCTGCGGTTAATTTCATGATGGAGATCACCCCCAACACAAGCGGACTCTGGCTTCCTTCTTCGATGATTCCCCTCGCGATGGTGCTATACCTGGAAGCTGGTCGGGCAAGAGAGCTAGGACCGGTGGTCCAGGTGCTGGATCCGGGAGATTTATCCATATCGGGTTTCTGGCTGTGGCCGAAGAATCTGGGACGGAGCCAGCACTCGAAGCATGATCGGACGTCGCCGGTGGTACCGACGCGAGTCGCGGCAGATGAAGCAATGTTTCTAGCGACATAGCTGGAGTATGTTAAGGTGACCCTAAGCGACATAAATGAAACTGTGAACGACGAAGGGGTAAATTGAGGTTTCGAGAGCGAGGAGGTTTTAGGCCTTAATGAAGACCTAAAGAGAATATAAGTTAATCAATCGAGAAATTTGAGAATCGATCTGCCGGCGAGAGAAACGGAGACCCTTTCCGCCGGCGAAATCGAGTTTTTCAGGTGGCAAACGAAAGCGAGAGGAAAAGGGGAGAGAAATCTGGAGATCCCAGAGAGAGGGGGAAAAAGGTCGAAAGCAGAGAGAGTCTTCTTGTTCTCGAGTTTAGAGGAATCAGTTAAAAAAAAATTAGGGCCAAAGTTAAAATGGGCCCACAAAATATACAATTTCCGTACATATCCCAAAGTCTATTTAGATTTTCAGTCATGCGCAGTTACTACTTTCCCGATACTCGACTTCCCATTATATTTTGTTACTTAGCAGCAATTTAACAAATTATCAATCTGTTCAAGTAACCTTTATGATTTTGCAAATTAGATAACATAATGCGTAACGTGAAAACATAATACCAAAAAGTCTTATTCACTTCATCAACATTCCACATTTCCACTATCAATATTACTGCTATAGTACCAAAAAGTCTTCTTCACTTCACCATCATTCCACATTTCCACTATCAATATTACCTGCTATAGTATATGTAAATTGTAATTATGAATTTTATTTTCACGTAGAGGCGTAAACATGTAAGGCGGACTCGGGCAAAAAAAATAGCGCATGACTTCAGCGCATACGTCATCTCATATTCGCTGATATTTCATTATTCCTTAAGTAATCAGTCTAATACTGTATAGAAAATCAGAAAATAAACATCTGACTTTGGGAACTTAGTCGTTAACTTAGGAAAGTTAAGTTTGACCACAACCTAATCAAAGAATGGATTCAGTATTATTATTTTTTTCATTTTGTCGGCTGGATTCTGTTTTGTCATCCTAGTTTTACTAGCATTTAAATGAATTTGGTAACATTTTTTTAACACACTCAAAAAACGGTTTGAGCGAATAACATTTGATGTAGCTGAGAAATGATGAAGGCAAAAAAAAAAAGAGTTTCTTACAGATACACATTTGTTATATGGGTGTGGGCCAATGGCCCCAGAACATATTAGAGAAATATTGGGCCGACGTAAAGATATTAACAATATCTGTAGTGTATTAGGCCACACGAAATGGGTTAGCTAATCTTTTTAACAGCTTTACGCCTGTCCTAGACAATTGCTGAAGTGAATCTCTACCATCTCTAATCCTCACTGTAGCGCTAGTAGATACTTGTTTTCTATTAATTCTTTAACAATTTTAATTCCTTACCAACTTTGATCTTCTTCCTGGCTGTCTTTTTTCTAATTCCAGTTTATGAAATTTAAGTGCGATATAATGTTCCAACAGTTTGTGATGAACATCAAAGCACCAGTGGTCTAGTGGTAGAATAGTACCCTGCCACGGTACAGACCCGGGTTCGATTCCCGGCTGGTGCATCCGGAGCTGTGAAGACATTGGTATAGCGATGGTTGGTTCCTTCGCATTCAACTGCTTTCCAGTTGATAGCGCCGCAAACCTGAGCTCTAATTTTTTTTCCTTCGGTTTTCTTGATCTTTTTTTGTATAAAAGATCAAACCCAAATACCAAGTTCTAACCTACCTTAACAATAGTATTTGACATAAAATAAGTAAACGTAGCAAACAAGCATCACTGTATCCAAAGGGAAATGAAATTTATTAACATCCTTTGTCCCCTGAAGAACAAAACAATGGGAGTAGCAAACAAAGAAACCCACAATGACAAATTTAACAAACATAATAGCAACACAGTTTTTATACGTCCTCTCTCCTGATATTGGCACCTCAAAAACAAAAAAAAAGAATAATAAATAATCGAAAGTGAAACAAAAAAAAATCTAATGAATTTGAAAAGCCTATTAACAAGTGTATTCATCAGCCGCATGGTCTTGTCAATACGCAGAGCTACTCTCACTAGCAGAGAGCGAAGGTCCTTCAGATTTGACTAAGCTTGAGCTATTGCTACTTATATCTAGCCCTTGCAACCGCCCGTTCTGCAGAAACTCCGACACGCTCTGAGAATTCGACATCTCCATTTGATGGTTAGGATTGAAACTGTGCATCTGCATATCCTGGCCGTTGATTGAGCCATGATATGGTGGAATTGCCATGAATGTCGAAGGTGAATACTGAATCTGCTGCATTCCCATATCGAACGAATCTGAATTACCCGACATTTCTCCCGTCTCCATCTTCATCCTTTCCACTTCTTTCCTCAAAGCTTCATTTAGAGCTGTTTTGCATTCACAAAATCAAAGCAGAGGTTCAACATCACAGAGGCAGAATGCATACAAAGAATGAACTTTTTTTTTTCTTTTCCGTTTACCATTACGAAGCTGAGCCTGTTGCTCCATTGCTTGTAACCTGAGTTTCAGCTCTGTGTTTTCGTTTGCCAGTCCATTTGTGTCTCTCTGTTTGACCAATCAAACACCATTGAATTAAGATTGTGGTTTGAAATTCACAAAAAAAACATGGTCGATTCCAGATCAAGCTATATGAGTAGCAGAACAGAGCAAAGACCTCTACTTTATTCTTGTTGATAACAAACAAAGGAATCGAAGAGAAACCTGGAAGAGAGTGAGCTGAGCGGAGAGAGTGGTGGCTTCGGTTTGAAGCGATTGAACTTTACGCTCAAGTTCCTGAATGTATCGAGCTTTCCTCTCCTTGGAACGAGCTGCAGATTGCCGATTCGCTAAAATTCTGTAATCAATCCCCAATCCCTAATTTTGTAATTCCGTTGGAAATTCCCATTGAATCCGGAAGCCTAATGGGAAGAGATTCATAATAAATTTGGGGGTCAAAAAAGTTGGAGGAAAGAACCTTTTGGCGCGTTTGGGGTCGATGTTCCAGAGCTCGGAGAGCTTTTCGGGAGGCATGGCTTTCTTTGCGTCCATGATCTCACTGGCATACATGGCGCATCCAGCGTCAACGGAATTGCTGTGACGGTGGCGAGGACGGGATGAGGAGGAGGTCGGCGGGGGAATGGCGCCGGAAACGGAGTTGGAGGAGGAGGGATTTGGAAAGGAGGGCTGCGGATGAGGATTTGAGGAGAGGCTATCGACATCGATGAAGGACGAGAAGAGGTCGTCGTCGGAGGGAAGGTCGTCGGAGGAAGGTGGTGCGCCGGAGGAGGAGATGAGCGGATCCATGAACATGAACATCGACATATCGTCGGAGCGAGATCGGCGGTGGAATGAAGCGGGAATGGGATCGGCATTTGGATTGGAATGCGGATCGGTGGGGATAAGAGCGGTAGGCTTCGATGGAGGATCCGATTTCTCCATTCAAATTGATTTGAATCTATGAAGGAATGCTGTGATGTGAATTCCTCAAGGCAAGGAGCGGAATGAGAACAAATGTCTGTAAAGACGAAGAAGGAGATAATGATGGAGATGAAGCTTTCTCTTTCTCTCTCTCTCAAAAAAAAAAAAAAAATGAAGAGCGTAGGAGGAACTCAACTGTGAGGAGAGAGAAGTGACGTCACTAACTATAAATTGCCAAAATAAATGAATTATATCTTTTCTATTGGTCGGTTTATAAAAAAGTATTATTTTTTGTATAAAAAATTAGTGATGAAAAGTAAAAGGCACATTGACACGTGAAGCATCGCAGCATCTTGTCTCCCTCTTTTTAATTTTGATATTTTTTTGTATTAGTTATTTAATTATCTCTTCAGTGACTAATTAGTACTACTACATTTTCGCTTTTATGTTTTTAAAAAACAGTAATAAACCTCATAGTACCATTACAAGTTTTTGTAGTTGCATCAACAACGTTTTGAGCAATTATTGCATAACATCTCGCCACGTCTGACTCAATAAGCTTTGCCATTTAGAAATACAAAAAAGAAAGAAAAAAACATCAAGAAAGAAATCGGTCAACGAAATTGGCAATTGGGAAGATGTTTAAATGGGAGGAAAAGATTATGTTACATTTCAAAAAGATTCTCGATTTTGGAGATCCATATTCAGCACCGAGCTGATGCTCTTTTTGTGCAAGACATGGTGAAAGCTGTAGAAGTTATGAAACCATGACTCAAATCAAGACAAGATTACTTTCGGACTACATGGATCTTAAAGTGAAATTATGATTTTTTGTAATGCGACTTCTTCGTCATTAGGTAGTCGTATAAATACAAAATATTTGCTCCTCTTTCCATAACCACATATGTTGCGCCTGTAGCTCAGTGGATAGAGCGTCTGTTTCCTAAGCAGAAGGCCGTAGGTTCGACCCCTACCTGGCGCGTCCATCTTTATCTTTTCTTGAAACGAGAAGATAAGATTTTTTGGGCCTTCTCTTCATTGGGCATCAGTTTATTTTCTTGAAACGCCACGATGAGTTTTTTTTGGGCCTTCTCTTCATTGGGCCATCTGGCAATTGGGCATCAGTTTATTTGCTAGTCAAATGGAAACGAAAGATATCTCCTTTATTTTCCACACTGTTCTTTTAATTTTTTTTTTTTAATTTTTAGTTAAGAATTCTCTTAAGCGCCATAAGTGGACCGGTATCATCATTTAATAAACTTTACCCCATGTCAATTAATAACCAAGAAGACTTAATGATGCTTAACATAATAGTACCAGCTAAAGCTTCTCCTTACCCTTTTCTTTTATTTAATTTGATTATCAACCAGATATTGATGAGTTTTCTACTTCTCCTCCTAAAATATCTTGCGTGATTTTTTTTCTTGAACAAGTCGCACAATACTTATTTGTTTTGATCTCTCTTGCTCGCTTTAAAGTTATCACTTTGACATTATTATAATGTTTAATAAATTTTTTAAAATATACTATGTTCTTACATCAACCAATCACTCTACTTTTTACTAAAATTAGTTTTCAATATTAAGAATGTTGATCAACGAAATTATAGTTTATATTGTTGTTTAAATTGTTAACTTTTTTTTTTAAAAAATCTTGATTATAAATAGTGATTGGGGATTTGGAACTAGGTTGAAGAGAGCGGAAAAAAAAATTCTACTCCACTTACAAGATTATATATATGACATAGATAAAGAAGAAAATCTCCACTCTACTTAAATTCAAGATCAATACAAATTTGTCGATTCCACAGTTTAAGAAGCGTTCTACTTGAATCCAAGATCAATACAAATTTGTCGATTCCACGGCTTAAGAAGCGCATAACATTGCCAAACGTTTTAGTCACTACAAGTTACGATTTAAATGATAGAGAGAGGGTCAACACCACTTGGGACAAGATTGGCAATGAGGTTTTAAACTCCACATTTGTCATATCTAAAGTTTATGACTTCGACATAGCTATGATGTCTAAAAACTTTCAACAAGAGTATGTTAAATATTTGGTCGCTTTTTAACATTTGTTATTGCATTCAATCCCACTATCCCTTTCTTCGTTAAAAGAATTATAATCATCTACATCTTCTACATAATACAGTGGCTATAACAATTTGAATCGCACTTCTAGAAAGTCGGTCATAACCATTAACCAACACCATATTTGGTATTCCTATCCACTAGAGTCGTTAGGAAAACTTTGTGGGGACCAAGATGCACATAGAGATCGATTTATCAAACAAAATCCATATATATATATATATATATATTACAGTTACAATATATACCAAGGATTTGGTCTATTCTTATTCTGCTATTTTATTTGCTATTGGTATGCTTTTTAATACAAAAAGGTGGTGGAGTCAAAAAGTTACACTTTATTTACAGTAGTTGTAAATCGCACTCGCACATGATCTACCTACTGTCATTAGGCTCAAATATGAAATGTGAGTTTAAAAAATATTAAAGTGACAAAAAGGTCAAAAGGCAGGTCATAAACGCAAACATTTTAAAAAAGAAACAAAAATTAGAAAATAAGGTGTTTTTGACGGAAGCAGGGAGAGCTATAGTAATGGCGGCGGCGAAAGTGAAACTTTGATGACAGCTCGTCGCTCTCCTCCACGGATTGATATGGTCAAACTAAGAAAATGTCGTTTCATCACTCTTCAATGCTTTCAACAAACACCAACAACTTTTCTCTTACTTTGTCTTCTCCCATTCCTTCTGCTTCACTCTCTACCTGGTCATCATGGCCTTTGCCTTATAGCTCTCTCTCTTGTTCTCGTCTCCGGTCTCCGCTGTTTCCTCTCTCGATATGTGTTCGTCAAACGTCTCTCGGCTCCTACCTCTGTTTTTCTTCTTCTTCTTCTTCTGTTGCTGGTCTTCTACTTTTGCTCAAGACGAAATCACCAATCCCGTCGAAGGTTTCCTACTGTTAATTTGCTTTCTCTTCGGTTTGGATCTTCAAATAATTTGTGTCTGCGACATGGGTTTCATTTGCTTTTGGATTTTCGATCGCTGATTTCGTACTGATCGTTTATATTCATGGACTCAGTGAGGGCTTTGCGAGCGATAAGAGGCAGCTTGAACGATCCCGTTCGTAGATTGAGCAATTGGAGGCGCGGAGATCCGTGCACTTCGAATTGGACTGGCGTTCTCTGCTTCAATTCCTCTCTTGACGATGGTTATCTCCATGTCAAAGAACTGTATTGTCTTCTTCACTGTTACTGCTTTTTGTCTATACTTAAACAATTGTCTTCCTTGGGAATTTTTTTTTGAAAAGCTCTCATGCTTTTTTTTTTACTTGAAGGCAATTGCTCAGTATGAATCTCTCAGGGAACTTGTCCCCGGAGCTTGGCCGGTTGACTCGTCTTACTATCTTGTACGTGTTTAAACGCCATAAGTAGCTTTGATCTTTTTTCTTATATATGTAACGATATCTTCACACCCAGTGGTAAAATAACTTTCTTTGTGTATTGTATTACGTCTTCTCTAATGGCAGGGATTTCATGTGGAACAAGATCACCGGAAGTATACCAAAGGAAATTGGGAATATCAAGTCTTTGGAGCTCTTGTAAGCCCACGAGTTTGATTCTTATGAACAAGTTGAAGAAGTTTCTTTGTTTACTTCCTCTGCCTTATTTGTTAGTCTTCGCTAGCTCCTGACTTGATTTGCCATGGCACTCTTCCAGGCTCTTGAATGGAAATCTTTTAACCGGAAACTTACCTGAGGAGCTTGGGTTTCTACCAAACTTGGACAGAATACAGATTGATGAAAACCGTATATCAGGACCACTACCCAAATCGTTTGCGAATTTAAACAAAACAAAGCACTTGTGAGTTCTTTCTTTTTTTTATCATATGTCATATTTTACATAGCTGTTTTGCCTAAAATGCTTCCTTGGCCTCGTGATTATGTTACATTGATTGCATTCTTTGGCCATCTTATCTTCTCTCAGTCACATGAACAATAATTCAATTAGCGGGCAGATACCACCCGAGCTTGGAAGCCTACCGTCAATTGTTCACATGTGAGTTGTTCATACTAATTTGAATCTTAACTTTGAAATGTTCTGTTTTGTAACTAAACCTTGGTTTTTATGTAGCATGCCACGCATGCTTTACCTATCTAGTTTTGATGAAAATTACTTGTTTTTCTTGCAGCCTTCTTGACAACAACAATTTATCGGGCTATCTTCCTCCTGAGTTGTCAAACATGCCAAATTTGCTTATCCTGTATGTTTATGTCACGATTTCAATTAATTTCCCTACACCTGTCACCATACTGACTGCTGATCCATGCATTATTCTTTTCCTTTTTCTCTTGTTTATTTTGGCAGACAATTAGATAACAATCACTTTGATGGGACCACGATTCCACCTTCTTACGGAAACATGTCCAAACTTTTGAAGATGTAAGTACTAGTTTCACAAAGTATCTTGAACTCAAGGTCACTGAAGTTTGAGATTGGAAGGGATGTCATCTTCCGTTAATTCATTCAACAATTCGTATGAGAGTCATGCATTGGATTTGAATGAACCTGTACATATCTTAAGCTGTGGGAATGGAAATCAGCCATATTTGAGCTGACTAGGATATTGCATTCTAAACGTTGAGAGACTAGTCACGTTGAGAGACTAGTCGCCTCCCTTTTTGGATCTTTTTGTGCATAAGCTATATGCGTTTGGCCGTTTGCTATGCTAACCTATGCATACTTTTCTATCTGTCTACGTGCAGGAGTCTTAGGAACTGCAGTTTGCAAGGGCCGATGCCTGATCTTAGCAGTATCCCGAACCTTGGTTATTTGTAAGTTTATAACCCACCTAGCTGCTTCATTCAATAATCCTACAACTGCCTTGGCGAATTAATATCATCTGTTTCTGATTGTTCGACATGAATTCCAGGGACTTAAGTCGAAATCAGTTAAATGGATCTATACCTACAAGGAAGCTTTCTGATAATGTCACAACCATGTAAACTTTTAGCGCCTTTCATGATTCTTGCTTTTGATTTATTCCGGGATATGTACTGTGATTAGTACTCTTTTTTTGTTTTGCTAGAAATAGATTGCTTTTAAATTTGATGTCTTCTGATGAAATTTCTGCAGCGATCTGTCCAATAACAGTCTAACTGGAACCATTCCAACAAATTTCTCAGGCCTTCCACGGCTTCAAAAGTTGTAAGTTTGTCTGATCGGTGTAGTGAGCTTTTTGGTTTCTGAGATGGTGTTCTTAGTTCTATCATTTATGGATATGATGGCTGATGGTTTGTTTTATTGTCTACCTAATGTGGCAGGTCGGTTGCAAACAATGCTCTGAGTGGTTCCATTCCCTCTAGCATATACCAGGACAGAGTGTTGAATTCAACCGAGAGTCTTATCGTGTATGACAAACAACCATTAGATCTCCTTTCCTTTGACTTTCTTTATATTATCTCTTAACAACCGTCGTTTCATTTATGTTTGTCAGGGATCTGCGAAACAATAGGTTTTCAAATATTTCTGGCAGATCTGATCCCCGCCCAAATGTGACCATCTGGTTTGCTTCTGCGCTTCCCTATTTTTGCTTCGCATATCATATTTTTAGCTACTCAATGATCATGTTTGCTCATCTGATTTGTGATACACTCTTTCCCTCAGATTATTGTCCACTTTTCTGGTATCAATTTGACTTCGTTTGTTTTCCAGGCTTCAGGGGAATCCGTTATGCGCAGATGGAAATCTGCTTCGATTCTGTGGAGCTCTAACTGAGGTAGACAAGAATCAGGGTCCAACCAATTCGTCGACAACTTGTTCTGACTGCCCACCCCCTTATGAATTTTCTCCAGAACCTCTTAGACGGTGCTTTTGTGCTGCTCCTCTGCTTGTTGGATATCGGTTGAAAAGTCCTGGTTTCACGGATTTTGTTCCTTACATATCCGAATTTGAGCAATACATCACCTCTGGGCTTAGTTTGAATCTCTACCAGCTGCGCATTGACTCATTCCGGTGGCAAAAAGGACCTAGACTTCGAATGTACTTGAAGTTCTTTCCTGTTTTTGGTTCAAATGCCAACAATTCCTTCATATTCAATCGTAGCGAGGTTCGGCGAATAAGGGGCATGTTCACTGGATGGAACATACGAGACGAAGATCTGTTTGGTCCTTATGAGCTTATGAATTTCACATTGTTAGATGTCTACAGAGATGGTTAGTAGCAGAATATTCGTCCGCTGATGTTTATTTCAAAACAGAAGTTAGTTAAAGTACAAGTAAATGAGCTGATAGCTTTATTTTCGGACTGAATGACAAAACTTTTGCATACTGGGGCTTCGTTTTGATTGTCCTGCCTTTTTTGTTTTGCAGTGTTTCCTTCAGCTTCACCATCTGGTGTAAGTAAGGGTGCAATAGCGGGAATAGTTCTTGGTTCAGTTGCAGCTGCAGTTACGTTAACCGCTATCATTGCACTTATCATTATGAGGAAACGTATGAAAGGATACGCTGCGGTTTCTAGGAAAAAGAGATGTAAGCATTTTGTTTTGGGTGCAGATATGTGTCCAGATTAGATTATTTTTCGGATTTGTCTTTGGTGTTACAATTTTGATTCATCCATGTGCAGCTTCCAAAGCTTCTTTGAAAATCGAAGGGGTAAAGAGCTTCACATATGCTGAGCTAGCTCTGGCTACGGACAATTTTAATAGTTCCACTCAAATTGGGCAAGGGGGTTATGGAAAGGTCTACAAAGGTATCCTTGGCGATGGAATGGCTGTGGCGATTAAAAGGGCACAAGAGGGATCATTGCAGGGTGAGAGGGAGTTCCTAACTGAAATCGAACTGTTGTCGAGATTACATCACAGAAACCTTGTTGCTTTGCTTGGATTCTGTGATGAAGAAGGCGAACAGGTAACTTTTGTCCAAAATCCTCTTCTGGTTTTGAGGTTTAAAAACCTTTTATATGTTTATCTTATTGCTTGTATTGTCAAGCGTGCAGATGTTGGTTTATGAGTACATGGAAAATGGTACTTTGCGAGACAACATTTCTGGTATGTACTGTTACTTGTTCTCTATGTGGGTCAGCAGAGACAAACCACGGCTGTTCACTATTATTAATGTGAATGTATTTGCATGACATCTTTTTTTCCGTGTGGATAACACTTTACAACTTTGTGTTTTGGTAGTTATATTGAAAGACCCTTTAGACTTTGCGATGAGAATGCGGATTGCTCTAGGCTCAGCTAAGGGAATCCTGTATTTACACACAGAAGCTAATCCGCCAATATTCCATCGCGATATCAAAGCCAGCAACATATTGTTGGACTCCAGATTCATCGCAAAGGTTGCAGATTTTGGGCTCTCAAGACTCGCCCCAGTGCCTGATATGGAAGGCATCTCACCTCATCACGTGTCTACTGTTGTAAAAGGGACTCCGGTAAGGTCCCAATCTTGCATTGCTGCTGTACATTTTGTGTCTCAAACTCATGACTGAGACCTTTTCTCTTGTCGGCTTGCAGGGTTACCTTGACCCGGAATATTTCTTGACTCATCAATTGACTGACAAAAGCGATGTATATAGTTTAGGCGTAGTGTTCCTGGAGCTCTTGACAGGAATGCAGCCAATCACACATGGCAAGAACATAGTTCGAGAGGTAATTCTGGTTAGATGGTTAGAGCTTGTTCTCTTTCTTTGGCATTATCTAAAACTATTTCGAATTTGTCTTTGGTCAGGTCAACATCGCGTACCAGTCTGGTTCGATACTATCGGCCGTGGATAAGAGAATGAGCCCGGTTCCAGATGAATGCATTGAAAGGTTTGCCACTTTAGCGCTGCGATGCTGCAGAGAGGAGACTGATGCGAGGCCTTCAATGGCGGAAGTTGTAAGAGAGCTGGAAATCATATGGGAACTGATGCCGGAATCTCACACAGCCAAAAGAGCGGATCTGTATGAGACAACGACTCAGCCATCATCGTCATCGAATTCTTCAATCATGAAGAATCCAAATCCTTACACATCCATGGATGTCTCTGGCTCTGACCTCGTCAGTGGAATTGCTCCCTCCGTTTCACCGAGATAGCAACATTCTTAGGGTCATACACACCATACACAGTTTGTTTTTGTTGTTTCTACTGTTGCAAAGGAAGAAATTAGCGTAGTGTAAGCGATGTAAGCGTAGTATATGTTGCAGGCAAGTGTATATGATTGGTTCTTGTGAAATTTGTTGCGAATTCTGGTCTGGTTATGTGAGTTATGTACTTGTTCTGCTTCTTCTGTTGTTTTGATTGGGATCTTTTGCCAACGTTTCAAGAATGGATCTAGCTACATTCTACCTTTATTAAATTCAGCATAAATGTTTTTACCCTTAGAATTAATATAACACTCTTACCATTTACTCTCCCATTTTTTTGTAGAAATTTCATTTAACCTGAGAAGTTACACAACCAAGAATACTAAAAAACACATTACAAAGATTTGGCTCAAATTTGTTTTCCTTATTGCATTACATTTTCCATAGCTCCCTCCCAATATATGAATCCTTGGAAACACCTTCTCTTTAACAAAGATACGGCTTCACTAGGGGAACCAACGAGCTGCTTAGGTGCATCGACATTACTTCGTTGGTCGAACCAACGAGCTTGCCACCAATAAAGACGGCTGGGACCGGCTTTGAGCAGCCTAGCCTCATTAGTGCCTTCTCGATCTCCCGGCATTCAGGGTCCTTATCAATCTCGTGGACCTTAGGGTTAACCCCAAGATCTTGGAAGAGGACTTGAACTGCGTATGACAAACAACACGAGCTCTTGCTGAAGATAACCACTCCTTTTTCTGACGACATCCTCATAACCCTATCCATTTTCTTGGTTTTGACCTAAGAGATCGGTTTCTTGAAGAAAACGAAGAAGAGGATGGGACTGAAAGGAGTCTTAGAACAAAGAACTCATGAGAACCAAACCCGGAGTTTGAGCTTGGTGTTGCTTGTGACTCTATTTGCTTGAGTCGCAGGCTATTTATAACAAGACGGAGAAAGAATCAGAATCCAAATATTGAAAGAAAGGTAAAAAGATCACGAGAATATCGTTGAAAATGTTCCATAAAGGGGCTTTAGTATGAACAAGATCGTGTGACGGAACCTTTTTCTTGAGCTTTACCCTTTTGTTTTGCAAGGAGAAACCACAGTTGCAAGAAAGATAATTGGTTTTTCCATGTTTTATCTCAGAGATTCAAAGATACGGTTTCAACGATACTCCTACAAGTTGCTGAAAAGAGAGCCATTGTCGTTGAATATTGAGATGCTTGATGCTTTTGGACCAGTTGATTTATTATGCAGATTCTCTGCATATTGGACATGGAATCTTGGTGGACCAACAACAAAAAGCCTACTTGCATTCAATTTTTCATATTTATTTGGACCTAGTTGGGTTTTAAGGAAAAAAGCCCACAATTTTGGCCCATTCTCGTATGTTTAACATGCATTTCCTGGGAAAATCAGAAAAGGTATAATGAAGAAGAAGCCAAGAGACATGCATTTACGAAGAAATTGAATTGAAAGGATAATCTAACGGTTCATAATGCTTCATGACTTATACCACACAGAAGATCAACGGTCAATATATTAAAGTTACAAAAATATAGATTTTTTTTTTTTCGAATCACTTGCGCGACGCGAGCTCTCTACCAAACATTTTTTCTTTCTTTCCGTATGATGAAAATCTATTTCCAAATTTGGATAAACCCCTTTGCTTAAATCTAGCTGATGAGAATTTGTTGGTGACGATTTCATTGTGCCAATGAATTGATTGTGAATATCTAAAGCAGTGACGACGAACTTAGTTTAGCAGCATGAATTTGTGTTTTCAAAATCCTGTAAAGTGTGGTGATCGCAGTTCCTTGTTCTCCGCCCTGAAGACCTCTAATTTCGCGCAGTACAAGCTTGTTTCGTCGAGATTGGGGTTTGAAGGTCGAGAATTAGAGAATCGGAAGAGAAATCCTACGGCTGCAGTGAGATCTGTGTCCCCAAGTGCGGTTGGTACAGTAGAAGGAACGAAGAGAGATGAAATCAGTGGAGGAGAGAGTGTGTACGACGCCATTGTCATCGGCTCGGGGATTGGAGGACTGGTTGCTGCGACTCAGCTAGCTGTGAAAGAAGCTCGGGTTTTAGTTCTGGAGAAATATCTGATTCCTGGTGGGAGCTCCGGTTACTACGAAAGAGATGGATATACTTTCGATGTTGGGTCTTCTGTGATGTTCGGTTTCAGCGATAAGGTTGCTCTCTTCATCTTAATTCAAAAAATCATGAGACTTGAGCATGAGTTTGAAGTACTGCTTGTTAGATCCTAAGTTGATTGTAATGCCATAATTTGAAGGGAACAGGGGAATCTAAACTTGATAACTCAGGCGTTGAAGGCGGTTGGTCGTAAGATGGAGGTTATACCTGATCCTACCACTGTCCATTTCCATCTTCCCAATGATCTGTCTGTTCAGGTTCATAGAGAATACGATGACTTCATCACTGAACTCACGAGCAAGTTTCCCCACGAAAAGGAAGGGATCCTCGGATTCTATGGCGACTGCTGGAAGGTCTGATGTTACTTTCTTGTGAATTTTTTTTACGAATGTCATGCTGTATATTTATATTATTACAACTTGAATAGATCTTCAACTCATTGAACTCTCTGGAACTAAAGTCACTTGAAGAGCCTATCTACCTTTTTGGACAGTTCTTTCAGAAGCCGCTTGAATGCTTGACACTCGGTATTCGTCTAAACACCTTCTGAGAAGTATTTGGATGTCTTAAATTATGTTTGGTGTATTTGTTAGTTGCTGTGAGTGTGTAGACATATGCAAAGACACACGCGGCAAAATCAACTGACATGAACCCTTTTATGTTATTCTCTGTGGTGTACAGCTTCTAACTTGCCCCAAAATGCTGGGGCTATAGCTCGGAAGTACATAAAGGATCCTCAGTTGTTGTCTTTCATTGATGCAGAGGTGAGACAGAAACATTTTGTCTAAACCTGCGCAAGCTTCTCTATCCAATTTTTATAACCAGAACGTAGCATAATTAGCACCCTTCATCTTTGCCTGCAGTGTTTCATTGTAAGCACGGTCAATGCTCTGCAGACGCCGATGATCAATGCAAGTATGGTAGGGTTCTTGTTTTGGCGATTGGTGTCTACTCGTGTTTCCGTTTCTGTTTCTTTTCTTTGCTTATATGTTCAAGGACAGGTTTTGTGTGACAGGCACTATGGAGGAATAAACTACCCGGTTGGTGGCGTTGGTGGGATTGCCAAGTCTTTGGCAGAAGGACTTGTTGATAAAGGCAGTGAAATACTCTACAAGGCTAATGTCAAAAGCGTAATACTTGATGATGGAAAGGCCGTAAGTTTCTGCTCTTGCTACAGATATTCCAAGTTTAATTTTTCCTTAACCTTTCGAAACTCCTTTGGTTATGTTTCTTTCTTATCGACCTGGGATTTCAGGTCGGTGTAAGGCTTGCAGATGGAAGAGAATTTTTCGCTAAAACGATAATCTCAAATGCTACAAGATGGGATACCTTTGGTAAGAGTAACCATTGACTTACGTAAACTGTCGCATAGATGTCTTATTTTGTAAGAATGCTTATCATAATATTGCCTTGCTGTAGGGAAGCTGTTAAAAGGAGAAAAGCTTCCAAAGGAAGAAGAAAATTTCCAGAAAGTATATGTTAAGGCTCCGTCATTTCTTTCAATCCACATGGGTGTTAGAGCAGAGGTTCTTCCCCCAGATACAGATTGCCATCATTTTGTGCTTGAGGTTTGTTAGTTTCCTACAGAGTTCTATTCCCTTGGCAGATTTAAAGCTATTGAATTTTGTCCTTTTGTTGCTCGTGTAGGACAATTGGAAGAATCTGGAGGAGCCTTATGGTAGTATATTCCTCAGCATTCCAACCATTCTTGATCCATCTTTGGCTCCAAATGGTCGACATATTCTGCACATATTTACAACTTCTTCCATCGAGGATTGGGAGGTAAGGCTAATCTTAGAAGAGCAACAAGAACGAAATTTACCTTCGTGGAGCTACAATTTTTAATTTCAAACTTTCTCAGCTTTAGAAACGTCTTTCGGAATTAGTGTGTATATGCCCATCTTTATTTCTCAATCCTTCTGAATTTCGTGTACTAGGGACTCTCTCCAAAAGAATATGAGGCGAAAAAAGAAGACGTGGCAGCTAGAATAATAGAGAGGCTAGAGAAAAAACTGTTTCCAGGGCTCAGTTCATCTATTACGTTTAAAGAGGTAGGGCTTGTTCTCTGCTTCCGTGCGTTTTGCCATGCACACTGTAGAAATTTGTGAAAGAGGTCTGCATGATATAAAACATCTGTATATGCAGTGCATGCCTTAATTTGGGTGATTTAGCCTGTATATCTAAAGGTGTTTTAAGGCAGGTGGGCACACCAAGAACACATAGGCGATTTCTTGCTCGGGATAAGGGAACTTATGGGCCAATGCCGAGAGGAATCCCAAAAGGTTTATTGGGAATGCCGTTCAATACAACTGTAAGTCGAAGAAAAGTTAGATTGGTTTTGAGGCTAAATGGTTAGGCTAACGAAAGAATGGTTTGACTGATAATATAGGCTATAGAGGGTCTATACTGCGTTGGGGATAGTTGTTTTCCTGGTCAGGGAGTTATAGCTGTGGCTTTCTCAGGAGTGATGTGTGCTCATCGCGTAGCTGCTGACATTGGTGAGAAAAGCCGTCTTTTAAAAAAAAAAAAAATCTGTAATTTAGACTTGTTGATTGCTATGATGAGGATAAGAAGCAACCACTTTCATCCTTTGATTTGTAGGGCTTGAGAAGAAATCACGAGTACTTGATGCTGGCCTTCTTCGTTTACTTGGTTGGCTAAGGACTCTCGCATAATTCTAGGGGGTTGCAGGGGACAAGGGTAGTGAATGTCAATGGAAATATTCCCAAAGTCAATGAAAGCGGCTTTGCTATGAACAGGAGGATTCAATGAGAAGAACCAATCAGCGTTGCACATAGAGAAGAGACGTGTTGATCTCGCTTTCTCATTTACTCTTAGATACAAAGATATACAGTCTCAACAACCTTTCTACTAGTTGCTAAAAAGAGAGCCCATTGACGTTGAACATTGTGTATCATGTTTTATGCTTTTGGAAAATTTGATTTTTATTTTCCGCTGATCGTTTTGGTGGACGAAACTGGCATAAGAAACCCACTTACACTCAAATTCGTTTTCAACTACTCGGCATAGTTACGCTAACCCATGTTTGGTCTTATCTTATCTTTTAAATTATTAAAATCAATCATTCTGAGAGTAGGTACTGTAATCAAGTTTTTTTTTTGATTGGTCACATTTCAAAACGTGTTAATGTGGAACATGGAATATAAATTAAAACTCATTTGGACCAGCACACGTAGCTCCGTCCAGAATTTTCGAGTACATGTTAGGTTAATTTGGTGGGTACATAACATTGTTATGGTTCCAGTCAACTATTCGTATACACACTTTCATTTATCAATTTAAGACCTTGATTGTGATGCAGCAAAATATCTCTCCAAACTAGTATATATCTATTCTTGGTAATAAGTGCTCCTTTTAATATTTCTCAGTGATGATGATGATAACCGGATAAAAAGGAGAAATGGAAAGAGAAAAGAAGAAAAAGATGTTGAAAGGACCACAGTAATATTTTAATTATTGTATATTAAGTTCAACATATTATTATATAAAAACCATATTTGAAAATGATATGCATGCATCATGAGCATGTCTTTACTATTGTTAATTATATGTTTACATGTATATATAAAAGGTATCAATCAATTTCGTTTTGCTCCTGAAACTCATCGAGCTCTCAACAATGGCGACCATTCCCTCCCACAACCTTCTTCTGCCTAATCCGATCAACCAATCAGCTCACTCTCTTTCCCTCAAGTCACACTTTCCACGCTCTTCTCTTATCACTTTTCCGGCGAGATCATCGCCGGCAAGGGCCATTTCCAGAACAGACGAGGCTTCAATATCCTCAAGGCTCGAGCCGGAAAGCTACGGGATGACGACGGCGGAGGATATTCGCCGACGGGATAGAGAAGCTAAAGAATCAAAGAGTTTAAAGGACAGGTGGCGCAAGATCCAAGGCGAAGATGATTGGGCCGGGCTCATGGATCCGATGGACCCAGTTTTGAGATCCGAGCTAATCCGGTACGGAGACTTGGCCCAGGCCTGTTACGACGCCTTCGATTTCGACCCATTTTCAAGGTACTGTGGAAGCTGCAGATTCACGCGCCACAAGCTGTTCGATTCGCTCGGAATATTCGACTCCGGCTACGAGGTGGCGCGTTACCTCTACGCGACGTCGAACATCAACCTCCCGAACTTCTTCTCGAAATCGAGATGGTCCAAGGTGTGGAGCAAGAACGCGAATTGGATGGGATACGTGGCGGTTTCCGACGACGACGAAGCCACGCGCCGCCGTCTTGGACGTCGAGACATCGCGATCGCCTGGAGAGGGACCGTCACACAACTCGAGTGGATAGCGGATCTCAAGGATTTCCTCAAACCGGTATCCGCAAACGGATTCCGGTGTCCTGACCCGGCTGTGAAAGCCGAATCCGGGTTTCTGGATCTCTACACGGACAAAGACACGTCCTGCAATTTCTCGAAATTCTCAGCTCGTGAGCAGGTTTTAACTGAAGTGAAGCGGCTGGTGGAACGACACGGCGACGAGGAAGAAGATCTGAGCATCACGGTGACGGGACACAGCCTCGGCGGTGCTTTGGCGGTACTAACCGCATACGACGTGGCGGAAATGGGTCTGAACAGGACGAGGAGAGGGAAGGTGGTACCGGTAACGGCGTTCACGTACGGAGGACCACGCGTGGGCAACATTCGATTCAAGGAGAGGATGGAGGAGCTGGGGGTGAAGGTGTTGAGGGTGGTGAACGAGCACGACGTCGTCGCCAAATCGCCGGGACTGTTTCTGAACGAGAGTGCGCCTCACGCGCTAAAGAAGCTGGCGGGAGGATTGCCGTGGTGCTACTGCCACGTGGGGGAGAAGCTGCCGTTAGATCACCAGAACTCGCCGTTCCTCAAGCCGTCCGTTGATCTTTCTACCGCACATAACTTGGAAGCTCTCCTCCATCTCCTTGACGGGTCAGTTTAGCTTTTCCTATTCTCTTATAAATTCTTTCAAGGTATTTATACTTTGAAGTTCCTGAAATACACTCTTCTCAAGTTTTGTTCGCTTCGCATTTCATCCTGAAAACAATTTATAATTTTCGTGACAAAGACATTAATTTGGTTTTAGGATAATGATCAGTAGTAATACTGTAGGTTGATGGAGATACCATGATTTATATAATAATGTATGAACACAATTTTGTCAGCTAATCTCAGAGAAGTCAAAAGGAGACAGATCTCGGTGTATCTTGAGATTTGAGAATCTCACATTTTCCAATTATCTTCTTTAGGAGTATAAATAATTGAATATCATTCTTAGAAATTAAATAAACAGTTTTTCATAAAATGCGAATGTGATGATCATTGAATCTGATTAAAGCATTGGGTGGTGAGAAAATCATTGAAACTATTAAGAAAGTGTTAATTTGCAGTTTAAAAATGCTTATGCTGGTGCCATGTTGTAATCCTATATGTCAACTTTAATTGCTTGCTGCTATTCTAGATCAGTCTCTCCATTTGTCGTATGTACATGACTTGGCGCATAATAATATTATTATGACATTGACAAATCTGGAAAACGATAGTATTAGGCTATTGGCGTTTACAAAAGTGCTCCGAGATTTAGTAATATAGTTTTCATCTTTGGTGTCTTTTATATACATCGAGAAATTCAACATGAGTAGAGAGACTAATTATATAATAAAAATTAACAGGTACCATGGGAAAGGTCAGAGATTCGTGTTATCTAGTGGGAGAGATCCGGCGTTGGTGAACAAAGCATCTGATTTTTTAAAAGACCATTTCATGGTACCTCCCAATTGGCGCCAAGACGCAAACAAAGGAATGGTGAGGAACACTGAGGGCCGTTGGATTCAACCAGACCGAATCCGTGCAGAGGATCATCATGCTCCTGACATACACCATCTTCTCACACAACTCCATCATCCCTCATAACTTTTGTAATCAAATCAGTCTGTGTCTCATTGTTTTTCTATGTTACAAAACAAAAACAAATAGCGTTCCTAACCTCCATCTATATAAGGGGAGAAAAAATTAGTTTGAAGAAATCTTTATAGTCTTCACCAGAGTTGGAGATTGAAGCTTGGCTCAGGCTTGAGAATGCCTAGACTCACTCTTCTGGATCAATCTGGTCAAAAGACTCCCACCAAGAAACAGGACCCAAGCCATCATCATCTATATTCCCCTGTACATTTCACAACATCTCATTACTCCGACCCAAAAGGGGTTGTTATTATGCGAACACAAGTGGATCAGGTTCAGAGAATGAGTGAACTTACAGTGACCACCATAGGAGCAAAAGGCTTTGCGTCCTCAGCCCGCTCAATTGGAACTGGTGGATAGCTGATGCTCTCTACTCGAAACTTGATCTGCCATATATCACATCACGTTGTCAAAAGTGAACACTTTTAAAATTTTAAAGCTTAAAAGAACAAATTGGGGGAACAAAAAGTTAAACCTGACAGGAGTCGTCGATAATATAGTCTTCTTTCGGTTCTCCAAATTCCCACACCCATCTCATTTGTTTCCTGCTCACAGAAAAAAAAAACATCATTGTACTTTGTGTGATCTAGTGAAAGATACAGAAGTAGGTACAAGCTCATGCTCAATAGAAACATTACATAAACTGCAGGACACATTTGTCATACCTATTGTAAGGGTCAGGCTCACAGCGGTTTGGTGTGGGTATCAGTGGAGCAGGCACATAAATATCCTCAAAGAATCCAAGTGTTACTACCAAGTATATAGGAATCATCATAAGTATGTAAAATAGCTACGATATCAAAGTTTAAGCTAACTTAAGTCACCAGTAAGGAAATTAAGTACAATGTAGTACTCACAGCGCAAGCCATTGGAATCAGATTCTTTGAACTTTGCAGCTATGACCTCACCCACAAATGGACGAAACATTACCATTCTAAAACCTACCTACAATCACAAGCAAATAGAAAAGAAAAAGTGTTAACGTCACAACATGAGATATTGAGTTAAGGCATCATGGAAGCTTTTTAGATTACATACTACTTTATTCCAACCAAATATCAGCAAGGTTTGTGGTGAACGTTTATGCAATCAAAGTTAACTAACAATTCACAATTTCGAGCAAGTATATATATATATATACTCAAAAAGTTCATAATGGAACATTCGAATCTCTAGTAAGGTGGTGATGCTGAGTATACGAAGATGAGACTTGTTACACTGCAGAAATTCCAATACACCGTGATGGAACAGTGAATTGCAGAAGAAGGGAAATAGAAAAATCTATCAAAATTCATCTGGTAAAAGAAGATAGATGAGAGGAAGATCCGAAGTTTGAATTTTACCTTATAGGTCGCAGCACCATCCCCGGGTAAAACGAATCCTCCTTCTACTGATTTAATGTCGTAAACAGAGACGAAAAGGCCCAATTTCGCATGAACCTTTCAAATATCAAATATCCACTTTGATCAAATTAGTGTGTGTGAATGTAAGGCGAAAATGGAAATCATAATGATAGGAGGGCAAGGACCTAACCTTGTCCAAGAACACATTCTGAAGCACTGACTTAATCGCATCTTCCAGGGGGAGGTTAAGTAGATGCGGAGGCACTCTTAGTGTGTGTTCGAGCTCGGTAAGACTAAACATTTATTTTTTATTTTTTTGTCACAGTACGATATTGGTGTTGAGGTTAAAGCTCAGAATCAGTTCTGAAATATAAACCCTAATTTTAATTGTCCGCCGAACACAAAGGAGGAAGGTGGCGATGACGTGCCAGTAATTGTGCACGTGAGTAAAGTTTTAATGGGCCTTTTTTATTGGCCCAATAAGTTTATGTAAACCCAGATCAAAACAGGTCTCTTTATCTTATTCACTTAAACTTTACAAGATACAGAGCAAATTTGGTCTCAGAGGGAAAGCCCAGAATCCTCATCCTCATCGAGGGAAGAAGTGTAGGTAAAGTAAAGAGCCCAGATCAAACCAAACACACCAAACAGAATCCAACCCAAAAGGTTATTGCTTAGACCAAAAGGTAGTCCTGTTCCTTCCGTAGACATCCTGTCGTCCACCAATGCCATTGCTGGGCTGCTCATCACCGCGGTTAACACAACCGCAACCGCAGACGTACCCGCCGTTGAGCTCTTCTCTTGCTTTGGCTGCTTAGTCTCCATCGAGCATTTAACTCCACTGATTCTCTTACTCATCCGGGGAAGACCTGAACAGTAGCAAAAAATTCATTACACAGTGCCAAATTCAGATTCATAAAGTACAATTTAGATTATGCAAACAAGAATTTACCATAGATAGGCGCAGTGGAGATGGCTGCGACTGAAGGCTTGAGAAGAAGAGTAAGACGAGAAACGGAGGAAGTGAAGCTTGCCATTGTCTTTAGATTCCCAAACACACACAAGACTTGATCAAATGAGCCTCTGTTTTTTTATTTACTTCTTTTGTTTGCTTATGTAGTTGTAGCTTAGCAAGTGATGAAAAAAGTCTTTTTTTTTTTAATCTAAATAGGATAAGCTTTCCACCAATTGTTTCTCTCCAACTGTCACGTCTCATCTCCACACAAGAGAGTTCGGGCAAAATTTGTAATGGTGTACACTGAACATAAGAAAAGTGTTTGGTGGTTCTTCTTTATCCTTATAATTAGAACCACCTAGAGATGGATCGACACACGATTAGGAACACACAGATATATGTCGAAAAAGGTATTGTGAAATAACCTGGAAATAACGTACATTTTCTATATAGGTTTCCAAGGTGATAGAACAATCTGTTGTTGTAACTAAGTCTAAGATTACGCTCTGAAAAGGAACCCCAAAAAAAGACAAAAACAAGATTTACACTGGTATGAGTTTAAAGAATGAATCTAATCATAACACTTGTAACATGCTGAGAAGCTTCTTCTTCTGACAAAAAGAAAGAAAAAAAGAATCGGATACTGAACCTAAGTTGTCGGAATCTGTTATTCGTATCAGGCCTGAATGTTGCACTGTTGCAGGTAGGAGTGATGGTACGGGACATGAATGTTCCAGTAACGTTTGTATTTACCGATTCCAATATCCAACCACGGCTTCATGATCCCATCGTAGTGTATAACCGCAGCTTGCTCAATGTCAACCGTTTTGACTCCTCCTGATTCGCGCCCTAACCCCATCACATGCCATCTCTTGTCCAACGGGAATGTTTGCCTATAGAAAGTCAACCAACCTATCGGTAAGCTCCCAGCTTTCCACAAAGGTCTCTTTGTTCCCTGCCACACCAAAAATTCCCCCCAAAATCCTCCGTTAGGTTTAGCTTCATTACACACATATAAACTGCAATTCTAGGAACCTATCTAAGATTCTTAGTACAAGCTTCACTTATGTTCTTTTCCTAGTTACAAACTATTTGTTCTAGATGCTGTCTAAATTCTATATTCAATTATTACGACCTTTTTCAGATAAATTGGCATTCAAAGCAAGACTACAGTGTCAATTTTTTCAGGAGAGTAAGTGCAATAAGGATTGTGATTTGCGTACCAGGTTGAAGTATTTAATGTATGTAGAAGTCAACTTCTGTCTTCTCCATTCTTCGAGATCAACTAGATTCATCCCGAACGCCCACGTGCAAGCTTTAGGATTGAATTTCCCAGCGACCCATGCGTCTGAGAAATTAATAAATGAGCTCATTGAATGGAACGAAGGTTCACCTTCTTGACAAGTCTCTACAGCACCAACCACCTTCCCTTTCATATCAATGCTCCACAGTCTACTTAGATCTCTTTGAACTACTACATCATGGTCAAGGACTACAATCTTGTTCAAACCCGGGAATATATCCGGCAGATAGAAGCGTGCGTGATTGAGGGTAGAAATGAATCTTGGGTCACTGGATTTTTGCTTCATCAGCAATTGATCATAATCTAAAGGCAGGACATCCATATCATCAATGTTTTGGATTTGGATCGTAGCTGTACTTTGTGCGTTTAGCAAAAACCACATTGAGATTGCCGGGTAGTTAAGTGAATCAGTCACGACATGGAATACAATGTTTTCCGGTTCCTGCAAACAGCAATCGGAATCGAAATTAACAAGTGGCTGAAGTAAACTAGACGATATAGTGTAAGACGCATGAAACATAACATCTAATGATATCCGACTACCAAATCAGAAAATAAAACAGAAGAAATGTGAAAATTTACCTTTGAAGAATGTATGGTCGAGTTAACAACGACTGCGGAAGCCAAAACATTGTCAGAGAAGACAACATAATGATTGAGATTAGGATCATTGTAATTCTGCTGGTTAGGCATCTGCCTATTTTCAGGATCCAGGGCAAAGTACTCAGATGTCAAACGCATTGAGAGACAGTGAAGCCCTTTTGGGGTGGTCCTTGCAGCAAGGTGCATTAGATATGATGCTTGATTTTTCTGCGCCTGGACTTGTTCTTCTGTGTTATAATTCATGGCACGGAGTTTGGTAGCAATGGCAGGGCAATTGTTAAAGACACGGCTAGCCTTGTATAATGCAGCTTCCATGGGCTTCAGCCTGCGAAGAGCGCTGAAAGAAACAGCCATACAATAAATTACCATATAAATACAGCACAGATATTTGCCACTAAAAGGATGTAAATGTAAGTTTCTGGATGCAATTATGGCATTCTCTCCGTTTAAATCAAGCAGTTGTGCTTACCCCTTTGACAAATCTTTATCCTTTATCGCATCACCAACAGCGCGTTCCAGCTCTCTCATTCGAGCTCTCAGCTCCTTCACAATCTGAGAGTTACTTCCAGGTGGAGCAGAATTCAGGTAGGCTTTAGCTTGTATAATTTTGTCTCTGATCTCTTTTATCTTCACATCTGTTGCTCTGTCAGGCTGAACCTTTGAGTTTTTTTCACCCTTGGATAAAGGGGGTTTAAAATCCCTCTTATCAGCTAGTTGGTTAGCTGTTAGATCTTGATCCTGAAACAAAACAATAAATCATACTGTTGAAACGTCTGATCTTAATAGTTTGATGGAAGCCTAACTTGGCTTTTTTATTCATTAGATAAACTAAGCACCATGGAGGCTAATGTCGTGTACTATGATTCTAGAATTGATTCATGTTTCTCCAAATCAGTTATATTCATCAACTTCATGTTCTATTAATCAGTTGATTAAATACACACCTTTGCGTTCGCTGTCGTCCGCTGTGAAACTATCACTTGCTCGCCCATGTTTTTGTGATTATTTCCTGAAACCCATGATTACTACAGATAAGAAAGCTGAAGAGTAATGAAAGCGAAGCAAAACAAAGCAAGATGAAAAATATGACCGCACCATCAATTCCTGAGAAATCAACTGTTTTCTTCTTACCATCAGTTTCATCAGACGGATGATCCCGAACTACAGAATTAGACTCCCCTTCCTTAAAGAGAATGAGCCTTGGCCCCTTCAAGCCTTCTCCGTTCTCCTAAATCACAAAGTGAGACAATTTTTTACTAAATGAATGGTACAAAATGGCTCAAGGAGATGACTTCGAGGAACCTGTCACGTTTAATTTACCTGTTCGACGGCGTTAAGTCTAAGGTCATTTGTCCTGTGTCTCTGCAGAATAATGGTAGCATCTCAGCTACAGTGTTTTGTTCGAGAAATATAAAGACTCAAAGAGTAAAATAAAGCAAGACAGAGATCTGAAAACTTAGCACACAATCAAACAACATCGCTGAAGAATCTGTGAATCGATTAACGAATATAAAGCAGTGAAGAAGAAGAGAAGAGAACCAAGGATCTTGATTTTACAATCTCTATCAGAACAGAGGGACAAAGAGAATGAAGACAAGGATATCATCACACTTACAAAGTTGGATAACTCTTCAATGAATTCTCTACGACCTGCCACAGTAAACAACTCCGAAATGAGAATCAAAACAAAACTCAGATGAAAAATCCGAAGACTTAGACAACATCAGACAAAAGCAAGCCGATGGCGATTATCATGAGACTCAATCAAAGATCAAAGCCATCAAGCAATTCCACACGATCATCCAGTAACATGTTAGCCATATCCGTAAATCTTACATCTGCTAGACAGGAAAACAGAAAAAAAAAAAAAGGAATCCAAAAAATAAGGAGACGAAGCTGACCAACGGGAGTGATGCTCTTAAGCCGATATGAGACGAAAACGAGCGGAGCAAACACAGTTATCGATAGCAGGGAGAGGAACAGAATCCTCTGCCATCGACGATTTTGCTTCATGAATATACGAAACACGAATTAAAAAATTCCACCCAAATCCCTCTTCCTCGATAACTATCCGAATCTCATCCAACCCTTAATCGTTCTCCAGGAAGAAGCAGCACGTCCACGAGGGACTCACAAATCGACAAATCTCGTAGATTTTCTGCTTGATCAACAAGCAAATGACGGGACGTTGAAAAACTTAGGGTTACTGGATCCTTATGGGGATTCTGCTCTCCTATAATGGGAGATTATATTCCTCGCTTCAATTTCTGGGTTTGGTCTCGGAGGGAGTTAGATTCAGAGCTTCCTTATGCATCATCGGGAATTTCTGCTCTTATTTATTTTCTTTAATCATTTGTTTAATGATTTTTTTATTTGTATTAGGTCTATGAAAATTTATTTATATATATAATATATACGGGTGAAGAATTGATTTTTTATTGTATAGTAGTATAAGTTTTTTGGTGTTCGTGTTGAGATGTCAAATGCGGAGATGCGGATCAGGTGTGGGCAGGTGTACATGTGAAGACATGTGATTATGGCATTGATGAAGCTGTAAATAATTAATGTGGTCACTGTCTTTTTGGAGATTAATATTAATGACCAATCGGAAAATCACACGTGAATGGAGTTTTCTCCCCCTACTAGAAGACAAGTAACGAATTTCAGTCTCACAAGTCACATGGAAAATAAGCCGAGATTGCCTCCATTTTGAAAAAAAAAATGTAATTAGCATAACTACATTCGTAAACAGAAGTACATATTAAAAGATATGACGAAAATGCGTTTTGTGGATGCTGTTAAATGTTAATCATGTTTTTTGCTTAGTCGAAAAGAGTCACAGTAATCATAGGCTTGGTTTGTTTAGTGAAGAAAATGAGGTTTTGTTTTGCAATCTATTTATGGGGATGTATTCAATTTAATATTTGAAATAATTTATTAGGATTTGAGTTTTAATAAATTTTTAGATGATTTGTTTGAATTATGTAAATTGTTATAATTTGATATTTTTAACTAAGAAATTTTATCAAAACATCTTAAAATTACTCCAAAAGTTTTCAAAATTTATTAATTAAATTATTCTTAATAATAGTAAATTTGAAGATACATTTTAAGATACATTTTCAAATTTCTATTTTAATAACACTGAATTTTAATAACAAAGAGTTTATGATTTTAATATAAATCACTACAAATTCTACTTTGAATACACCTTTCTTAATTTTGATATTTAAATAACAGAGCTTTAAGTTATTAGGAAGTATTTTATTTTGTTTTTGTCAATAATTTTTTTTTTTCTTCCAAAAACTTTCTTTTCACTAACAAAAAGTTAATCCAGATCAAATTTTCCAATAAAATACACACCAAGAAAAGGAGAGGAAGAAGAATGTTTGAGCTGTCGTTGTTCTCTTGTCGACGAGGGCTTTAGACATAACACAAAACCCTTCCTCTCCTTCTCTAAGTCACATCGTTCCTTTAAATTTAATACTTCCTGTCCGAATCGTACGTCGATTCTTCCATCTCTGACCATCATTATCCCTCAGATCACCTGCGAGCGGAGAGGGTGAGAGAGACGACACAAATCTGAGCATTCGCCGGTTCCGTCGACATGCAGGTTTAGGGATGACACGTGTAACTGATTGAGCCCAGGAGAGAGACAGAGAAAGAGAGAAATGGAGAGTCAGGTGAAGAGGGAGACGATGAGGGCATGCCTGAGCTGCCCTCTCTGCGACCGTATCCTCCGTGACGCCACCACTATCTCAGAATGCCTTCACACTTGTCAGTTCCTCCTCCCATCCTATTTAACCCACCAATGTTTCAAAATTCGCTGCCATGGCAACTAACTTCTTATGAATTTTCCCTCTCAGCTGCTCTTGTACTCTCCGATTTTGATTATTATAGGTGTCAATTTATATATCTCTTGCCTCCTACTGAAATTCTTATTCTTCGCGTCCTATAATTGGTAAAGATGGCATTTTTCTGCATATTGCTAGTTGGGTTCAGCTAAAGTATCCTTTTGGGTTTTAGTTTTTTTTCTAGTTTAATCCAACTTGTTAATCGACTTTTTCAAGATGAATAAGCTCTCGGATGCATATATTAAATGAGCTCACTTAAGCAATTTTGGATAAGTTCCTTAAATGACTTATTGGCTATGGCTTCTTCTACATATAAGCAAGATTTCCACTGTAGCTTCAAAATTATGTCTTTTAATGGATTTGTGGCTGGACTAGTTAGGATGCTTGAATGATCGGTTAATGCAGTTACTTTGTGTCGGGTCTTGGTAGGAGTCTTTGTTATAACCTTTTGAGTTTATTAGCCTTTGATACAAATCATGTTGTGTTTCATTTGATAGTTGCTATCTACTGGAATGAAACAAGTTCTGTGATTTTTTTGCCTACGCAGTTTGTAGGAAATGCATTTATGAGAAAATAACAGAGGATGAGATAGAGTGTTGTCCAGTGTGCAATATCTCCCTCGGTGGCAACCCGTTGGAGAAGCTGAGGTAAGCTAATCTTTTCCTGTAAAGCTACGCTCAGTTAATACACGCTATGTACAAATGTGAGCTTAATAGTTAACTTAAAAGTATGCTTTGTATGCATGTTTTTAGGCCTGACCACAATTTACAAGACTTGAGAGCCAAATTCTTTCCTCTAAAACGAAGAAAAGTGAAAGGTCCTGAAATGGTGTCCTTACCGGCAAAGAAGAAGGTGAGATCTATATCGTCTTTGATTGTAAACACACCTAAGGTGTCAGCACAAAGTGGAACAACAGGAAGATCTAAAGCGGTCACGAGAAAAGAGTTACGAGGTAAGGGTTCTTTGGCTGAGAGGATTGTGAAGGAAGAAGAATCGTCCTTTCATGAGGAGATCGTCGATTTGTTCGAGGAATTCTCTTTCCGGGTAACTCGAGTCTCGACCTTCTTCTCCCACCTTTTTGCCTTTTGTCTCTGGTACTGAGTCACTCTGCGTTTCTGTTTCAGGAGCTCTTGGTGCCGGGTCACTTGGCTCAGGAGAACAGGGAGCTGAGGCACAGTTTATCCGCTGTGATTGAAACCCTGAAAAGCGTGACTGCGGAAAGAAACTCTGCTGATGTTCTCCTTGGAGAGATGAAGTCTTTGTTGGCTGCTCGAGATAGAGAATTGGAAGCTAAGGAGAAGGAGCTATAAGTACGGTCATCGCTCATTCGTGCTAGGGAGGACGAGATTCGCGGCCTCCGTGTCAAAACAGAGAGCCTGACGCGGATGCGAGATGAGGCAGTGGAGAAGGCTGACCGCCTGGGCAAGGAACTCGAGGAGTGCAAGTCAGTCAAGAATGTGTCTCGGGCTTCAGAGGAAATACAACACATGCGCTTGGAGTTTGCTAAGCTCGAAAAGGATATGGAGCTCTCCGTGATCGCCGCGTGTATAACGACACGGTACCAAGTGTGTCGCGAGTGGGAGAGGCAAGGTACACTAGGGTGGGAACTGAAGTTCTCGAGGGAAGATTACCGCAAGTTCCGTGAGTACGTTGACAAGAACGGGACGAGTAACAAATACCCTCTTGTGGAAGTGTATGAAGAGATGTGGAGAAAGGTTGTTGCTCGTCATCGGCCATCGGAATCTCATACGACGACCCGTGAGGACATCTCTTCTCCGTCGACGAGTAACCCCAACCTTGTGCCTGGTCCCGTACGTTAGGCTGGACGGGAGTTCTGCGCCGGCTACCTGATCCTGTATAAATAGTTTTTTTTAAATTCTCTTTATGGTAATTGAGATATTTAATGTGTTTATTATTCTATAATTGTTTTCGGACATAACAAGTTAAAGAGAAACACAAAACCCTTCTTCTTGCCTAATACACGGCCTCTTCTTCTTGTCCGAATCGTACGTCAATTCTTCCATCTTTCTCTCACCATCGTTATTCCTCGGTCCACCAGCTTCCTTCCTTTTCTCCGTTAAAAGGAGGATTTGCTTCACTTTCAGGAAATCTCATATCGAGCTTGATTTGGTATTCGAATGTAGCCGAGAGAGGCATACGACACAAATCTGAGTGTTCGCTGTTTCTCGTCGACATGCAGTTTCAGGGACGGCACGTGTGAGTGACTAATTGAGCACAAGACATAGAGAGATAGAGAGGGAGAGATGGTGAGTCAGGTGAAGAGGGAGACGATGAGGGCTTGCCTGAGCTGCCCTCTCTGCGACAGCATCCTCCATGACGCCACCACTATCTCCGAGTGCCTTCACACTTGTAAGTTCTCCCTCCTTCCTTCCTTGCTACCTTTAAATTGCCTCTGATATTTACTCTTGCTTTCTGGGAATTAATATCTCTCACCGATACTTCTTCTCGTCCTATTTTGGTAGAACAAGTACAATTCGGTCAATGTTGACCAAAAATGTTCAATTTTGACTCCTAAACTTCACCTTCTTCCTCTATCTAGGTTACTTGCAAATGGCTAGTTTCGATTCATCCTTCGTCCGTAAAGTTTGAAACTTTGAATATCTTTTCTTTTTTCATTCTTTCTTAATCTCAAATCAATTAATATTTTTAAGTATAAGAAAGAAAAACTACCCAGTTATCTCACAAATTTTGTTAACATGGCTGGCTTGCTAACATAGTTTGAAATTTTACACTCGTATGCAATTCGACCTTGGTCACATTTGACACGACGAGATTATTTTTCCTACGCAGTTTGTAGGAAATGCATTTATGAGAAAATAACAGAGGATGAGATAGAGTGTTGTCCAGTATGCAATATCGACCTTGGTGGCACCCCATTGGAGAAGCTGAGGTAAGCTAATCTTTTTTCCTGTAAAGCTATGCTCAGCAAATAAACGTTATGTACATATGTGAGCTTTATTATAGTTTGACTTAAATAAGTATGTTGAGGAGCCACTTTGATGCATGTTGTTTAGGCCTGACCACAATTTGCAAGACTTGAGAGCCAAAATCTTTCCTCTGAAACGGAAAAAAGTGAAAACTCCTGGTATTGTGTCCTTGCCGACAAAGAGGAAGGAGAGATCTATTTCGTCTTTGGTTGTAAGCACGCCTAAGGTGTCAGCACAAGCCGGAACAACGGGAAGAAGAACTAAAGCGGTCATGAGGAAAGAGTTACGAGGTAATGGTTCTTTAACTGAGAAAATTGTGAAGAAAGAAGAATCTTCCGAGGATGAGCTTCTGGAGAGCAGCACAAGCTCACCCGACACTCTTAAAAAATTCACTCAGACTAAAAGGCAGGTAAAGAAGGTAATCACTGCAATGCTCTATTCTCTTGTAATGGCTTCATTTCATATTATCTATTCTTTCTAAGTTTCTTATTTTACTTGCAGTCATGTGCAGAGTCCAACTCCAATAAAGAAAACAAGGATTGTGATGAACCATGGGATTCCAGATTGGAATGGAAGCCTTTAAACTTTCTGGTGGAAGTTGCAAACAGGACAAAGCCCTCGAAATCCGAGCAAGCTAATGCATCCCACAAACAACTTCTAGGGGAAAAAACCAAAGTTAAGGATCACAAAAGCAAATGTAAACGTGAGGATGAAATGAGTAATAACGGTGATCCTACAACATCTGGAGCTGCTACTCCTAAAAGGCTGCCTAGGACTCAACGCAAAAGGTCTGCCACCACCTTTGATGATGATTCAAGAAACTCGCCACAACCAGATGAGTCAAGTGCGAAACGGGAGAGGAGAAATGGTCCTGTTTGGTTCTCACTTGTGGCGTCTAATGATCAGTGAGATTCTTGCTCTCTTATCTGAAACTTTTTTTTGCTCTCATGGTGTATCTTCTCTTCTTCTCTCTGTTTATACATTTCTGTTGGTATGTTGACAAGGGCTTGGTGTTTTCAGGGGAGGAGAAACTTGTTTGCCTCAAATTCCAGCAAATTTTTTGAGAATAAGGTACGTTTTCCGGTTCTTGGATTACTCTCGGAGACCCTAATTCCTTTGTTGGGAGAGTTAATCTGCTGTCTCATTGGGTGGCAGGGATGGAAATATTCCAGTTTCTTTCATCCAAAAGTACCTCGTGAGGAAGCTTGATCTCGAGAGTGAAACTGAGGTAAGAGATCTTTTTATATGCTCTATGGCACGATAGAGGATAGAACGTTTGAATATAATGGAAGCTGGCTAATAGGTCTCGTCAGGTCTTTAACGCAAGTATGGCCTTTGGTTGTTTGGTTGGTCAAAATTAGACGTTTAATGGTTTTGTTTACAGATAGAGATAAGGTGTATGGGAGAAGCGGTGATCCCAACGCTGAAGCTTCAAAAACTGGTGGATCTGTGGCTGCATAGATGTTCGAAGCACCAACGGTTTGCTGCATCGATTGGTTCCTCTGCAAAGGATTATATGATGGTACTTGTCTATTCTCGTAAGCTTCCGGAATGCAACAAGTAAAGGACTTTAAAGACTCTTGTTGCAAGAAGAAGATTCGATGGAGACAGTGTAATCTTCTTTCGTCTTGATGGAGTCTCTCAAAGCATGACAAGGGATAACATTACTTGACCTCAGGAGCAGTAGAATGTTTTGTGAAACTATTAGTACTTTGTTCTTTCTTCTATAAACGAGAAAATGCAAAAAGAAACAATTTTTTTTTTCTTTTTCTTCCACTATATGTGTCCTTATTGGATTTGCATGTAATGTTGTTGTCACTTCAAAATCAAGGGTTGTAGTTTGGATGATCTGACATGACATCTGGATTGATTTCTGAGTACTTATTTGGGCACTACTTCATTTTTATGGAAGCTATAGTTTCAAAGAATTACCCTTTGATCGTTGACATCAGAACCGACGGTATGGAACAAAGTATTTTATGTTGAGATTTCACAAAATCCTCCACTGTTAGTTCCAAACTCCAAAAGTAGAATGTAAAGACCATGACATCGGTTAAACAGTCCATCCGTAGGTAAACAACGTAGAGCTGATACATATGATGGCACAACAAACCATGTTTCATGATGTTCTATATACCTCATAGACCATGGTTGCTCTTACGAAATGGAACTTATATTATATACATGATCATAACTATTGTGAAACTATACAAATGTATCATTGTTAAATAAAAATAATCGATCACATGTTTAAAACTTAGTAAATCACAATATAAGTAGTGATTTTGCTTTCGGGCTATTTTTTAACATAGAAATATCACATATCAACAAGTGCTGTGCAACAGATTCTAGAAGATGGTCATCTTGGGTAGTATCCAATCAAATGAATCTGCATCGAAAAGTAATCGAAATTCCATGATTCATGGTTCTGCTCACTCCTTTCTTTGTTTAGTTTTGAAATAACATAATTTTCTATGAGTTTCTCTTCGGCATTATTCGGAAAACCAAATATACTGTAACACTACCAAGAAAAACAATATTTATGACATATCTTGCTTCATAACCGAATTTCTCATTGCATAATAATCCGTTTATCACAGTAAGATAGTCAAAAGAAAGCTCACAGATTTTTCTATAAAATGAAGAAAACAAAAATGAATTTCGTTAAGTATATCGCGAGTTATGATCAAATTAATCGAGCCTAAAAGCACAGCAAATATGCCCAAAGCATCTAATCCACATCCACTAACTTACTCATCCCTCCACCGAGGCCATGCCTTCTAAGCCGTTGATAAAAAATGATCCAACGATTTATATTCAAACTTTGTAAATGAGTAGCGATCCGCGTACTCGTTGTTTTAACCAATCAGAAGACAGATATGAATTGCCGTCTGATACACATCTAACTATATAAATCGGACGTTTCCGATGATCTCATTATCATTCACATAACTTCCTCTTCTCAACATTTCATTTACGGTTTCCAGCGATCATATTCAGATCTAAAAATCAATTCCGATGACGACGCCAGAGATTGAGCACGAGAATGCCCCCACTGTCGACGAAATCAACACATCGGTGACGGAGCCGGCCAGCGAGAAGAAGCCTGCAGCCAAGGGTCGGAAAGCGAAGAAAGTTAAGGAAGTGAAGGAGAAGAAGGCTCCTGCTGCGGCTCCGAAGAAGAGAACCGTCTCTACTCATCCAACTTACGAAGAGGTATAAGATTCGATCTAGATTTTTTCCCTTTTCGCGTTTATCGAGCCGTATTCAGATTCTGAGATTAGAGATTGATTTTGATTTTGGTTTTTTGTTGTTTGTTGTTGTTGCGATTCAGATGATTAAGGATGCTATCGTCACGTTGAAGGAGAGGACTGGATCTAGCCAATACGCGATTCAGAAGTTCATCGAGGAGAAGCACAAGGAGCTTACGCCTTCATTCAGAAAGCTGTTGCTTCTCAATCTGAAGAGGCTCGTTGCTTCCGGAAAGCTTGTCAAGGTCAAAGCATCCTTTAAGATTCCGTCTGCCAAGCCTTCATCTCCGAAGGCGGCGGCGACAGCTGCTCCGGCGAAGAAGAAGCCTACTGCAGCGGCGGTTTCCAAGTCGAAGGGGAAGGTTACTGCGGCTTCCAAATCTAAGGTAGCCAAGGTGTCTAAGAAATCGTCGGCGGCTAAACCCAAGACAGCCGCTGCTCGGAAGCCGAAAGTGAGTGCGAAGCCCAAGGCCGCTGTTGCCCCCAAGAAGAAAGCTGTCGCTGCGAAGCCCAAGGCCAAGGAGAGACCAGCCAAGGCAGCCAAAACATCTAAGGTAACATCTCCAGGGAAGAAGGCCCCGGTGAAGAAAGCTGCGCTGGCGACTAAAAAGAAGGCCCCGGTGAAGAAGATTGTGAAGCCTAAGACGGTCAAGTCTCCAGCGAAGAGGGTTTCGTCAAGGGGGAAGAAGTGAAGCTAGGGTTTAGTGTTGATCTTACATGGTAGTAGCTTTCTCTGTAGGTGGTAGTCTTTGTATAATTCAATGATCCTGCAGTGACTTTGTTTGCCTTTTCTCTTTTGTTTCGTTTCCTCAAAGTTCTTGTAATTCATGGTTGCTTGGACTACCCTTTTAAATCATATATAGCTAAATCTCTTTTCTTAAGGTTATTCATATTTCATCAATGGTTCAAGAAGAAAAGTCTGGTTTCTTGCAGCTAATTTGTGCCTTTCATAATGAACAATGGAAGTTACACAATCAACAAATGTCCCTCCTAAGCAACTTTTACATTCGATGTATCCTATCAAGTTTCTGTTGTTCCCTGTTTCAGCTTTTGGTGTTGGTGAGTTGTTGTTTAGATCTTTCAACATTCTGAATGGAGTATTTGAGCTCCTGTTGAATGTTAAACCTTGAAGGTGAAAGAACAATGTCTTTCCAGATTGATCCAGCTTCACAAGCAGGATTTGGCTGGTTATAAAGCTCGTAAATGGAGTCTGCGTTCTCGTTCAACCCTCCTACTCGCTTCAAACAGTCGAACTCCTCTGGATCCACTAGCAACGTCTTCTCTTTCTCTTTCCAACCTATCATCTGCCACAACCACACCTTCACCTGTTAGCACTTTCCTGTCTACAATATGTATGCAGTATGCACCATTGATTTTGCTTCCTCAATTAAACACCACTCTAGTATAGGCTTGTTGTAGAGGTGAGCAAAATCAATAGTGCATTATAACTAGCCTAGGGGTGGTGCAAGGAAGTGTTAGCTTTGCTAGCTAGCAAAAGTATGAGTTGTTACTGGTTCCAATGTCAACACTAACCTTTGGTGAGCCTTCGAGAGCGTTGGTGCAGTAGAGCCTAGCACTATCAACAAGGTTGCAATACGTAGGAAACGCGGCTGCAAACCTTTTGTGGGATCTCAGCTGCGATCTCACCCTAACCGCTCTTCTGCACATGATAGCTCTCCTACAATCTCAGCCAAAACGCACTGCAAGTTAAGGGACATGCTTGAAAGATAGATAGGTAGATAAAGTTTGTTGCTTGCTTGCACTCACCTAATGCCTCTTATAACTGCTAAATACGCATCGCACACGACTCCAACTAGTTCTATTCTATACGGTTTTCTCCTACGCCCATCCTCCTGCAGCTGCTGCCTCTCACCGATCCGTTCCCAGTAGTTCTCTGTGATGATTCCATCGTCACCAACCTTGTATCCAGCTCCCATCCTGTAGTGGTGACGGTGCACGTTCCTCGCCATTGTTATTGTCTGCACCACAAATGGCACCCAAGAGAGCGTCCCGTCCATTATCACATCCCTCCCTTCGTTCAGAGCCGTCACTAGCAGCGATGAAGCTGCATCTGTTGATGACTGGTGAACCTATTTTCATGACAATATATCAAACACCTCAGAATCAATCTTCTAATATACTTGACAGGTTCTTCTGTGTGTTTCTTACCAATTCAGCTGTTTGGATCATATCGACATGGCCACGAGAGCTTAAGGCTCTGTAAATGACATCAGTTTCTTTGAAAGCATCAGCTTCAATCACCACAGCGTCTGCTCCTGCCCAAAGAGCTCTGAATCCATGATTAAAAAAAAACAATCTGGTAAGCTTCAACTACACATATAAAATATGTACAATGAAATGAATCTGTACTTACTCTTTGAGAATGTCCTTAAGCACAGTGCTTTTCCCTGCACCCATCCCACCGCCCATGAGGAGTAGAACCGGACTCCGGTCCTTGTGAGCCACTGGTGCCATAACTTCAGTACACTGTGAGTCATCCACAGACGCGATCCCCATTGCTCTCATTTCCTCTACCAAAGTATTGAACACTCTCGCCACTTTTAAGTTCTTAGTCACCCTCTTAATCCTCTGTTCCCTATTCACCCACAATATCACTCATGAATTAATAAAACAGAACACACGGCTTTCTGTATTTATTTTGTTCCTTACCTTGTAGCTGCCATCACGATCTGCTTCAGCCTCCTCTTGGGCTCAGCGTCCGCACTCAGTATCTGAGATTCATATCTGATGTGTCATTGAATGTTTTGGTCTACAATGTGTGTTCTATAACAGGAGAAAGGTTTTTGTTTTTTAACACACAAACCTGAGTAATCATGAGATCGGCGTGGCTCCAGTGATAAGCAAAGTAGCTGAGAATGCATCTTTCAAACTCCTCAACGAGCTTAATGAAGAGGGAATCAGCGTCGGGCTCTTGAGAGAAGAAGCTGTAAATGTCTTCTTCACAACATTCTGATTTCCTGATGTACTCCGCTGCTAACTTGCAGAGGTTTGGACAGTCTCTTCTGTCCTTGAACCCCATTTGCCTCGCCACGTAGTGAGAGAACCTCTCGAGCTTCCCATGGCCTTTGTGTTTGTGAGATGATCGGAGACGAGGGATGATTTTGGAGTCACGCAGCCTCCGGAGACGGTAATGCACTGCGGCTGCGATCATCAAGCCGATGGATGACACCACCAATATCTGCGTGAACGTCGTCGGTTTGCTGCCGTAACATTCTGTAAAAGCAACTAATTCAAAATTCACAATACTATCACCAGGAAGAAGAAGATATACGAAACAACAAATATTGGACCTCTTTGCATGACGATGGATTTGAATTTGATCTCAGGGAGGGATCAGTAATTGGTGTGTGGTTTGATGAAACTCACAAGACGGGTCGTCGTCGCCATTGTTGCTGTTGTTTCTTGAGTCTCTTTTGTGTTTTGATCCGTTTTCTGTGGCGAAATTTGAGAAATTGGCTTCCTCACCACCATCCAATTCAGTCGCACGCTAACTAAAGATAGCTGAGACCGATTACTCCGGAGATATATTGACCTTACGAAACTAAGCCTAATCATAGGCAGATCCTCTCTCTCAGATCTGTATGCAAATTCACTGAAGTTGTTCACTCAAAATGTCATTTTCTGCAGTGTTGCAATCCGAATGAAAAAGATAATTAGGACCCTTTTTTCAATAAATAAAGTTGTTGAAAGAAAGAGCCTAAAAACATCAAAAAAAAAAAAAAAAGTAGTATGCTACGCTTACCTAATACCATAACTTCTAAATTCTTTCCAACTTGCTGAGAGCAAATCCTCTACCAAAATATTTTCCTAAAACCTAGACTGAATATTATTACATAGGAGCAATGCAAGTTGTTCTGAAATGTCCCGTTTCATTACACCGGCTACAGTGAACCACACGCTTCACACGATCACGATCCTCTGCCCTAATTCTCCTCCTCCGAGCAACTCTTATAACCCTTGGTGTCCTTATTCCATCTTTACCATCATCTCTCTCTGAAACCTTTTCTTTCCACTCAACTTTGTCTGAAACTGGCTCCACAGCCTCTGCGTATGTTCTCCTGTAACTCTCCACCGTGAAGCAACTCTCTGTGTACTTGTAGACGTCCTCTTTGCAATACAAGAGAGCCCCGACGGCGTGGCTACACGGCAAACCGTAAATCTGCCACTGGCGACACAAACAAGAACGGTTTTCGATATCCACCACGACATTAGCTTCATGAGTCATGACTTCAAACTCGGCTTCGTTTGCTCTGTAAACTCGGTGAACACGAGATTGCTCCATAGCTGCAAGCATGTGCCTCTCAGCAGAAGGAACGAGCTCACCAGACCACTGCAAGCTCGTTTCACGGCGTTCTTTGAACAAATTCATCAAACGGCGGTGGAAACATTCCATCATTTGGATTATAGGAAGACCTGATGCATCTTCTATCCAGCTGTTGAGTGACTCGGTAACAACATTCGCGGTTAACTGTCCGTACCTTGCTCCTTCAAAGTACGACGATGCCCACAGAGCAGGAGAGCAGTTCCGGATCCATAAAACAGCCTCTAGAGAGATCTGTTCGATCTTGTTGATTTGTGATGTGAACTCGAGGACGGTGAGAGAATGAGCAGCTTCCCACAGAAGGCTCACAAGAGTTGAGTTGTTGAACTCTCTTTGGAAACGTTCAGTGAGATAATGGACACAAAGGCCATGAAACGCCGTTGGGAAATTAGACTCTACCCCATCAACGATGGATTTCTCCCTGGTGGATAATATGGTAAGCTTTGGCATATTCTCAGAGTTAATTTCAAGAATCTTACGAAGCTCCGAGAGAAACAGATGCCAGTTGCTCTCACTTTCTTCATTAACAATAGCGAACGCCAAAGGTAAAACGCCTCCATCTCCATCAAATCCAGTGGCGAGCAGCAACGTCCCCGGATATTTGCTCTTCAATAAAGTCTTGTCCAGTGCAATAAGAGGCCGACAAGCATTTACAAAACCAGAGACTGATGCTTGGAAAGAAACAAACAACTGTTGGAAACTGTCGTCGGTCGGATTTGCATGAACCACAGCGATGCTCCCGGGATTTGTCCTTGTGATTTCATCACAATACTGAGGAAGAAGGCGATATTCTTCTTCGAATGACCCACGGAGAGAAGCCATAATACGCTCTTTCCCTCTCCATGCTTGCTTGTAAGACAGAGCAATCCCATGAACTCGGTGGATCTCTTCTAGTATCTGCTTCGGTTTGAAATGCGGATTCTCTTTCAGCTTCCCTGCCACAACATCGGCAACCCACTGAGCTGAGGCTTGGTGATGACCAAGATGTGAAATCCCACCACAAGTGTGACTCCCGTGGATAGTCCTCACAGTAAAAGTCGGCGCATTGGGAACCTTGGCGCAGTGAATCCTCCATGGACAACCTTCGCCCATGCACTTTGCAGTGAAGCGAGTCTTATCAGATTTAATCGTGTGCATCTCGAAACGTAGAGAAATGGCTGCATCTCTCAATGCTCTCCTACAGGCCTTGACATCAGAAAACTCCATACCAACGGCCATTTCATGCTCAGGACCACCTGCACTAGGCATAGACCAGCATTGTTGTGTAGGAGGAGCCGTGTCTGGTTTCCGAGAAAAGTCAATGCCATGACTCCTCATCCCCAACTCTGTTTCATCCTCGATCTCTTGAGACTCTTGCTTCGGGCTCGCTTCCGTGGCTTCAACTACAGTTGGTTTATCAATCTCGGAAGTTCCGGAGTCTTCATTGTCGGGAAAAGAGAGAAAGCTATCATTTTGGTTGGTTTCATGATCGTTGTGATGAATCGTCGAGTCTTGAAGAGCCATGGCTTTGTGCTCCTGGAAATGGTCCCAGGACGCAGTGTCCTCATAGGAACCACCGATCTGGAGGTTGATATCGAGTAGCTGTTCAAATGCGGAACTGTAGTCATGACTAGGAAACGGCTCATAGTTGTGTTGAGTTCCCGTGAAATGATCCTGCCTAAATGATAAATCATCGTTCTCAGGCTTCACCCGCTCGTCGTTTGCCATTTTCAATGACCAAAAACCAAAAACGCAGACTCCAATCGGATTTTTACCTGTCAATGTATGAAGGGAGGGCAACATCATCAAAAATGATCAATCAGAAACAGTACGAAGCAGTACCAAATAAGGAACTTAGCATGACTCAGCCAGATTTTAATATTCTGTTTTTTAAGTAATGGAGTCATATGACCATGAGAAGCATAAAATCAGTAACTTTTACGGTCTGAGGGAAAGAGAGTCCTAAAATATAACAAATATATTAACTCAAAACACAATGTTTCACACTCTTTAGCCAATAATCCAATTCGAAAGTTCACAAAACTGATCATGCAGTGCACAGAACAGAGAAAAAATGCAAACCGGAAACCGAATGCATATAAATGTAACCCAAAATTTCTCCGGGAAACGAACAGAGAACAGAAGCCAATTGCAGACTGAAAGAAAAAAGGAGGACGGAAACTCACGATCCAAAAGTTTTGAGCAGAATCTAAAATCAGCGAAACCCAATCGAAGAAGAAAAGGAGAGTTACATTCAAAGAGAAGGAATTGGCGGGTAAGAAGAGCTGTAGGGTTTAACTGTTTTAAGGGGAAGAATCTGGAGAAAGGAGAATACGGCAAAACAAGGGCGACGACAGAATTTTTTTTGATACAAAAGTTAACTCTGCGTAAGACTGTTAGGTGTTCCAAGGGTACTTTTGTCATTTCAGCTTTACTTTACTGGAGGAGACTTTTTTGGGCCCATTAATTAGGCCCACCAATCGTTGGAGTACACATTTTCCTTTTTTTTTGGTCGTCAAACAGTTTGACCTCAAACTAGTCAATATTTGAATCCCAAAAAAATCTATTTATGTAGGAGCAGTTCAAAGACATTCGAGTATCACTCTATGCTTGGAAAGTAAACTTTTAAGGTCGATAAGCATTTTTGTTTTGTGTTCACCTGATTTCCTGAATATGTAACAGTCATACCCACCAAAAATCGCATTTTACAGACTTTAAACAAACGAAAGTACCAAACTCCTCTTTTGATGTGAACTATTATCATTACTGATGTAAGATCAGCTTCACTTTCATATCTCCCTTGAGGATTTTCCCAAAGAAAAAAAAATAGGCAACCAATCAATTACCCGAGATTTCTTCATCCACTTAGTTGTAACTAAATCTCCGAATTTTTCTTCTGGATTACAAGTCTCCATGCGAGTCCTGTGAGCGATCAAAATCTCTCCAAGGAACTCCGAATCACGCCGCCAAAGTAACTACATGTCTCTGAAGATCGAGTTTGTTTCAAGATGAAGCCTTTACACAACACCTCCCAAGTTCAAGCTCTGGAAGCAATTCAGACACCACTTTTTCCATAGAGATTATCTCTATCTGCTGCTTGTTGCTCCCCTCCTTTCTCATCCCTTTTGATAAAAGATTCACTTTAGGAGATTCCGTATTTTCAGCGAGCAATTCTTCGAAAAAGTTTTCTTCATCATTTAGCTTCGAGGCCTTCATGAGATCCACCACTTGATGCCTTTTTGCAACATTTCTACCTGCTCCACACCCCATTGCAGTTGCTGCTCCAACCGCATTTGCAACTGTTAAGGTGTTAACAAGCGGCATGTTGCGTATATAACCCAATGCAATTGCAGCCACAAAACTGTCTCCACATCCAACAGTGTCAACCACCTCCACCTGAAGATGGTGTGTTGAGGAAATTATTTAGAACATTACACAAACTTACTCTATTATTTATACACATAAACTCGATTCTCAGCACGCACCTAGGTGTGAATGCCAAATAAAAGATTAGATGATCTGTAAGGAGGTACCTTAAATGCAGGTGCCACTGAGACACTTGATTTGGTCACTAGAATGGAACCCTTTGAGCCCATTTTTACTATCACCCACTTTGTTCCCTTTCCACTCCTCAGAATTTCTTGTCCTGCTTTTACAGGGTTCCTGTTGCCAGTTAGAGCCTCAGCCTGAGCAATTCATTTAACAGGTCAGCAATAATTTGATCAGTCACCTTATTATTACCAATACTAATCAGCATATTCTATCACAGAAGCACTGTACTAGGTGCAACAGCACAAAAGGAGGGAGACGGCTAAACAAGCAAATTCACATGGCTTGCAGGGTTGTCTTCTCTTTAACTGCCCATATATATGGGACAAATTGTATGTCATCTCTTGAATGGACATAAGGAAAATATCACAATAGAAAAGGACAGTGTACCTCCTCAGAAGTCAGTAGAAGAACATCACTCATTCTTAAGAAGTGAGCAAGTGCTCTGCGCTCATCAGGAGTTCCCTTGGAAAGACTCTTTCCCCGTGGTCCAGGATCAAAGAAGATAGCTGTCCCAACTTTGGTAGCATAATCTATCGCTGACATTATAAAACTAGGGCTGAAATCATCAAAGTCATAACCATTGCAGAAAAGAACTTTTGACTGTCTGATTGCCAACTTTACTTCATCAGATAGGTCAGTTATCCAACTGAAAGCAGGCTCGTCCTTGAAATCAGCTCGACTAAAAAAGAGAAACAACAGAGGACATAAGTTCTTCACGATCAAAGTATATCATTGGAATGATGCACTCATTATATACAATTAGACATTGTAGTCCCATACAAGCCACCATTATCATAGATCTTTCAAGTTTCCATGAGAGACATATTCAGTTATACTTTTTATTATCATATAAATCGGCATGGAAAAAAAGCAGTACCTGCAAAACCCGTGCCTCTGCAGAGGATCCACAAGAACCCAGCAAATAAGAGTTTCACAGTATGAGCTGGTGTCTTTGGCATTTATTAGTCCATCCAACGCAACCGTACCTATGCCCTCCTCATGAAGCACATCTAGAAGAAACTCTCCATAGATCTCATCCCCTACGTGACCGATAGCAACACAGTGAAGCCCCAGTCTAGCAGCTGCTATAGCCATGTTGCAGTTTCCACCTGCTTCCCAGTATTTCTATAAGCAAAACAAAACAAAACAAGAATCTTCACCGATAACACTAGGAATATACATTGAGTTAACAAATTGTTCAACTTTATCATGGAGAGCATTGAGCTAAGAACTTTTTAGATTTTTGTAGTTAGTGGAAGCTCCTCATATCACTGGAGGACTAATTGGAACCAAATCCGATCAATCTTTGTAGTGACAGTAACAATCTTTCTTTCGTTCAACCCGCATTAAGCAGAAAATTTTTATGCATACAATGTTTGAAATTATCACCACTAAAACACTAAGAAGCAATCAATGTCTTACAGATGAGAAGAGAACAAAAAGAGAGAGAGAGAAATAACATTTAGTACGCAAACCTTATCTGGGGGAGAAGTAGAGAGTTCGTCCATGAGCGCCTTGCGGTCTCTCCGAGAAGGCGGGGGCAACTCGTTAACACTGAGAACAATGTCGACGCAGAGATTACCCAAGGTTGCGACATCGATAGGTTTCTCCGCCACCACGACTCCTCCAGTTTCCCCGAGAGAGACGATGGAGGAGCCATCAGCGTACCTAACGGGAGATACATCGGCGGCGCTGCTCAGACAGCGGAGGCAGACGGAGCTGCTCACATTCGGGACTCGAGCGAAAGGCGGGAAAATAGGGAGGAGAGGATTAGGGCTTTGGAGGGGGAAATTGGAGACGGATAACGCATAGTGAGGAGAGAAGGAGTGGAATTTGAGGGCAAACGCGTGCTGATGCATTCAGACGAGCCCAGAAAGAAGGAAAAAGGAGAGATGGTTTTGAATGCCTCTCAGCTCTCTCTCGCTCTCTCTGTCCGTCTTCTTCAATCTTCTAATGGCTGATGAAGAAATTCTTAAAACTTTTTGTTCCCTTCACCATTTTAGGAGAGGCGCTTCTGTGATAAATCGAACCGGAGTGAATGTATAGAATGGCAAATAAAACCGAACCGGGTGTGGTATTTTGTTGGTTTCCCTAACCGTCTTATAAGCTTACTAATTAATCCGAGGTTTATAGAAAGGGTTTTTCCATCTCTTACCTGTTTACTTCTCGACGGCCACCAAAAGCTTTGTTCATCTCTCTCACTGTAAGCCATGGCCGGCGACGAATTGATGCCGCCTCAGAGGTCGCACAGGACTCGAAAATCAGGTCCGACCATGAGGAAGAAATCTGAAATCGACAAGAAGAAGCGTGGCGTCTCCGATAACAAGCAGCAAAACCCTAGAGTGAGTTCCTCTCATCTCTTGTCAATGTCTCTGTAGAGTTACTGTGTATTACATAATCGGTGTTGACGGAACAATCGATCTTAACTTGGTCGTGCAGGCGTTTGCTGTTAAGTCGGGTGTGAAGGCGAAGCGTCTACAGGCTCGCTCCGCGGAGAAGGAGCAAAAGCGAATTCATCTTCCGACCATTGATCGTACTTACGGCGAACCGCCTCCTTTCGTCATCGTGGTTCAAGGCCCTCCAGGGGTAATGTGTTTTAGACTGATATGTCGTATTCACTGTCGGATTTGTCTTCTTCTTCTCGCACAAGTTTTGATGGTTTCTTGTCACTGTGTTTTGCTCCTGTAGGTCGGAAAGTCTCTCGTGATTAAGTCCCTTGTTAAGCATTTTACGCACCAGAACTTACCGGAGGTTCGAGGACCTATTACCATTGTATCAGGTTCTGTGCTACATTGTTCATTTCTTCTTCTTCTTATATTTATGTAGCTGGTTTGAATATATCGTGAATTTTTAGGGTCGGATCGTAATCCTGTTCTCATGTTAGTCTGGTCATGGATTTAGGTAAACATAAACGGATACAATTTGTGGAGTGCCCAAATGATATCAATGGGATGGTGGATTGTGCAAAGGTTGCTGATCTAGCTCTTCTACTCATAGACGGGAGTTATGGTTTTGAGATGGTGAGACGCCTTGACGATTATTTTTCTCTAGCTTTCTCCCTTTTTTTTTTTTTTTCATAACCAGTGCTTTATCTAGTTTGTGTTTCCCCTGCCCTTGATAGTGTGGTATAGAATATAGTTGTCTCTTCCATCGTGTCATTTGCTTGTGATTTTGTGAAGAACAGTTTTTTTATACAAGTTTAGTGGTGGACCTATTTTGGTAATCTACGTTTTTTTATTGATACCAACATATATATGATAAGTGATTTGTCTTTTAATCTGTTTGACCCTCAGGAAACCTTTGAATTCCTCAATATTATGCAAGTGCATGGATTTCCTAAAGTTATGGGAGTCCTCACTCACCTGGATAAGTTCAAGGATGTAAAGAAGCTAAGGAAAACAAAACAACGTCTCAAGCATCGTTTTTGGACCGAAATATATTCTGGAGCTAAATTGTTCTATTTATCTGGTCTCATTCATGGGAAGTTAGTATCCACTTTGATAACTTTTTACCAACCTGGATTACATCCGCAATGAGCGACTGAGGTTCACCTTGGATTTATCTTTTATTTTCAGGTATTCGCAACGTGAAGTTCTCAACCTCGCCCGCTTTGTATCTGTTATCAAGTTTCATCCATTGAAATGGCGAACATCACATCCTTATGTCTTGGCTGATCGTCTGGAAGATGTTACCCCTCCCGAGAAAGTTCAGATGGATAAGAAATGTGACAGAAATATCACGTTATATGGTTACCTACGTGGTTGCAATTTGAAAAAAGGGATGAAGGTATGGTATCAGATGTTTCATCATTATTTTCCTTTAAGTATTCGTCTTCGCGTGTAAAACTTTCTATGGCCTGAATACTTGTTCCATTGGTTTGCTTAGTTGTATTTTCTGTGGCGCAATATGTTCAATATCCCGGGAAAAGCTGATTTTAGATAATCTGCTTTTATTTCAAGTTGATGCTATTTATGTGGTCTTCCTTCCTGGTGTTGGTCCATAGATTATTTCGTTATTGCATCACGAAAACCGAAAAGAACCCATTTTGTTTACATGTAGCTCGTTTCTATATCGATTGAAGTTGTAATGTGAGGAGTCTTAATTTGTATATCCTCAGCTATGTACTGACTTTTCCTCTGATTCTTGATCTCAATGAATGGTTTTGTGTGGAAAATATTATCTTAGCTGTTGCCTCTCATTACATGTTTAATATGCGTCTCATATAATATTTTTTATGGTTATCAGGTTCATATTGCTGGAGTTGGTGACTACAGTTTAGCTGGGGTGACTGTCTTACCTGATCCTTGTCCTTTACCCTCAGCTGCCAAGAAGAAGGGGCTGAGGGACAAGGAAAAACTTTTCTATGCTCCTATGTCCGGGATTGGAGATCTTTTGTACGACAAAGATGCCGTTTACATTAATATAAATGATCACCTTGTTCAGTACTCTAAAACTGATGATGGAACTGAAGAACCTACCAATAAAGGTTATTTACGGGGTTGTCTAAGTGTTATTACCATATGCTTGGTCTATTTATATATATGTATTAGTCTCTTTCGAGCATCTTCTTCATTTCATATTTGATCTCAGTAATAAGTTTGAATTTGATTTACCTCATTCTACAGAACAGAAGCGTAATAAAAAAAAGTATCTCAGTTTTTTTAGCTCGAGAATCTCATTATGACATTTTTCTCTTGGCAGGAAAGGGCAGGGATGTTGGTGAAGATTTGGTAAAGTCGTTGCAGAACACAAAATATTCCGTTGATGAGAAATTAGAGAAGACTTTCATTAATTTATTTGGCAAAAAGACCAGTGCCAGCTCAGAAAGAAAACTTGAGGCTGAAGATGCGGATCTATCGTCGCCGGAAGGTTCTGACACTGAGTCATCGAAGGAGTCTCAATCTGGTGATGATTCTGACGATGATGAGAGAAATGACAGCAAAATAAAGCAGAAAACTGAGATCCATGGCGGAAGGATGAGGAGGAAAGCTATCTTCAAGGATGAAGTTGGGCAGAGTGATGCGATGGTAATCTCTTTGCTTGATCTTATTTTTCGTAATGCATATACCAATTCACTCACATCTTCAGTTCGATAATACTGGTGACTATAAGTTCAAGAGATAGTGAATATGAATTTTACTATTCTCTCTTTCATAATATTGTATTCTTCTTGCTTCAGTCACCATTTATGTCCGACGATCTAAATAGTAATGGCTTAATTAAGTCGATCGCAATTCTAGTGGGATCTGTAATCTGTGTAGTAAAATCGTTTTTTGTGAAGCAATATCTATTTGAAGTGTACTGATTATATTTTCAGAACCAAATGATTTTGGTCATGTCTGATCTGTTTTACTGTTTGTCATGCCTGGGTGTGTGTGATGCAGGACACAGACGAAGATGATGTGAAATCTGACGATAATGAAATAGAAGATGTTGAATCTGACGAATATGAAGTTGAAGATGGCGAAGATGACTCTGCTTCAGATTTACAGGACTCAGATGAAGATGATGTTGATGAAGCAGAAGATGGGGTCCTTGGTAACATATCAAAATGGAAAAAACCCTTAAAGGAGAAGGTCAGAAATAAGAACCCAAACTTGATGCAAATTGTGTATGGTGCATCGGGATCATCAGCTACTGCCTTGATAAATGAAACTAGTGATGATGAAGAAAGTGATAACGAAGAATTCTTTAAGCCAAAAGGAGAGCAGAGCAAGGTTTGTCATTTCAAGACCACACAAACATTGGTGATCCTTTCTTGTTCTTAGAATGGGATTATCTCAAACATCCGGTTCATTTTTCTTTTCATCTCCTTTCAGAACATAGGTGGTGGATCGGATGTGGGATATGTCAACTCAGAGGATTGTTCCAAATTTGTGAGTTATGGAAACCTCAAGAATTGGAAAGAGAAAGAAGTTTGTGAGTGCATTCGTGATCGATTTACCACTGGTGATTGGTCAAAAGCTGCTCTGAGAAATCAAAATTCCGGTGCTGGCGATGATGGTGAAGATGATGAACTTTATGGAGATTTTGAGGATGTAGAGACAGGAGAGAAGCATCATAACCCTGAGAACATGGAGTCAGGTGCAAATCAAAACGAAGATGCTGAAGCAATTGAGCGTAGGCTAAAAAAGCTGGCTCTCCGAGCAAAGTTTGAAGCAGAATATCCTTTTTTACCTGCATCATTTAACTTATTTAAGTACACCATCATTATCTGTCACTTATCTCTGTCTGTGTTTATTCCCTTAACTTCGTTGTACAAGCAATAAATCCGGGTTAGATGAGGGTGATGATGATGAGGGTGGTGGGAACAATCCTGATAATAGTCAAGCTAAGGAACCAGGATACCTTGAAAAAGTAAGTAAATTTTCCTGCCTGCAGCTAAGGTTTTTCTATTCTCTGTTGTTTACTCACTTTATTTGCTCTCCAGTTGAAGGAGGAGCTTGAAATTAGAAGACAGAAGAATTTTTTAGAACTCAATGATCTTGACGAGGATACTCGAATTGAAATAGAAGGTTTCCGGACTGGAACATACTTGCGGCTGGAGATTCACAATGTTCCTTATGAGATGGTTGATTTCTTTGATCCGTCGTATCCTGTTCTCGTTGGAGGTATTGGTTACGGCGAGGATAATGCTGGATATATGCAGGTAAGGCTTATAACCATTCTCTCTTTTCTGACTCAAAAGAAACTTAAACTGAGTAGTTCAGTTCATCATAAATTATCCTTTTTCCTGTTTAAAATTAGTTGAAGCATGATTGTTCATTCAAATACTTCTTATTGTACCATATGTTTTCTTGTCCTTAGGCCCGGTTGAAGAAACATAGGTGGCACAAGAAAGTACTAAAGACAAGAGATCCCATTATTGTATCTATTGGATGGAGACGCTATCAGACTATCCCTGTATACGCCATTGAAGATCGCAATGGCAGACATCGAATGCTCAAGTATACTCCAGAACACATGCACTGCCTTGCTATGTTCTGGGGTCCTCTTGTCCCACCCAACACCGGCTTTGTCGCTTTCCAACACCTGTCAAGCAATCAGGTATGCGAATGCACTGTACTGCTTGAGATTTTGATTTAATTTTACCGTTGGTGTGTGTTTGAACTTTCGTGAAAGAGAATGCATACCAAGTGAAGGTTGGAACTTGAAACTTGCATGTGGGTTGACCAATAGATTTGATGCTTTCTCCCCCTCGTATAATTGTTGCCACAAACTATAATGACTGTTTCCTCATATAAATATTCTGCCACGTCAGTCCATTCTGCTCCATTGTTCCATGTTGGTTATAATAATTTGTTTTGGTTAGAAACCCTAATGGCCCACGTATAATTTGGAGGGAATATTATTGGTTGTTGCTCGGGTGTGATCTGTTGTATTCCTTTCCCGCTGAGTAGCTCTTCTGGTGTGTGGCTTCAGGCAGGATTTAGGATAACGGCGACTTCTGTAGTTATGGAGTTTAATCACCAGACCCGTATTGCAAAGAAAATCAAGCTGGTTGGGCATCCCTGCAAGATAAAGAAAAATACTGCATTTATCAAAGACATGTTCACTTCGGACCTTGAAATAGCTCGATTTGAAGGTTCGTCTGTCCGGACAGTTAGTGGCATTAGAGGGCAAGTGAAAAAGGTATGCATTCTTGTTGTAATTCCCATTAACCTTAAGCTTCAGGGTCATGTACTATAGTTTGTCTTCATTTGTTGGCTCTCCGGTTTTCTAACAGCCTCCCTTTGTCAGGCTGCGAAAAACATGCTCGAAAACAATGCGCAAGACGGGATCGTGAGGTGTACCTTTGAAGATCAAATAAAAATGAGCGACATCGTCTTCTTAAGGGCTTGGACCACAGTGGAAGTTCCAAAGTTTTACAATCCTCTTACCACAGCATTGCAACCCCGCGATAAGACCTGGACAGGGATGAAAACGTTCCGGGAACTCCGAATAGAGCATAATATTCCTATTCCGGTGAATAAGGACTCACTCTACAAGGTAAAAATCCCATTAAACTGCGAGGTAGCATTGTGTAGGGGAAGAGGGAACCCAAGGAAAGAGTTAATTCCAACTAATTCTCATTTTTGTAGAAAATCGAAAGGAAGGAGAAGAAGAAGTTCAATCCATTGGTGATTCCAAAGAAACTACAAGCAGCTTTGCCGTTTAAATCCAAGCCCAAAGATGTACCAGGGCGAAAAAGACCAACACTAGACTCTAGAAGAGCTGTTGTTATGGACCCGGAACAACGAAAAGCTCATGCCATCCTCCAGCATTATCAGCTGATCAATAAAATCAAGGTAATCTTTTTTTGAAGATATCATATCCATGTAAAAGTTTGATTTAGGTTCTTGTTGTCAATATTAATGACTTGGAACTGTGTTGAAAACAAACAATAAAAATGCAGACGAATACTAGAAAAGCGAAGGAGAAGGAGAAGAGGAAAGTGCATCAGGCACAGAAAGCTAAGAATGAGATAATATCTAAGAAACGGAACAGAGAGGAGAGACGTGAGAGATATCGTACGGAAGACAAAGAGAAGAAGAAGAAGATGAGACGAAGCGAAGATTAATTTTACTCTGTTTTTTTGCTCACTCCACATTCCACCACCAAGTCTTGATACTGCTGTATCACTTAAGTTTTCTGTTTTGGTTTTCGATCTTCTGAAGTCTAAACTACATTTCTTGAAACAAAATTTTGAGTTATTTTAAGTCATCTTTTATGAATCTATTTGGTAAAGTGAAATGAAAACCAAACTGGAATCAAAACAAAAACCATATCAGATTAATAATCACTTTGTTTATTTATGATTAAAAAGTCAAAAAAAATTAAAACAGAAGTTACATTGAAGATGCAACAAAAAATATCAGATGAAACAATGGGTTTGCATATTTAATTACGCTTTGTGATTAAAAGAGTTTATAGTTTTTTCACATGAATGGGTTGAAAGTTTCTGCTCTGTTTACAATTTCTTTCGAGCATTCTCCTTCGTCCTCATATAAACCCCAAAACCTCTTATAAACCCTAAATTATCTCTATCGGGCTGTACGATAGCAATGAACAAAACAGTCGTAAGATGTCTTCTTTCTCGTTCGCATCATCCTCTTATCCATTTCTCCACCAATCTCTCTCTTAATTCCACTCTTCTCGATAGAGTTTCCGGCTGTAGCCGTTATCTCACGGCCAGGTTTATGTCCACTCCTCCGCCGGATGAAATGTACGGATTCGACGACCCTTTCTCTCCCAATGAGTCGCGTGAAGTGGTGGATTTGACTAAAGAGTACTCCTTTTTGCAAGATTCTCTTGTGGACTCTGGAAATACTCATGTCCACCAGGTGCCCATAACTCGATCATCTTCCATTGATGCTAGAGCCATTGCAGATGCTGTCTCTTGTGGCGGCGATGTAATTGGGAGCAAATCCCACAAGTTTCTTAGGCAATTTAGAGAGAAACTGAGTGAGAGCTTGGTGATTGAGGTGTTGCGTTTGATACAAAGACCATCTGCTGTTATCAGCTTCTTCGTTTGGGCAGGTAGGCAAATAGGTTATAGGCATACCGCACCTGTGTATAACGCTTTGGTAGACCTGATTGTACGTGATAATGACGAAAAAGTTCCGGAAGAACTTCTGCAGCAGATCAGAGACGATGACAAGGAAATGCTTGCGGAATTCCTGAATGTGTTGATAAGGAAACATTGCAGGAATGGGTCATTTAGCATTGCCCTTGAGGAGTTAGGGAGGCTGAAGGATTTTAGGTTTAGACCTTCAAGATCTACTTATAGTTGTTTGATTCAGGCATTTCTGAAGGCTGATCGTTTGGACTCTGCTTCTTTGGTTCATCGGGAAATGTCCCTTGCGAATCTTAGGATGGATGGGTTTACACTTGGATGCTTTTCTTATTCTCTCTGTAAAGTAGGGAAGTGGAAGGAAGCTCTAACACTGATGGAAACTGAAAACTTTGTGCCGGATACTGTGTTTTATACAAAACTGATATCTGGTCTGTGTGAGGCTTCGCTTTTTGAAGAGGCTATGGATTTCCTGAATAGGATGCGAGCTACTTCCTGCCTTCCAAATGTTGTAACGTATTCAACTTTGCTCTGTGGATGCTTGAACAAAAAACAGCTGGGCAGGTGTAAAAGGGTACTTAATATGATGATGATGGAAGGTTGCTATCCAAGTCCTAAGATTTTCCGCTCTCTGGTACATGCTTATTGCACATCAGGAGATCATTCATATGCTTACAAATTGCTAAAAAAAATGGTTAACTGTGGTCACAAGCCAGGATATGTTGTCTACAATATATTGATTGGGAGTATCTGTTGTGACAAAGACTCACTTAGTTCTGATCTTATGGAGTTGGCTGAGAAAGCATACAGTGAAATGCTTGCTACAGGGGTTGTTCTGAATAAGATGAATGTCAGCAGCTTCACGAGGTGTCTTTGTGGTGCTGGAAAATACGAAAAGGCATTTAATGTGATCCGCGAAATGATGGGTCAGGGATTCATACCAGATAACAGCACCTATTCCAAAGTCCTTGGTTATTTGTGTAATGCTTCGAAAATGGAAATGGCGTTTCTGTTGTTTGAAGAAATGAAAATCCGTGGCCTTGTTGCTGATGTCTACACGTATACTATTATGGTAGACAGTTTTTGTAAAGCTGGTCTAATAGAACAGGCTCGTAAGTGGTTCAGTGAAATGAGAAAGGTTGGTTGCACACCTAACGTCGTCACATATACTGCTCTTATCCATGCTTATCTGAAGGCTAAGAAGGCCAGCTCTGCGAATGAGCTGTTTGAAACGATGCTGTCTGAAGGGTGTGTCCCCAATATCGTTACATATTCTGCCCTTATTGATGGCCATTGCAAAGCGGGACAGACGGAGAAAGCTTGCCAGATTTTTGAAAGAATGTGTGGCAGCAAAGATGTTCCAGATGTTGATATGTACTTCAAGCACTCTGATGAAAATACCGAGAGGCCAAATGTAGTTACATATGGAGCTTTACTGGATGGTTTCTGCAAGGCGCATAGGGTCGAAGAAGCTCGTCAGTTGTTGGATGCTATGTCCATGGAAGGTTGTGAACCGAATCAGATTGTATATGATGCTCTTATCGATGGACTCTGTAAGGTTGGGAAAGTAGACGAAGCACAAGAAGTGAAAACTGAGATGTCTAAGCATGGATTCACCGCAACCTTATATACTTACGGTTCTCTTATTGATAATTATTTCAAAGCGAAGCGCCCAGATTTAGCCTCAAAAGTAGTGTCTAAGATGCTTGAGAATTCGTGTGCGCCCAATGTGGTTATATACACTGCGATGATTGATGGCTTATGCAAGGTTGGTAAAACTGATATAGCTTATAAGCTTATGCAAATGATGGAAGAAAAAGGGTGTCAGCCAAATGTTGTGACGTATACGGCGATGATTCATGGATTTGGAATGATTGGTAAAACAGACACATGCCTTGAGCTCTTAGAGCAAATGGGTTCCAGAGGGGTTGCTCCGAATTATGTTACTTATAGGGTCTTGATAGTTCATTGTTGCCAAAATGGTGCATTGGATGTGGCCCACGATCTTCTAGAAGAAATGAAACAGACTTATTGGCCTACACACGCAGCAGGATATCGCAAGGTCATTGAAGGATTCAATAAAGAGTTCATAGAGTCTCTCGGGCTTCTCGATGAGATAGCCCAGGATGATACTGCCCCGTTTTTTTCTGTATATAGGCTATTGATTGATAATTTTATTAAAGCTCAAAGGCTGGAAGTGGCTCTTAAGCTTCTTGAGGAAGTTGCAACATTGTCACCCAAGTTGATTGACTACAGTAGCACATATAACTCGTTGATTGAAAGCCTTTGCCTTGCTAATAAAGTAGACAAGGCTTTTCTGTTGTTCTCAGACATGACGAAGAAAGGTGTTATTCCGGAGATGCAAACATTTTGTAGTCTTATCAAGGGACTTTTCGGAAATAGCAAGATCAGTGAGGCACTTTTGCTTCTAGATTATATATCTCATATGGTTTGTTCTCTTTGACTCTTTCTTCTGAGTTTTTAAAGTGTAGTTATAGTTATTAGAGCTGATTATCTAGTGGGAGAAAAGGCATTTACACGTGGTAGTTTATACTGTTTTATGTATTTCCCTCCATCCTTCTAATCCAGATTGGTATTTATTTCTGGAATCTGATTGCTAGAATGCCTCGGTTTTCCAGGAAATTCAGTGGGTAGAAGAAAAGAAAGTATCTGATGGGGCTTAGGCTTATTGATGATCCATGATGCATAGTTCTGATTTTCTAGCTAGATGGTGCATCTGATGTTGAGCATCCTAGTCAAATCCTGAAGTTTCCAAGGTTGGGAGCGGTGGATAAGTGATTCGGAAGATCCACTAGTAGCATGAGGCGCATTGGGCTTTGGGACCAAATCATTTGTAAGTTGGTTGGTTTTAGATTTACACATAGTCAGATTCTACGTAAATTCATGTCTTCTACTTATTTTGTATATGCAGGTTATGCTTTGTACATGAAGTGTAAATTATAGTTACAATGATTCGCAATGGAGTTGATTGACCTCCTTTGAACACTCTGCAAGCGCATTAATGGCTTCGTATAGGCGAGCATGGCTTTGGTAGAGTTTTTAAGATCTTTACCAAAAGACCTATAGATTTCATGCTTTGATGAGGGAAGCCATAAATGAGTAGAGCCTTTGTAACTTTGTAAGAATCTCTTCTATTGCACTGTCCATGCTCTGTGTTTAATAATCTAAAGGCATTTTCTCTTATCAAAATTTCTTGCAGTATTCCCGTAATCATCTCGTATGCATCGGATATGGGGAGCCCAGCTTCTCTTCTCACTCCGAAATTAAGAGGTGATAGTACTCAGTTTCCTACTACTCTTTTAAAGCTTAGACATTTTTAGATGTTGTGTTTTGCATTAGTGCTCATTCTCAGTCATATATTTGAAGGATGTGTTCATACTGCGTTTGTAATCCTACTCTTTTAAAGCTTAGACATACTCAGTCTTGTATTCTTTGCTAATCCGAGGCATAACATGTTTCAGTTGCTATGGACTTGTGGATGACACGGAAACACAGAAAAAGGACCAAGAAGATCTCTAAAGATTAACATAACAGAGGTCGTACATGAGCGTACTTTTCCAAGTGCAATGTAGTAAGAAAATCATCAAAGGCTTCTCTAAATATTCCAGGTGCATGACAACCAGATTTTGCCTCGTATATGTCTGGATTGTTTTGTATCTATGCTAATGCTTGTTTCTGACATTAGAACACTTAACAGTTGCTTAGTCAGATACCAAATGTTGTAAAGCATGCTGTACACATTGATAATCAGTCTTGTATGTGAGAGAGAATATTTGTAAAAGATATTTTAGAAGGCTTGGGCACACATTTATTTGGTAGTATTATCAACTAAAGGTTTTTTTACTATAAAAAAGTCCATATGAAATTCCAAAAATCCTATCTTAAGAAATAAACAATATTGGTAAAGCATTAATAATTGTAGCTAAACATTTAAAATAAGAGTTAACTTTTGGACTATCCCGTTTTAAGAATAATTTTTATAGAATCCCAAAGTCGGTAAAGAGACTTGAGTCAAATTGAAATCGTTAAAAAACAATGACCATTTGACCAGAAGGAAAGTGAGAAGAAGCATTGTAATTCGTTTTCTTTTGTTGGTCAGTTATATATATATATATTCGATATCTTTATCTGGTCACATATATTAATTTTAAAATATCTGTAATTAAATTATAAATAAATAAATGATTAGAAAAAGCAGCAGAAAGAGAGGAGTGATTAAGTTGAATAAAAGCAAAGGCCAAAGAAGGGATTAGATACAAAAACGCCAAAAAGCTGAGAGATATAACTTTGCTTTTCTTTTTGCCATTTGCTAATCTCTCTTCTTTCTTTCTCCTTCGTCTCCATCAAGCAAGCCCCTCCCTCTCTCTCTCTCTCATCAACGCAGAGGAGACGATCTTACGCGAAGAGCCCTAGAGAGATTGAGAGGGACAGCGAGTTTTTTAGGTGACGCAGACGGGTAACGAATTCTCTTGTTTTTTTTCTCCCTTTCTTCTTTGTTTTGTATCTGAATTTTGGTATTCGTAGAAAAATGGTATAGTCTCTAGATTCATACTTTGTTGGGCTTCTGAGGCGGTTCTAATCCCTGATGCATCTTCGCTTTCGTTTTCTAGATTTCAAATTTTACCATTCGATTTCGTTTCTGATTTTTGTGGATATAATTAGGTAGATTTATCATCTGGATTTTGATTCTGATTTGCAAATGTTGAGTCTGTTGGATGGTAAATTGTGATATTTGATTGTTCTTCTGGCCGTATTTGGCGACTAGAAGAGGATGTTGTCCCTTTCCTTTTTCGATTTTGCATGTAGGATCCATGGCCTGGCGAAAAATAAATTTCTAAATGTTCTGGATCATGTGTCTTCTCTAGATTTAGAATTTTTGTTTGACGGACTTGGAAATTACATTTTACATGTTCTCTTCCCAGATAATGTGCTCAATTAAACTTCCATAGAGATGTTTCTGCTAGGGATTTATTGGGCGAAGAGCTAGTATCATATAACTATTTTGTCTCGCACATCTGGTCCTTTGCATTCGTATTCAGTTACTTAATCTATTTCAGGAGCCAAAGGCTGTAGACGATCTATCGTTGAACAAGTAAACGAGGATGCGCAAGTGGATCTGTTGTACATGTCAAATAGAAGACTCAAATGAAGAGGAACATCTGAAAAGTTCGCAGCAGCAATCTGATGGTATGTTATCTAGAAGCCACCTAGTAGCTGAAGTTTTCTAATTACGTACGCCTACATACGTGAGTGACATGTTTTAGCTGTAGTGTTCACATGCTAGAGAATTCCATGCCTGTTATCATATTTTACAATGAGTGGAATGAGTTGACATTTGGTTGAAACTTTGATCATTTCATGACTTCGTGTTATGCATCTAAGAAGTTGGTTTTTTATTTGTGCTTATCGTGTTGAGTGTCTTCATGTATGTAGCAAATCAAAAGAATCCAAAACCAGCCCCTGTTGCAAAACATGAGGTGCAGAAAGAAGCTCTTCCCATCGAGGTTCCTCCCTTGTCTTTGGAAGAGGTGAAGGAAAAGACTGAAAACTTCGGATCAAAGTCGCTTATTGGTGAGGGATCTTATGGAAGAGTATATTATGCGACATTAAATGGTGATGTAGCGGTTGCTCTGAAGAAACTTGATGTCGCACCTGAAGCTGAATCAGATGCGGAGTTCTTGAGTCAGGTTATTTATCTTCTTCAACCTTTTCTTTCCCTCCTTTTCTGACTTGCTCTGTAATGAGATGAATCAGTATCTATGCATTTTTGTTTTCCAGGAAGCTTGTGTTTACTTCTTCTCTCAACTTGCTATATTAATAGTTTGCTCTTCCCTAGGTTTCCATGGTTTCAAGACTGAAGCATGAGAATCTCATTCAATTGCTCGGTTTCTGTGTTGATGGAAACCTCCGCGTCCTCGCATATGAGTTTGCAACAATGGGATCGTTGCATGACATTTTGCATGGTAAGATAAGCTTCTTGGACTTTGAGATTTCCGCTTGCGAAATAATCTCCCTGGATTGACCAAAAGTATTTTTGACAAACAAAACTTGTCCATGTAATTGGTTGCATATTGTGCGATTACAGGTAGGAAGGGGGTTCAAGGGGCACAGCCAGGTCCAACACTTGACTGGATAACGAGGGTGAAAATAGCAGTCGAGGCAGCTAGAGGTTTGGAATACCTTCATGAGAAGTCGCAGCCTCCTGTAATCCATAGAGACATAAGATCCAGCAATGTACTTCTTTTCGAAGACTACAAAGCAAAGGTTGCTGATTTCAATCTCTCAAACCAAGCGCCTGATAATGCTGCTCGTCTTCACTCTACAAGAGTCCTGGGAACTTTTGGTTATCATGCCCCAGAGTAATGTTTGCTGTACCATATTGATTTGTTTGTGTGGGTATAAATGTCTAACACGCAGCTAATATGTTAAGCCCCTTATATGCAGATACGCAATGACTGGACAGTTGACTCAGAAGAGTGATGTGTACAGCTTTGGGGTTGTACTTCTAGAGCTTCTGACAGGGAGGAAACCGGTGGATCATACCATGCCTCGGGGTCAACAAAGTCTTGTAACCTGGGTGAGTGTACTACGCTGGTCCAAATATGGACTATACATTTTATAATCTCTTGTCATGTCTTACAAGCTGGTGTTATTGGCTCTGCTCAGGCGACACCAAGACTCAGTGAAGATAAAGTCAAACAGTGCATCGATCCAAAGCTAAAAGCTGATTACCCTCCAAAAGCAGTCGCTAAGGTACCTATCTCCATGCCATGAACATATGGTGAAAGATATTCACAAATGTTAGTATCGGAAAAGGATAAGAAAAAGCAATAATATATGTTATTATGTGGCAATGCAGCTAGCAGCTGTGGCAGCATTGTGTGTGCAGTACGAAGCTGAGTTTAGACCAAATATGAGCATAGTTGTGAAGGCGCTACAGCCGCTACTCAAAGCTCCAGCTCCAGCTGCATGCCCAGCACCAGAATCTTGAAACTTTACTTTCATTTGCAAGTATCCGAATCTACTCAGTACCATTACCATTTATAAAAATGAGGTTGGTTTTGGTAGTATAAAACTATAAAGATAACAATATTATGTGTTCATTTGATGATTGATTTTGCACACAATTTTGTTGTGCTAGAAGAGAGATGTTGGCAAGTTTATTGTTTTGCCATTTTGTGAGTGGGAGAGAGAGAGAATACTGACTATTATTTTTATTATTGCCTTCTGATTTGATTTGATCCCTCTTAATATTCTATCTCTCTACCTGAGAGCCTGAGACACTCTGATTAGATCGTAATAACCTGAAAAGAAGAAGCCGACAACTTTCAGTATTCTCGGTCGACATAAAAATATACAATACAATCGTCTGCATTCTATCTTGTATATAAGACGAGGTGTAATAATTTAACTTTTTGCGATTTTACGTAAGTGACAGTGTTATGTTACAATAGCTTTAAAACGTTATTCTTATGATTAGGCTGAAACGCGCGAAGCATGATCGATCGCAAACAGCAAACAAAAACACACCACTTTCTTTTGCGGTTAAAAACTTAAAATATAGAAAAGGTCCTTTTAAAAACATTTTGTTCGGCCCGCCAACATCCTACGTGTCCATTTCACCGTCTCTCACCTCTCGCAAAAGCCCAACCTCTTCTTCTGCTTCTCCTCTTCTTCTAATTTCAAATCATCGCAGAAGGAAGAAAAAAACGCCATGGTCATGGCTACGCACTTCTCCTTCCCTTTCAGCTACGTTGTTTCGGAAGGCTCCCGAGGAAGAGGAAGGATCGTCCCCAAGCTAGTCAGAGCAGTAGCCTCCGGCGATTCGATGGCTCCGGCGAAGTCGGAGGAGTCAAAAGTGAAATTGGGTGGCTCGGATCTGAAAGTGACTAAGCTTGGCATCGGAGTCTGGTCATGGGGTGATAACAGTTACTGGAATGACTTCCAGTGGGATGGTCAGTGCAATTTCCCTTTCTCGATTAGAATCAAAATAAATTAAAATGGAGTTGTGTTAAGTATTACTGAAATTAGAGTAGACAGGAAACTGAAGGCTGCGAAAGGTGCTTTCGATACCAGTCTTGACAACGGTATAGATTTTTTCGATACCGCAGAAGTTTATGGTTCCAAGGTACGTCGATCCAGAAACTGCTCTCTCCCTGAATTGGTCTGTTTTATGTCCACCGATGTGGAATCTCACATTCTTGTTTGTTTCCATCTTCTCTAGTTTTCCCTTGGTGCTATTAGCTCTGAAACTCTTCTCGGAAGGTACATTTTCTTCTTTACTGTATTTACCAAGAATGTAGATATTCATTCCTCTTGACTGTCATATATTGTGTGAGTTGTTTTTTTTGAACAGATTCATCAAGGAGAGAAAAGAGAGATATCCGGGAGCTGAGGTTTCGGTTGCAACAAAGTATGCTGCATTGCCATGGCGACTTGGTCGTGAGAGTGTTATCACTGCCCTTAAAGATTCACTTGGACGGCTTGGCCTTTCTTCTGTGGATCTCTATCAGCTCCATTGGTATGTTTTCCTTATTCACGTTTTAGAGTAAAAGCTGTTTAGGGAACAATCTCACCATTTCCTTGGTTTAATTTTCAGGCCGGGGTTATGGGGAAATGAAGGTTTATTTTCTTAACAAGCAGCATTGAAGATACTTTGAACAAGAGTTTTTCTGTCACTTTTGGTAATCATATCAGATACCATTGACACGGTGAATTTGTGTGTGTTTTAGGATATCTCGATGGCCTTGGGGATGCTGTTGAACAAGGTCTTGTGAAGGCTGTCGGTGTTTCTAACTACAGCGGTATCATTTCAATCTCTTTTTTTCTCTTTCTCGCTGATGGATGATGATATAGGCACTTGTAAGAAAACAAAGACATTTATCGTAGTCACTGTGTTGTGTCGAGCTTTTCAGAGAAGCGACTACGTGATGCTTATGAGAGGCTCAAAAAGAGAGGGATCCCTCTGGCCTCAAATCAAGTAAACTACAGTCTGATATACAGAGCTCCAGAGCAGACTGGTGTAAAGGCTGCTTGTGATGAGCTGGGTGTCACTTTGATTGCTTATTCCCCCATCGCTCAAGGTCATTCTCCTTTGTCTCTTCTGCTTTGTGGTCATCTCCAATCATTCTTTGCATAAGGATCTTATACTAGTAACTCAAACAACCTGGCCAGTGGACATCTGATCTTTTCTTTTTGTTTTTCCCAGGTGCTCTTACTGGTAAGTACACCCCTGAGAACCCACCTTCAGGTCCTCGGGGCCGCATATATACTCGTGAGTTTCTAACAAAGGTAATAGCTTCGATTACAAATTATACATTTTCAAAAGGTAGCATACTCCTGCCAGGTTTCTTCACTAATTATGACTTGTGATTACAGCTTCAACCCCTGCTGAACAGAATCAAACAAATAGGTGAAAACTACAGCAAAACTCCCACACAGGTTCTTTCGCTTTCCCTTTTGCACTCTGTTTTTCTTTTTCTGTTCAACGTTCAAGTCCATAAACCGTAAGAGATTAACATCAAATATATGGGTTTTTTTTTTGTTTTCTTGTGTTGTGCTGTGCAGGTAGCATTGAACTGGTTGGTGGCACAAGGGAACGTGATACCGATCCCAGGAGCCAAGAATGCGGAACAAGCCAAAGAGTTTGCGGGAGCGATAGGTTGGACTCTGACAGACAGTGAAGTGACTGAGCTACGGTCCTTGGCCTCTGAGATAAACCCCGTCGTCGGTTTCCCTGTTGAGTATCTCTGAACTCTTGAAGATTCTGTTTGTAGCATTTGTAAAGTTACAATATGAATTAAAAGTGGCATATAGATGACAGTAAAGTGTTGTAATACATATTTACAAATAAAGTCTATGTCTCTTGCATGTCGCAGTCATAGTCACTACACGCCTCTATTCTTCTGCGTTTTAACCTCACTGTTGCAACGATTTCATTCATCCCTCCAGAAATATTAGCTTCAAACATGCTTTTTTCAATGTCTTTCAGGTTTTCAAGGATTTACATTTAATCTATAACTTTTCAGTGTCTTCAATTTGAGCAATCACTATACAAATGAGCACAGAATTACTGAATATAAATATTTGATCAAGCATAGAAAAGGAGTCTGTTATAACAGTGAGCCGCAAAGGTAACATCATCTTGATAGTTCTCAAAAGCTCAGTTTCATTTTCCTTTTTTACAAGAGACAAATGAAGAAAGCAAGCAGAGCATTGTTCTCTTGTATTGCTTTCAATCAAGCAACACTGAAAGAAGTGGCTGCTTTCTCGACAAATTTATTGGCTCCCTTGAACCACCTCTTGTCTCCAGCTTGTGCTTTGCAGATGTAAAGCTTCCCTCCATTGACAGTGGCTGTGATCAGCTGATGCTTCCCACCTTCGTCTCCATCGGCCGTTCTTGTCAACACAGACAAGTAATAGTACGGTTTCCCACCAACGTCCTGAACATTTGTCTCAAGAATGTTTGCTGTTGCCACTGCATTGGCGTCAAAGCCTCCCTGCAAGGACCATCAGTTTCACACGCACATTTATGAACTCAATAAACCAAATGCACAAAAGGTAACAATGGTGATACCGAATTTAAGCTTTGTTTAACTCTGGTATTCTACAATCTTTGGTGTTTGATTGTCATATTCTATCAGATCAGATTCAGGTTTTCTCTAACTATGGAAAAGGGAAGTTTACCTCAGAGGCAGTCTCACCAAAGTAAGCTTGTTTCCCTAGAAGATAGTTGACCTGCGAAAAGACCCAAAAATTGAATTTATCATTCAATCTCACAATTCATTTGATTTTCTTTGATTCATCAAAATCTTTGTAGATGTCATGTAGTAAAGACCTGAGAGAGGAACTCTTCGGGAGAACCGTAATCAGTGATGGACTTCTTGTCGGTAGGAGTGACCATGACATTGAGATTGCTAGTGGCGTCGAAGTTGTCTTCGTACCTAAGGACTTGTCCTGGGTACTCTATTTCTCTGCTTGGGTTCCATTTTGCTGGCACCTGCACTTTGAATCCATCGCCATTGTATGCCGTGAAGTCTGTGTTCGCCTTTGGTTTCCCAAACACATTTGCTGAAACACACACACACACACACACAATTAGTTTTCAAGATTCTTTTACCCTTGAATTTTGAACATATTTGGTCTATAAATGAAACGATCTAAGAGGTTTATTCTTCGCACCAGCTTCACCGTAGGCGGCATCGGCGGGAGATACTTTGGAACCAACGGCGGCGGCGCCGACGAGGAGTGTGAGAGCGAGACGGCGAGAGACGGCGGAGTTATCGTCTTCATGAGATTGTTGGGCTTTACACACTATCTGGACGGGTTTGGAGAGTGACACGTAGCGTTGGGATGAGGAGGAAGATGATGATCGCGCGGCGGAGGATGCCAGTGCACTCTGGTGTAGGAAACACGCGCTGTACGCCATTTTCTCTCTCTTGCTCTGTGTTTCTCTCTCTGTGTCTGGTTAAGTTGTGATGAAAGTGTTTTTTTGAGGATTGTGGAGTGTGATAATGTATGGAGGTGAAATGAAGAGCCAACATGATTGGCTGGTTTCGGATATTAGCGGATCTCTCTGTTGATGTCCAGATAAGGTTGTTGAGGTCCTCTAATGTGCCACGTGGCAGATACGCTATGTTCTTGTTCCACGTCAGATTCATCATAAGCGAATCGATCAATCCGTATTGTTTTACTCTAATACTAAAAGCCCACTGCGTCCGAATATTATCACCCCATCAGTTCTGGATTTTAAGGATTATGCCGCTTTCAGTTACATGCATATAATATAAGGATGCGAAAATTTAATTTAAGGATGCAAAAATTATGTTTCAAGTAACAACAAAAGCCCTAAGTGAAGGTGTCTCGGTAGCAAAATATCTATCTAAATTAACAAGTAATCGTGAATAACATTAGTCTAACAAAATTGTTGAGATTTCAAAATGGCATCAAAACTTCACTTCTGCTTTGTCTTTGCTCTTGGCTTTCACTATCGACTTTGTTTCCTAATTGTTTCTCTCCATTGATGCAGCTTTAGCTGGAGCACTGTTTGGGTCAGGTTACTCTTTGCTCTTGACATGCTCTCTTTCTCCTCAATTAAACCTGGCTTGCACATCATTGTTCTATTGCTTGCCATTCATGTAGCTACGGTAATACCATCGTCTAAAGGTTGCTCATTCTCATTAGTGCATGACACGTTCTCTTCCACCAAGTTGTTAGCTAATTTGCGCCTTTTGGATCTTGATTGCTTCTTTTCTGGTTGCTTAGCCACTGAAGCAGCTTCCATTGGAGCAGTGTTTGGGTCAGGTTGCTTATTCCCAATGGCAAGATTGGAAGGTGGGCTCTCTTCAATGTTACCTGGATCCGATTGGTTGGCTGACTTAATCTCTGTTTGTTGATTCCCATTAGCCAGATCAGAAGGCTTCTTCTCTTCCATGTCCAAATCCAATTTGTTGGCTGCTTTTCGCTTTTTGGACCTTGACTGCTTCTGAGCCGCTGCAACTTCCAATGGAGCAGTGTTTGAATCACGTTGCTCATTCCCAATAGCGAAATCGGAAGACAAGCTCTCTCCCATGTTACCCAAACCTGACGTGTTGGCTGATTCGTGGTTTGACCCCATTGGAGTAGTGTTCGGGTCCTTCTCCTGAATCCCACTGGGTATGTCATCTCTGAGACCAGTTGTATCAATCACTGAGGCAATAGGTTCCACAGAAACAGTTGGAACAGAAGGTTTTGAGAGGCCATCATATGAGAGAATACAAGCTATTGCATACATAGACGCTCCCAGATGAGGCGGCAAATTTTGTTGAGGACGTTTTACCTACAAAATGCAAATGATAGGTTGAAAAAGATGCCATTACCTGAATAAAATATTAGAATTTCTTCCATCGTAGTGATTATATATAACCGAGTTACCTTGAACAAAATGGATGCCATTAGTCGCTCTCTCAAGATGTACATTTGAGCAATTTCAAAAGCTGTAATCTTGAAAGGCAGCCACCGATCCACTACCACCTTGACTGAATTTTCCGGTGCAAGCATTACTTTCTCTCCAGGCCTACTAACACCTGCTTTAGCTACATCCATCACGTCTCCTACAATTTCTACTTCGTGGTCTTCCTCGTCATCACTCTTATCAGCATCACAGCTCTCCGTAGGAGCCACAGCTATCTCTCCTGAAAACAGTAACAACGGTATAGTGGGAAGAGCAGTGCTTTTTCTTATGTGCACGTCCCAATCACCTCGAGTGATCTCATCGAAAACGATTAAAGCTTCATCATCTTTGCTAGAGGACGGGTTGAAATTGTTTGATAGCGAGAGCACGCGAACTTTGGCTCCAGTAATAGTCTCTACCAGAGACCTTCTATTATTCATGGAAGGCGGGCACATTCTTCCCACCATAGGGTACAATCCTACAGCTAGAACAGCACGGAGAATACCCGGATCGTTAGCATTCAGACTACATTTTGAGTCATTGCTAGAGATGAGCCCATGTCTTTCAAGTTCCCCATGAAGCTTGCCACGCATATTATCCAGCATCTTCATGGCATTTGAGGAGACGAAGTACTGAGAACAAAACTCCTTAGATCGACCATTTCTTTTTGCATCTTTCCAGCAGTGAAAAGCCGCAACAGTCGCAAGATGATCACAGTGGCCTCCATAAAGCGATGCAAGTTCAAGTTTTGCGGCAACGGCTTTTTTCCTTTCACCTGGCCACAAGGGCATGGTAAACGGATCCTTGGTGTCGGCTGAACATGCCAGAATAATTGCTGGCTCCAAACAGTTCACTAATAGGGCGAAGTAGAGCATCTTGCTAATCCGAGGGTGAACTGGGAGCTGACCAAACTTCTGTCCAAGTTCTGTTAGCTCCTCTTGAGGTGTCAAAACTCCAATGTCCTTAAGGGTGGCTAAGGCATTTGCAATGCTTTGATCCAAAGGCGGGTCCATTAACTTCTGAAGGAAAACATTAACGTTGCAACTCGGATCCAGCATCTTAACCTGAACATATGAACATATGATGTAAGTACATCAGTAAGAAATCAAGTACGCAAGAAGCATCAAACAGGATTCTACCATGCATGAATGACATTAGACATTATAGACAAAATCTACGATAGAAAGAACAGCACCTGCAAGCAGAGTTCATCTACTGGCATCCTCCTAACTTCAGGAATTCTATATTCAGGCAATGAGGCCGACCGGAGTTTAGAATAGAGATGATAACAAATGCCAGGTTGGCACCGGCCTGCTCGACCCTCCCGCTGTTTTGCATTTGCTTTTGAAACCCAAGAAGATTGGAGCGTTGACACATCATTATAGGGATCATAACTCTTTTCCTTCATCCGGCCACTATCTATCACATAAACCACATCATCGATAGTAACTGCTGATTCAGCAATATTTGTGGCAAGCACGATTTTGCGACAGCCTTGAGGGGGGCGTTTAAAAACTATCTGCTGTTCATCTACTGGAACCCTTGAGTGAAGACATATAATGTTGAATTTCGCACTATCTGCAAAATAGGGGTTAGAAAGCAGACTCTCTTTAGTTTTACTTATTTCCTCCCACCCAGGTAGAAAAACAAGAACGGCACCATCTTTTGAACCGCTGCATATTTTCTTCATTAAAAGCGCTATAAGACCCACATCTACTTCTTCTGAATTGATTGTCGCCATATACTTATCAAGTAGGTCTTGTGCTTGCTGCGAATTGGACTGGAAGTTATTCGCATGTTCCCTGATTATTTGAGCAGCTTCTAATTGGTTCTCTTTCTCGGCCAATTCTAATGCTGTTATACCTTCTTTGGACACCAATTTACAGTCAGCGCCAAGTGAGAGGAGCTTAGAGACATCGCTAACCCTGCCCTTCCCAGCAAAGACCATAAGTGGTGTTAGCCAGGTCGATGATTGCCGGTAATTATAAACCTCATGACTTCCTTCAGAAGCAACTAGATCTATGAGGGCATCAAACTCATTATTTGTCCATGCCAAGTCGATTGCTTCATCTAAGGCAACTTTATCTTCATCTTTAAAATCACGCTTGACATCTCGTATGTTTGAGTCGTTAGAAATTAGATGATCATTCTTGTCTGATTTCACGACAGAGAGCACATCTTCCAGATAAAAGGTTCTCACCTGCAGATATAGGCGCAAGAATGTTATTTTCTGAAACAATGAGACTAAAGCAGATTCTAGAGAGAGAGAGGAATTAACTGGATAGGTGAATCCGGGCACTCGGACAACCGGGCAACCTCCGAAATATCCGGAAAACCTCTCAGCATCAAGAGTAGCACTCATTAGAATCTGTTGCCACAGAAAATAAGTATAAATTTATTGTAAGTATATCATACAAGTGGAAAACGAAGAATGAGTATAACCTAACTAACCAGTCGGAGATGAGGGTTTGAAGGAAGGAAGTCCCTGCAAACAAACAAAGCCATCACAATGGATCTGAGTTCTGCCTTTCGCCCGAAGAAAAATAAAATATCTCTAGATAGTTATCTATTTCATGGCTTAGTTTCAGTTGAAGATTTCAAATAAAAGTGTAGAGGTGGAGAAATTATGGCATCTAATGTTAAAGTGCGACACCAAATGAACAATAGCCATATGATCAGTTTTTTTAGCGCTAGAGATTGTACCTTATAATCGCCAACATGAAATCAGAGTAGCAATCCCTTTCATGGATTTCATCCTACAAAGTAACATACAGGTCACTGACCAATTTAAACAACTGCAAAATCAATTTACAGCAGGCGAGCACAAAGACGAAAACCTAAGATGACAAACCGAAACAAGACAGCAGACAAAAGTGATTGTGACAAATTCATGTTGAACTTTTTCAATCAGATTTTAACCAGCGGAACCAGGACTTGTAATGAATGGAAAAGGCATAATTAATAAACACATGAAAAAAAAATCATGAATCAAACAAGAATCTGTTACCACAATAATGTGAGTTATATCAGGAACAGAACTACCACCGCCTTTGCCTACAAGCACCCTCAACAGAATGCCATTCGTGCAGAAAACAACTGATGAATGTTTTCCACCTTTACTTTGCAGCCGCACCTAGATTTGCATCATAAATTCAAAAATAAATTGAGAGAGGATTTTTTTTCCTGTAGCCATTAACATGTGTCTATCATATGGAAAAGTTTATGTCAAACAGAAATAGCCCCTTACCTTGTAGCCGACGTTGTTCCCTATAGTTTCACCTCTTTCCCAAGAAATTCGTTCAGAAACTTCAAAATAGGAAGGAAAAGAAGGCATAAAGCTCAGAGTTAGCAGCTTACACGGCATGCGTTAGAATTACAAAGCTGAAACCTTCATAGGAGTGGAATCCGACACACACTAACCTGAAATAGCTGAGATACGACGTGGTTGGGTGCAAATGATTTTGCAAGATTCTTGCTTACTATACCACATATGATCTAGAAGATATTGAGGCACCTGAAAACGGAAAACGCTTAATTAATAAAGTTGATATGGTAGTATCATATCCAAGCACAGAGCACGGACCCTTATACAAGTACAACAACACTTAATCTCAATATTATGCAATTTTGGAAATGAAAACTGATAAGCTGAACCTGCATTTCAAAACCTATGATGGATAAGTATATGAACAACAAGAGGAGAGACCCACCTGAGTAGTTTTCCCACAACCAGTTTCACCAGCAATAAGAACAACCTGCATTTAGAATAAGAATAAATAAAGAGTCTTTCAAAAGCAGTGGAATTCCCCAGTGAAACCACAACTGCAAAATTCAAATCCCAATAACATATCTGAAACCCCATATAACCTGATTGGACTCCACTGCAGATGTTATGGCATCTCTAAAAGATGCGATGGGAAGCTTTGTTCGTGCTTCAAAGATCTGCAGCATCAATCAAAGACGAGGATACATCTTTTACTTGCATGCATTATACTATATACCTTGTGAAACTGGATTCTGTATAAAATACTAACCTCCCGCAAACTTTTATCGTTAGCCAGTTTAGACCTCAGAGAAGCCGCCTTATTTCGAAAATAAGATTTGTTCATCTGATTTCTGTCGAAGAAGTCATCTTTCCATTTCCGTCGGTTGCCGAAGTGTCCAGTATATATGCCCAGTGACGTCCCTGTCGTGTCTCCGTCACAAGGTGGATAGAGAGTAAACAACTCCTGCAGAACAGGTTTTGCCTCCGGTGGAAACGAGACACATTTGAGCTTCTTTCTACTGGCACCTCCTTCAACTCCAAGTTTATTCTTATTCCTTCTGATCAACCTTTTTGCCCTATCTGAAACTGAAGAACCAGCTCCTTCAACCTCACACTGGCCATCAGTTTTGTCCAGCCTTTTTGCCTTGTCTGAAACTGAAGAGCCAGCTACTCTGTTATAAATCGTAAGACACCTTTGATCCCCACTCCTACACAGAACCCAAAGAGAATCAGAAACTGGGCTCTCTCAAGTAGTACCAGTCCAAAACAGTAATAATAAAGCTGTGACTGACCCAGTACTCTTTGATCGGATACCCATCCGCCGGCACAACTGATGAATAATGCCACGGTCGCTATTTGTAAGACTGCTGTCAAAGGTGTGAGCTACACAATATAAAGCAAAAACACTTGCAATCAATCAAACAAACAAAAACACAACATTCTGATAGAATCAATGCAAGTAAAGATGACAGAATCAAAGAAATTGATTACAAGAGGTAACTCACCATCTTTCCCGGAGGCGCGAAAGTCCTTGAGAAACTTGGGGCCCCAAATCCGAGAGGATTCTGTATCTTGTTTCATATACATCTTCTTCCCCATCGATCCTCAGGGTCTCTCTCTAGACACTAATGAGCAGAGAGACTGTTACGGCCTGTGGCTGTGTGTGTCTACGTGAGGCGCTCTTTGCTGGGTTTCGTTCTACACTCCGCCTCTCTCCTTACCCTATTTTTTCTAACATTATATTAAATTAACTGAAAAAAAGCTTACTGGGCATACAACTCGGACTCTGGGCCTTTTGAGCTATTTTCAATCTGAAAGGCCCATAAAATATTGACACGTGTCTAAGTCAAATCTAGTAATTAATCTTTTACACGCGCCTGCGAGATTGTACGTTTTATTTCCTGATGGGATACACCCGCACGCACCTAATTCATTCCCTCGCACCCTTTGGTTTCAAATTTCAAAAGAAGGGATTTCTCTCTCATTTTCTGCGTGTTTCTCGGGAAAATCCTGATTGAAAAAAACTTATAGGTTTCTCGGTCACTGATTCGCCTTTCGAGAAATCAAATGATATGAGACGCATGTTGATGAAGCGGAACCTAAGTCTCTTGTGCAGATCCGTGCTCAGATTTGTCGATTTATCAGCTTGTAGATTCATGGCTTGTTTCCTCGACTGCTTCCGCGCCAGAGACGACCGGTCTACTAGTAATCTCGTCTCCCACTCTTCACTCGCCAAATCCAATGTAATTTTTCGCTTCTCCTCGCTTTCTCTTTTCTTTGCATGATCGTGTTCTTGTTTGGTGGTAATCCAGCTGTGACAATGATCTTAGATGAAATAGATCACTCTTCGATAAATCTCAATGCCCTGTTGGATCGTTGAGCTGGGTTTTGTGTATGCTGCATGTAATCTGCTGGTTTCTGATGTCCAAATTCTAAAACGAATATCGTTTCTTTGCTTTTCTTGACCAAAATCATATCGATCTAACCCTGAATTTCGTCTTCCTAACATCTATGATTTCTCAATTATCTTCAGAAAGGTGAGGAGTCGCAGAATCATTTGTCCGCTTCGTTTCTGTCTGAAGGTAAAATCTCTTTTTGATGTGTACGTATCAGGAATAGAGATGATTACTTGTTTCTTTACCGTTTGTTTGCTAATTCAAGTGTGTTGTTCTTGATTTTCTAGAGAGAGCAGCTTCTTCGCCTTGCCTTGACAAAGAAAGATTTGATTTGGATTCTATACATATTGACAAAGGCCTAAGGGATGAGGTATGATTATAGTAGACGCATGTATTTGTATCTCTTTTTATGCCATTGCCGATCAATATCTGTGCCTTTCTTGCAAGTCTTATGATTACCACAGCTCTTCTACCGTAATGAGTATATATGTCTCTGCTCTTTGTTACTGATGTGATCTCAGCTTTGTTACTATAATGAATGTGCTATAGATTCTATAGCCTTGAGCATTCTTTCTAATCTCTTCTTCTTTTGTCCTCTCTCCTTCGTTTTCACTCTTAACTCAGTGTTGATATTCAAAACTTAATTCTGTCACGGATGTGTATATATCCATCCGAGTGCAGATTGCATATGCATGGAGCCCTGTGTAAATATCTTTCGTTGCATTAGTGCTTGCAACTAGTTCAGTTTCTTATGAAAATGCAGGGATTCTATTTCAGAAGCTGTCAGTAATTAGCTGTGGTAGCTCTTTTGAACTTCAGAGAATCCTTTCTCTGCATATTTCAGTAGAATATGATAATCCATTCTTTCAGGAGTTCATGCTGAGAGACTAACTATTTATCTCTACTTGTGAAATCATAGGCGCGGTTTCTTAAAGCTTGTGGTACTATACCGGAGACTCCTATTGAGATTAGGAAAGCAGCACAAAATCTAAGCAGTCCTCAAGATGCAGGGTCTTCCCGTTTTCATTCATGGATTTCCAGTAGCTCTGCGATAGGGTTTCATTTGGATGAATCCCCATCCCCCATTAAAGCTTGTGAAGCGGATGGAAGACCATCAATTACTTCAGAGCAAACACCAAGCAGGTAGAGCACTAGAGGTTGCTTTGTTTAATAAAACACCTTCTTACACTAGAGGTTGAGCACTAGAGGTTGCTTTGTTTAATCAAAAGATATTTGGATCTGAAATTAACTCTTTTTTTCCATAATAGTTGCGTAATCGATGTGCGGGACACTGCGAGGATCTCATCTACTTCTAATGATGCTGATGAAGTAGAAAGCATTGGCACTGCATTCAAGGGTGAGTTGGAAAGATCTGGCAGGCCAATGCTCACAGCTGGAAAGACTAAGTCTGTGCGGTTTGAATGCGATCTTGATCAATCTCATCCTTCTAAATCTTCCGAGAACAGCAGTTCAAGAAAACCTGAGATGGGTGGCAAAATTAGTTTTACACTGAGCTCGCCTAATCCGACCCCGTTGAAGCTATCTGATGAGATGCAAACTCCCGGGACCATATATCCTGCAAACATGGAATCAGCAGGAAGGGGAAGGCCTAGAATCAGGTCACAGTTTGTGCATTCAGTTTCCAATCTAATGGAAAATGCATCCTTTTATGGGAGCCTAGAGCAAGCTAAATCGCAGCTTTACAAAGAGCAGATAGAGGGTGAAACTCCCACTTCAGCAACTTATGGGGAAAAGGTGGAAGAAAGCTCAGATGAGAAAATGACCAAGTTTGAGGCAAGCTTTTCCCCTTGGCTAAACTCAATCAACGAAGACTGTAACGAAAACATTGGGGGTTTAAACGAGAGGACACCTGGGTTCAACGCCATAACTCCAGGTGACAGGCCTATCATTGGATTGGTTGCTGCTCACTGGAATGATAATGAGCAAACTGAGATTGCACCAAAATGGTGGGATGGGAATGGGATCCCAAATTCGACTACTAAATACAAGGAGGTATTATTCCCTTTCTATGCTCTTTCGGTTCCTCTGATATCCAGAAACTATATTCATAATGAGTTGTTACATTCTTCTTTACCTTACGCAGGATCAGAAAGTAAGTTGGCATGCAACACCATTCGAGGTGAGATTGGAGAAGGCACTTTCGAAAGAAGGTGATCAGACTTTATTCCCTCGAAGGTATTAACCCTAAATCTCAACCATATTTAGTAAAGGAAAAACGATGAGAAACCCCCTACTAACCGGCCCGTAAATGTGTGTGATGCAGGAAACTTGAAGTGATGGATGAGGATGAAGAAGACTCGGACATATCGCAGCTGCAGAACTCAGTGCAACCAAGCTCGGTAGTTTCGTTCTGAAACTTGGCTTTCGTACAGAACAATATTACTCACATATGGCTACCATGACTCATGAGCAATGAATACACTCTTGTTTCCGGCTTTTATAGAACTTTATAACATTTTAGTAAAGTATAAACAGTGATGTTTATGAACCTCTTGAGAAATTCTCTTCCTCAGGCACTCTTTTGATCTTTTATGTCTAGATAGATTACATAAAAGTAGTAGCTCACCACGTTCATATTTTAAAATGGAGCAAAGCAGAGGTTCCATCAAGTCCTTTGGCATTGAAGTAAGCAGCGTACTCTCTAACGGTGGTCTCTCTATACTTTGGAGGGTTTTCTTCAGACACAAGCTCTTTAATGGGTCCGTACATTCTAGGATTTGGTCTCACGCCGGTGGTGAAGAAACACGCGACGGAGACTCGAGCTCTTGTGGCTCTGTTCGCCAGTACTCGATGCTCCAAACTAATGAACTTGTCGTTTGTTATAAGCTGCATCAAAACCCCAACAAACCAAAAAAAAAAAAAAACTTATAACGAAGAGGAAGACCATTTATACAATGCAAAACTGAGAATAATTGCACTGACTGTGCAAACTTGCCTGAAGAAGATCTCCGATGTTGATGATGAGTGCACCGGGAACAGCAGGAACATCGAACCAGTACCCTTCACGGTGAACTTGAAGCCCTTCGATCTGATCTGGAAGAAGGATGGTTAGAAAAGAGTTGTCCGAGTGCTGACTTGTGCCTAAAGTCAGATCAGGCTCTGGACACGGTGGGTAGTAATGGCAGAGCATGAGCAAACCCTTCGAGCAATCAATGTCATTTAGGTGATTAGGATTCAACCCTAGAGCTTCTGATAAAAGCTCAAACAGAAATTCCCCCAGATTTATCACTTGCTTTGAGTATTCCAACATAACATCCCTGAAACAATTTCAGACCGTTCTTGTTAATTCACGGACAAACAAAGTAGAAGCCAGATGAATAGAGATGAAGCTACCTGCAAATCTCTGGCAAGTCATGTGGTTTAGGAGGATCTGGAGCAATATAACAAGAGAAAGTGTCTCTCCAATTAGCAGCAGGAGAAGTATAGAGATCGAAATTACTTGAATACAGAAACGTTCTGCTGAAATCGCGGCCGTAATATTGTTTCCTAGCTTCTGGTGATTGCTCGTGAAATCCACGAACTCCATCTTTCATTTTCTCAAGAAGGTCCTGTGACACTCCATGGTTGATCACCTGGAAGAAGCCCCACTTACTTGCTGCGTCTTTAATTTCTTCAATCACGTTCTTGCGCTTAACCGCATCCTCCAAGTCTCTTCCTTCGAGATCAACAGTGGGGATCGTCGTCAGATGTAGCAAGTCAGAGGAAAGTGGTTTAGGATTTGCTAGTTTGAGAGATGAGTGGTGGAATATGCGTGGAATCTCTGAAATTCCGGCGTCGACGAGTCCTTTTACACCTGTCCTCGTCTCGTCGAACGCTTTAAGGTCACTGACACGATCGCACGAAGCAATCTTCGCCGTTTCCATCGGGTTTTGTTTATCAGGAAACAGAACAAAGAAAGAAAGAAAATTTTGAAACGTTTCTTATTGGGTTCGAAGATGATGAGACCAGTCGCTGCAGCAAAACCATTGATCGTAGATAAGGTTGACAGAAAAGGACAACGTCCCAGAAAAGTCGTATTAAATAAAAGTTATTACAGAGAAATTCAAATCTTTATTAGACACACAGTGATGATACTGTATATGGCATTCTCAGATCTTGAGATAAAGTAATCCAGAGGTACCATCGAATCCTTTGGATCTGTAGAATTTTGCATACTCTGTAATGGTGGTGTCTCTATACTTGGGAGGGTTTTGTTCAGACAAAAGCTCTTTGATGGGTCCGTAAACTCGAGGATTCGCCATCAAATATGAACTGAAGAAACACGCCACTGAAATTCGAGGTCCAGCTCCATTCGCCAAAACCCTATGCTCCACACTTATGAACTTGTCGTTTGTTATAAGCTGCACAGTGGACAAGTAGAGTCAGATTTGATTCCAGTCCATAACATTGATCAAAAACCCCAAAAAGGGTTAGTTAGTTAGATAGTTAAACCTGGAGAAGATCTCCAACGTTAATGACAAGAGCTCCGGGAACAGGAGGAACATCAACCCAGTATTGGTCATGGAGAACTTGAAGCCCTCCAATATGGTCTTGGAGAAGAACAGTGAGAAAAGAATTGTCCGAGTGTTTGCTTAAGCCTAACGTAAGGTCGGGTTGAGGACATGGCGGGTAATAATGGCCCAGAAGCAGCAATGAATTGGTGCAATCCATGTCCTTGAGGTGATGAATGTTTAACCCTAGAGCTTCCGAGAGAAGCTCAAAGAGCAATTTACCCAATTTCATCACTTCCTTAGAGTACTCAATCATCACCTCCCTGCCAAAATTGCTCTCCAAAAACCATCTAAGAGAGAACTTTTTCATGTGTTGAATATATTCTTATAATAGAGAAAGATTCCGATTTATGCTTTAGCATGATCTTTACTATTCTGAAATCCTAGCTCTTAGTTAAACAATTTTCAAAAGTCAGAACTATTGTGAATCGTGTTATCTGTTTTAACTGATTTTAAAATATAACCAAATTTGATCAAATAGTGATTTGTGATATTGTATTACAACTTGGTTTCAAACTCCTATAAACACAGTAACATCATTGTTGGAATGGTTTCTCAAAACTAATTAAAATCCGGTATAATTCAATATTTGAATATTAACAAAAAATGGAATCATACCCACAAGCGGCGGGTAAGTCCTCGGGTCTTGGAGGATCTGGAGCCGTATAGCAACCGAGAGTGTCTCTCCAGTTGGCAGCGGGCGAGCTAAAGAGATCGAAGTTGCTGCTGTAAACCATCTTGTTACTCGGATCTCGAGAGTAAAAGCCTTTCTTCACTTCTGGGTCTTGCTCGTGAAACCCACGAATCCCTTCTCTCATCCTCTCCAGCACACCCACCGGGATGCCGTGGTTGATCACCTGGAAAAAACCCCATCTCTCCGCCGCGTCTCCGATCTTCCCCACCATGCTCCGCCGCGTGATCGAGTCGGTGCCTCCTCCGAGATCGATTGTTGGGATCGTGAACTCCGACGATCCGGAGGAAGGCGGTTTTGGGCTTCTTAAAGTAACCGGAGGTGCACGGAATATCGCCGGAATCTCTGCGATTCCGGCGTCGACAAGGCCCTTCACGCCGGTCTTGCTCTCGTCGAAAGCTTTTAGCTGACTAGAACGATCCAATGCAGCAGTGGCCGTTGACTCCATTGGTGGTGTTTGGAGATTATACATTCCCCACTGGTTTTTGCAGTCGCTTTTTAAAAGCTTGTGAAATGGTTCGAGTCAACGACGAAGATAGATTCTAAATTGAAAATGCAAGTACTACATGTCTTAAAGGTGATTCACGTTTCCATGTGGGAGAAACCAAAAGGAAACTAAAAATCATACTATTAGAAAATACTGAGGCGGCTAAAAATGGGAAAAAATGGAGATGCGGGGTATCGATCCCCGTACCTCTCGCATGCTAAGCGAGCGCTCTACCATCTGAGCTACATCCCCATTGTTGACGAGATAAACTTGAAAATATTAATAATATTTAATATTTTCACTATGGCATTCTCTTAACCGGTTACCGGTTCGCCAGTACCGAGAAAAGGGGTGAGGATTTTATTTGTTCTTTTCAAACCAGTGCTCACTTTCCCGGTGACTCAAGTGAAAAATTTCAAAATAAATCCCCAAAGTACCCTAATCCCGGCTGCTTGTCGGAGGATATATCCGGCGAGAGGTTCAGCTACAGATTGAATAGAGAGTGAGTATTTTAGCGGCCGGTTGTTCGAGAACGAGCGGCGACGACGACGGAGAAAGAGATGGCCGGATTAACGAGAACGGCCGGCGCCTTTGCCGTAACTCCACACAAGATCTCCGTCTGCATTCTCCTCCAGATATACGCGCCTTCTGCTCAGATGTCTCTTCCCTTCCCTTTCTCTTCCGTTTCTCAGCACAACCGCCTCGGCCTCTACTTGCTCTCTCTCACTAAGGTTTTCCATTTTCCTCTTCCATCTCTGTTGAATTGCATTTTCTGATATTTTTTTCTGTGCTCATTTGAGGTTTAGTCCTGTCATGTCTGTGGATTCGTGTGAGTCTCTTGGCACGTATCTCATACTGGAAGCTATGCTGCTGTGTCGAGTTTCTTTATTGCATTCTCCGCTTATTTTTTTTTAGGTTTAGTTCAGCAATGGTGTTGTAGCAATTTCACGGCTCAAAATGTTGATTATAATTCCGCAACTTATATTGATTTTCACGATTCTCCGTGGTTTAGGTTTCAGTAAATGATGGAGTGTGGATTTGTGTCTTAACAAATGTTTTTTGCCCTGACGAGATTGATATTCTTTATGCAGTCTTGCGATGATATATTTGAGCCGAAGCTGGAAGAGCTCATTAATCAGTTGAGGGAAGTCGTTGAAGACATGGATGCATGGCTAACTGACCATTTAACTAATCGGTTTTCCTCTCTGTCTTCACCAGATGATCTATTAAATTTCTTTATTGACATGCGAGGTTAGCTGCTTGCTTGCTTAAGGTCTTTTTCGTTCTTGTTTTCATCATGTTTGGGTCTTTTTAGCTATCGTTTCTCTTTATGTAGGAATACTTGCGAGCCTTGATTCAGGAGTTGTGCAAGATGATCAGATTATTTTGGATCCCAACAGCAACTTGGGAATGTTTGTTCGCCGTTGCATTTTGGCATTTAACCTTTTATCGTTCGAGGTATTGTGCTTTTTACCTTATTTTTTTTTTCTTGCTTTATCCAGCTTAAGATCCTATAGTAAGTGTTTGGTTTTTATATAGAGTTTTGCTTGAAGAACTCGGATTTGATAGCTTAAACGCCAGTTCCTCTTTATTGTATAAATACCTGTGCGACACTTGTTTGTTTCTTGACCCATGAAGCTGGAGAATTGAAAAGAAAACATTAGAATTTATCAGTACTTGTCTAGGATCTAATGGAAAAACTCTGACAGACCTGGTTGACTATAAGTGAACCTCCTGATTGCTGTCCCTTTTCCTAGGTTTGGACACCCAATTCTCGCAGTAAAAACCAACTCAGAAATATCTGTCCTACATCACCAGGCTCTTGTCATTTTCTGTATACAGTCTTTAGGCTGCTAAAACACAAAAGTGAATGTCTGAAAGAACCATCCATTTCATTGATATGTGAACCCTGTGCAGGGAGTTTGTCATCTTTTTTCAAGCATTAAAGTCTACTGCGAAGAGGCCCATTCAAGCTCTTCTCAGTATGATGCATCTAATAGTAAGCTGGAGTCATTAACACAATATGATCAGATGGATATGGAGAATTATGTAATGGATAAAGCAATTGAAGAAATAGAGCTACAGAAAAATGCTAGTGGAAGTGTCCCTTTTCACCTTCATACGCCGGAAGCACTTTTCAAAGTGACAGAAGGTATCCCTTATTATTCACGCATTTATGCTCAAAGAAAAACTTAGAGTTTCTCAGGGGCTAGATTATAGTCAGGAAATAGAGTTTTTATATTCGTGATCAGGCTGTAAGTTAGATGCTACTTTCATCGTCTATGTTTGATAACGTGTTTTTACTGATGCATTAGTATCCTTGGTAGGATCAATGTACTTCAACTTCTATCCCTTATTATTATCCGATGACTTTTGAAGAGTTTGTATGAAGTTTGTTAGATTTTCTTTTTTTGTTTAAATTTTGGGCTCCTGAAGATATTTCCCTTCCTTAGTGTAGAAACAATATACTCTAATTTGATTAATCTTATTTTTCCATTCTTATGTTTTAGCACTCACTTGTTTTGTCAGGCTCTCAATAATAATGTATCGAACAAATGAATCATGCAGGTTTGCTAGCTACTAAAAAGGAAAAATCAAGAACCAGCAAGAAAAATACTGAGGCTACTCCAGTTGCTTGTGCCTCATCAAGTGCAGTTGAGGATACTCTGGCTGATGAGTCAATTTTCCTTCGGACAAGTTTGCAGATACAAGGGTTCTTAATGGAGCAGGCTGATGCAATTGAAACGTAAAGCCTCTATTGCCCTAGCATCCGACATATTTCTCTGTCAAGAGTATTGCTAATTTTTATTTTTGTTTTAACTTTCATCTCCTTGTAATTTGATGTCAGGCATGGAAGTTCATTCTCTGCAAGTTCGATTGAAAGTTTCCTTGGGCAGCTTCAGAATTTAGCCCCTGAGTTGCATCGTGTAATGTCTTGCTTTTTATATATTTTCCTTTGCAGTGGATTCAGAAGTTATTCATTCTTTGATTAATATTCTTACATGTTATTTACGGTATGCAATGATGCAGGTTCACTTTTTGCGTTACTTGAATAAACTTCACAGCGATGACTATTTTGCTGCTTTGGATAATCTCCTCCGTTACTTTGATTACAGGTAATCTGCACTCTTAGCTGTTTGCCTCTGGTTCCTATAAATTTTTGATCAGAATAATATTTCTGATGAAGGCTTTTATCGGTTGCATGTGATTCCTGTAAATATGCAGTTGTGTTTGCCTGTTAGATGTGAGCTGATCCATGATCCATGATCATATAACTAGGAACTGTGTTTCAAACGTGAGCTGATCCATGATCCATTGCCTAAAAGTGCAGGGACTGAGGGACTTGACCTTGTTCCCCCTTCAACTGGTTGCAACATGTATGGAGGGTACGAGGTCGGTGTACTATGTTTGGGAATGATGCATTTCCGCTTTGGGCATCCTAATCTGGCTCTAGAGGTGAGCATTAATTCTCCGGATAGCTTGTTGACCTTTAAAACCCCCTCTGGATGGACCAAATTGTACATTGGATAGTTCACTGGGCTGTTGGTGAGGCTAATAATAAGTGATGCTCAGTTGTGATGTATCTTGAGTTTTTAACCTCACTTTGATAGATAACCTAAAATCATAATGAGCTACCTAGACATACTTCTGTGAATACACAAGACATGAAAGACAGTCTTATCATTGTTTTGTTTGCTCATAATATGGTTTCTCTTGAATCACAGGTTCTAACTGAAGCTGTGCGTGTATCGCAGCAGGTATATACTCACTTTATTCATCTGCTGTTAGCATATTGTATAGTATATATTGCAGAAAGCGGTGTGTTTGATATATTCCTACAGTACGTGTATTTGTATGAGAGTTTCCTTAAGCTGAATCTTGAGCTAGTTTCTTCTATTCTTATATCACCAAGTTCTGTGAGCGATTCAGGACTCTTAACACCAGTTATCTTTAGATTGCCATTTTTTATTGCACTGGCTCCCATATTTGTGTGCTGGTTTATAAGTTGTCTCATGGGGCTGTGCAGTCTTAGCAGACATGAAACTCGTTGTATTCGGTACATGCTAGAAGGATCACAATGCTCTTGTTTGGCTTTAATATGCAATCACATGAGCAACATTAACAGATTACATTGTTCAAGATTTAGTTCAATTATGATATTAAAACGTTTGTTGATTCTGCAGCATAGTAATGATACTTGTCTAGCTTATACGCTAGCAGCAATGAGCAACTTGTTATCAGAAATGGGCATTGCAAGTACCACCAGTGTTCTAGGATCCTCGTACTCACCCGTCACTAGCACTGCGTCTTCGTTATCTGTACAACAAAGGGTGTACATACTTTTGAAAGAGTCTTTGAGGAGAGCTGACAGTCTAAAGTTGAGACGCTTAGTGGCTTCTAATCATCTTGCGATGGCTAAATTTGAGTTGATGGTAAGATCTATACTTAACTGGTAATGAGCATAGTTTTTGCCTTATTTATATGGATGTATGATCTATCCTGAGAATCTGTGGTATGGCTTTTCTTATATGGTTGGCAAAATTCATATAACGTTTTTTCTCCAACTTTGGTATATGCTAAATCAGAATAGGTTTTTTGTTGTAATACAGCATGTGCAAAGGCCTCTACTGTCGTTTGGTCCCAAAGCTTCTGTGCGCCACAAAACTTGTCCAGTTAGTGTCTGCAGGGTACTGAATATACCAACTAACTATTTTGCCTAGAGTGAAATTTTCACATCTTCTTTTGAGGTCTAATCAGTTCTCGAATAATCCATGGCAGGAGATAAGACTAGGCGCACACCTAATTAGCGACTTTTCTTCTGAAAGCTCTACAATGACAGTTGATGGTTCTCTTAGCTCAGTTTGGCTTAAAGACATGCAAAAACCGTGGGGCCAACTTGTGTTTTCCCAGGACTCTGGTTCTAGAAAGAGTACGACATTTTTCCAGTTTTATGATCATTTGGTCTCGATTCCTGGATCTGTATCACAATTAATAGGTGCTTCATAT